CCCCCCCCCCCCGGCCGGCCCCCCTCAAATTTTGTACTTCCCACACGTCCCAACGGGCACTTACAGGCCTCTCTCAGATACCTAATGATCATCTCACACAATTACATGATCCCAATAAAAAGAAACTGCAAGTAAAATCAAAGCTTAGACTGACGATGTAGTACCACCGATCAGACGTTGGAACATCAAAATGAAGAAGAGTTGAATTCTCTCCATGGAAAGATCAGGCAATTGAAATCGGTATGCCCTTTCTTTTGTATCCGCCTATGTGTGAACCTCATAAGTCTACCCAAAACGTTTTGTATTTCAAATGTCTGATGCAGGATGTTCGAGCTGGTCTTGGAGGGTCAAGAAGCTCATATTAGGTGACGATAGATATTCTCGATGATTCCACCCGTGGGAATCAAAACCTTGATCAAATGGTGAGCATCCCAATCATTCCAAACATCTTGAATGCTTTCCCTTCACTTCATCACGTATCATCTGTCCAATGCAGTATTCGTTGAACCTTATTAGATATGCTGGATGTGTGGGTCGTGTTCCTGACGAAAAGAGCAATACCTTTTCAAGACTCACCGGTTCTCTCTTCTCCACATCTAGACATCATTCCCGATCAGTCGCTGCAACCTCTACAATCAGACAATATCGTATGATAGCATATATAGTCGGTGTGGTCGTTTTACTTTGGTTGATCTTACGATTGTGGCCATCTGGAGGTGGGAGTATTCCTGCTAAAGATATCGAAGTGGAGTATCGATGAGTGGAGGTGAAGTGATGATCAATCTCTGAGAGGTGAACATCGGGATGGAGAGCATTGGGAAGGATATTTGAGGGATAGTTTGGGTTATCTCTGTTTGTCATGTATACATTAATATGTCTACATACTCATCTATCAACTGGTTTGCACAGGGATCAGAAATAGTAAGTTGACTTTGAAGAGTCATAAACCCTCGTGACTTCGTCTACGGATTGTTGTTTTGACTGTCATACTCATTGCTCTCATAGTTGCATCAAACCACTAAACGTAGATATATAGATGATCAATGACTAGATACGTCACAATGTCCAATGTCCATAATATCCTATATCTTATATCCTATATCGGGCGTCAAAAAGTCATTCCAAATCGTTTCGTCTGTAAATACTAAAATCGGATCCGTGATCATGTCCCATCCATCCACTCTCTCATTCATATCCCACCAGCTGCAAAACCGAGTTATCTAAGAACAGGGAGGGAGATGACTCATACACCACCTTCCCAATGATCAGCACATAGACTGCTATACAAATGCCAAGCTCCAACCGAGATGACAAGCAAAAGTAGGACTGTCCGAAGTGCGGTACCGATAGCGTATCCTGATCCTTGGGGACGGATGAGGGCGTTAGCAAAGTTTGAGGAGTAAAGAGGAGTGGGTACGTAGTTTGAGGAAGGGGGAGAACATGGGTAAGAAGATGATAAAGGGAGAATAACGGCGGGGAGGAGTATGGTTGATTTACCTCCTGGAGAGGGGAAAGGTGAAGAGTAAGGGGGTGGTTCGGCTAATTGTCAGTTTAACAGATTAACTGTACTTCTCTTACCTGTCTTCTGCATTTTTCCGGCTGAGGTATATATTGGGTGAAGATACGCGTATAACGCAAGGGATGATGAGATACAAAGAACACTCACTCAAAATGATGGCTGGCACTTCAATACTCATCGACTTTTCACCTTCCGGACTAGAAGGTCGAGACACCCTACCACCCATCACGATCCTTGGTCCGTCCCAATTCATCTCTTCTTTCTCCCCAGGAGTTCTAGGTGAAAATCGACTCTGCCCGGTAATACTGCTGCCCGCCTGAGAAGATGGATATTGTGACGGAGGGGTACAAGGTTGATAAGTCGTTGGGGAGGTACAAGTTGCAGAAGTGTATGAGGAAGATGTGTGGTTTGGAGAATAAGTTTGAGATGGTGTAGATGGGAGAGTAGTCATGTCAGGTCCTGAGGGTTAATATCTCCTTTTTTTGGACATGATGATGTGACCGAGTGATTCTCATGGTCTCGTGGACTAGATCGGTCTTTGATGACTAGACAAGTGTAGTCCAATAGCCGGTCACCGGCTCGGGATTAGATGATAGATGGAATATGGTGGATGTTTGGTATGGACTATAAGAAGAAATCACTCACGCTTCTCCATTTTGCGGCTAGTGTTGGTATTTGTACACGTGAAGACGCGGAAGGGGAGTTTTAAATCGTGTTAGACCGCGTTACCGTGAACCGTGGTAGCCGTAGTGCGCGTATTGCCGTACAGCCGGGACACGAGTGTGAAGTAGTGTAAAAGAGAGAAGAGATGGGTATTCCAAGAAAAGGTGAAAGATAAATGAGTGTGAGTATTATGCGAAATTGTAAAAGAGTGTGGTAGTTAGGTGTTGATGACTTGAATGGAATCGAGGACAGCTCTCTTCAAATCCAGATGAAACCTCCGAGTACCCGAGGAATGAACGAGGCGATGCTTGCTTGTCTGGACGTTGTTTCCGGGGGTGACCCTTGATTTTGTGGATTGATCAAATAATAATGATGAATTGATTCAAAGCACGGGACAAGGGGTGGTACCCAAGGAAAGGTGTCAAGTCTCGACTTTAACCCTCGATGAGATGTTCAGAATACTTTGAAGTCGAAAAAGCAGAAGCCGTACGCCGGGATGAATAGGAACAAGGAAATAATCTATATCTTGTTTTTACACAGCTTGACCAGTTTGAAGAACTCGTAACACTGCTCCGTCGTCAATGGTCATACGCGGTCGACCCAAATCGGTGCGTCTTGGGTCCTAGGTCCGTTTTCGACAAATGACGATTTTGGTCACGTCCTCGATCGTCGTTATGGTGATTCTTCGGTCTGGAATGTTGTATGAACTCGTTCCCAGGCGGGGGAAATCCGGTGATGTTGAAAACTTGATTAAGAAACTGATGTTACAAGCGTTTGGGATATGAATAGAGTGAAGTGGAGGGTATGTATTAATATTGATACTTACAGGAAGCAGCTGCTCACTCACGGTCACGAGGATACGCCATGTTTACGCCTTGAAGCAACGCCATCGGACAAGAAACGACTTTCGGGTGAGAGGATTGACGGATATAAAGGGTGAGAGGCTCAGGAGCTCAGGAGGCTTGGTCACGAGGGAGAGAAAAGTGGGTTACATAGATCATCAGTTGGACATTTCTAGTTAACGCGGGTGAACCTTGAAGAGAGGTCTCGCCGCTGTTGACTCATACAAATTGTGCCTGTTCGGCTCCCTCCTAGACCTCGGACATCCTTACGGTGGAATGCAGCTTGTCAATTATCATTACAGTAGTATTGCTTTCTTTCACCCTTTCCAATTATCAATTTGTTGCAAACATACGGTCAGAGCGGTATAGTGCCACATCCGGTAATCGGATATGCCGCGTGGGATCCACGTGGATGACCGAGGCACGTGACCCACCAATTACCGATGAATTTCTCCTCACTCGTCGACTCACCATCTTTCCTTTGACTCATTTTCCGTACGCTCGTCGGCCGTCGGTCCACTGTCAACCCATCAGACATGCTTCCACGTCCGGCACGGCTGGTCAGACAGTCGCACCTGCTATGCAGAGGTCTGGCTTCTGCGGTGAGGTTGGAAACAAGGACGACGGTACAAGTGGACGAGTCATACTTGCCTTTCCTTCACCATGTCGATGCAACACGTCGATTGGCTCCTTTACGGTCAGCTTTACCGGATGCTCAGCTGGTCACCGACAACCTGTCTCTGGAAGATGGGTTTCAACCTCTGGCCGGTCCTCAAATCAGTGAAGAAGAATTGGAGAGAAGACCTGAGCGTCGGAGTCCTGCTGCTGTCTTGGGGTCGAAACGAATAGGATCTGTTATCCTCCCTCAAGCGTTGATTGATGGAGTGCAGAGGGAGATATATGGTGAGTGCTTTTCTTATTTCTATCTTCCTTCTATTGGCTGTGTGTTCTTGTGTTGGTCATCAAGTGGAGGGCAGCGAAGCACAATTTATGGTCGCTGACTTTCAGCTGGGGACCCTCGCACAGTCCGGAAAACATTTCTTGATCTCCTCGAATCTTCTCCTAGAAAATCTAAATTACTCCCTTCTTCAGAGACTGCTCTGGCTAAAGTCGCTGCTATTCTCCCTGGCCAATATGCCGCCGTGCGCAACATACTGAATGAGTTGGACAAAAGATTGGAGTCGGGTTGGATGGACGGACCTGTCATCGACGTATCAGGGGGCAGTGGGGCAGGTATTTGGTGAGTATTCTTCACTATCTTACTCCCGGTCTGTTCAGGGCTGAATTTCTAGGGCCACAATGGATTATAGAGATCAATTAGGTTTACAAGACATGGAATATCAACTGGTCCATGCTTCAAAGCATGGAAGAGAGTTGGCCAAACGGCTGGTCAGCAATTCTAACACGATGCGATCAACAGACGAAACGTCTGAATCCGGACTACCAGGGAATACCAAATTCTCGTTCACAATGAAACCATCTCCGGAATTACTTTCAAAGGTGTGTCTCACTAATTATGATTGAAAATCATTGATGATCAGCCGCCCAAAGTTGTCATGTCGACTTTTCATCTCTCCACCCTTCCTACTGTCTCAGCTCGTAAAGTTCACATACGACAACTTCTCTCTTTGTCTTCGTCCTATATCATCCTTGTAGATCGCGCAAATCCAGCAGGATGGGAAGCGATCTCATCCGCTCGAACTCAACTTCTTTCCCTTTCAACTCCTGAGAACCCTTTACATGTCATAGCTCCTTGTCCTCATGATGGTCCTTGTCCTTTAGTGGGTCTTCGAGATATTTGCGGTTTTTCTCAGCGTCTACAACGACCATCTTTCGTGAGAAAGACAAAACATTCTAAGAGAGGTGATGAAGATGTGGGGTATACATATCTAGTCATCGGTCGTGGACCACGGCCCGTGAGTGTTAATAGCAAAGAAGGTAGGATAGGTGGAGTAGGATTGGAAGTCGCTCAGAAGGAAAGGGAGAAAAAAGCTGGGAAAAGTGAATTGCATAGAGTGGAAGGTGGGGAATATGAAATGGTTTCTTTACTTCCACATGACCTCTCTTTGGAAACTGCTCAATCTCCGAAAATCCCAGATCTGAGAGGAGAGGCGTATAGCTGGCCTAGATTAGTTGCAGCACCAATGAAACGATCAGGACATGTCATCATGGATGTCTGCTGTACCGATGGTGAGTCAAACTGACCTCTCGACTCGTGAATCGACATAAGCTGACGGATCAGAGAAAATCAAGAGAATCATCTTTGCAAAATCACATTCGAAACAAGTATATCACGATGCGCGCAAGGCGACATGGGGGGATATCTTCCCACATGAACCTAAATCCAAGTCTGTGGATAGGGCAAGAGGATTGAGAAGACTCATGCCTGCTGAAGTGGACTTTGACGGTGTGCCTATGGGTTCTGAGGCGGAAATGAGTTTAGCTATGGAGGGATGGCCTGTTGGGGAGTTGGTCGAAGGAGATGGGGAATGGGATGAGGATGGAATAATCACTTATCAAAGTCCCTCTCCGACTTTATCATCTTCATCGTTGTCTCAGAGCGAGATGTCATCGTTCAGCTCGTCATCGTCTGAATCTTCGACATCCTCATCAAGCTCATCACCGCCGTCGTCATCTCCCTTCTCGTCGAATGGTCAACGAAGGGAATTCTCAAGTTCGTCTCGTCGATCAAGCGTTCATCCGACTGATCCTCCTCCTGGTTCTGGTGGGTAGTCCTTATTCATCTCCGTCTCTCTATTTCCCTACCATCTCAACTTTCACTCGTCTACTATAATTCACCTCTTCACCCACAACTCCAGAACCCAATCATTTATATCTTTCTCTTGTGGCATATACTCTCCAAGGCCCAAATCATGTGTAGTGATAAAGGAATCAAATATCATCTCATACATCAATATGCAATCCATTCACAATGCCCCAATATGAGATATCCTGACACGCCCTCTTACACCTTTGTGATCGTATCCACTGAACACTTCCAATCCGTCGACACATGATGAAAAAAACCAACAAAGTACGAAGCGATATTAATGTTACAGGTCGTCGAAAAGTCACAATCTCTCATCTACGTCATCTAGCTTCTCAATCCATCCCTATAACTTGTTTAACAGCCTACGATTACCCAACATCGTTAATTTCCGAAACATGTGGAGTCGATATGGTTTTAGTCGGAGATTCTTTATCTCAAGTATGTTTAGGTCATTCAACTACAACACAAATAACATTAGAAGAAATGATACATCATTGTAAAGCTGTAACTCGTGGAGCTAAAACACCATTTATTTTCGCGGATTTACCATTCGGTTCATTCGAATCTGATATTACAACAGGGATAAAATCAAGTATCCGTTTGATAAAAGAAGGTTTGATAGATGGTATAAAAATAGAAGGTGGTGAAGAAATAATACCTTTAATAAAACAATTAAATAAATTCGGTATACCTACAATACCACATTTAGGTTTACAACCACAAAGAGCTATTTCTTTATCTGGTTATTTAGTACAAGGACGTGATTCTTCAAAAGCTTTTGATATTTATGAATTATCGAAAAAAATGGAATTGGCAGGTTCAACAATGATCCTATTAGAAGCTATCCCACATAAATTAGCGAGTAAAATAACGAATGATTTAAATATACCGACTATTGGTATTGGAGCTGGAAACGGTACGAGTGGTCAGGTTTTAGTTATAAGTGATGTTTTAGGAATGTATGAAGAAGGTCTTGGTGGTAAACAAAAAGCTAAATTCGTAAGACATTTCGGTGAGGTTGGTAAAGAAATGAGAAAAGCTGTTGAAGGTTATGTTAAAGAGGTTAAATCGGGTGGATTCCCGAAACAAGGTGAGGAAACTTATAGTATGAAAAAAGAAGAATGGTTGGGTTTTGAAAAGTTGATCGAAGGATCAGCTTCGTTTTCTTCTTCATCTAGCAAAAGAGAAGGAGGAGGAGAGGATGGGGGAGAGATTTCAAGGGAGATGGTGAAAGAAGGGGAATCCACGGAAGATGGACAATAGAATGGAGGCAAGGGGGGAGGGGGGAATTTTGTCTCTTTGTCGTGTCGTGATCACTAGTACTTTCGTGTCATTCTTGTCGTTGCATACTTGCATATCGTTGACTGATCCTGAGTTCATGTTTGAAATACAATAGCAACTGACACGATGCACAGAAGCTTACAGGGACATATGCAGATTCATGATTGATACTTCATTCTTCATTCCTTCTCAGTCTCGCACTAAGCCCAAAACACATCTATCATCTTCCTTTCCCCTTTCGAAATGATTTCTGTCCAGCCTCATTCGGACAATCACTCGCCCAATGTCCTTTCTTCCCGCAATTGAAACACTCTAATCATCAGCTCATCCTAGTTTGGAATACCACAGATCACTCACCACCCGCTGAGCTCTTCGTCCCACTTCCTCCCCGTGCAGCAGTCTTTTGACGTTTAGGAGGAAATGATGTTATACTCCCTCCCTCTTCATTCGGACATGCAGATGCCCAATGACCCGATTGACCACACTTGAAACATTCTACATTGTCAGCTCTCGTGTGTCTCAACAGCTTATCTCCGAACAAGCTCACCACCACCACCACCACCACTGTTCCCATTTCGATTACTTGATGCGCCAGAACGGGCGGGACCGGCATTACGTCCCGGTGGTCCATCGTCATTCGGACAAGCGGAAGACCAATGTCCACTCTGTCCACATTTGAAACACTCTACATCATCAGCTCATGGTCATGTCACACACAAAAGGACATACCGCCAGTCTGACCACCGCTTCCTGATCCATTACTCGGGAATGGAGCTGGAGTATTTCCGGAAGCCTCATCATCCCATTCGAAGAACCCACATCGGGCTTTTGGATTATTAGGACATGTCCTTCCTGTCAGTATTTGACAATACATTGTACGACGATACAGACCAGAATTTACGACCCTTGTTAGGGCCTTCCTTCGCCACCGTGATGATCACCGCTTCCAAATCGCAATTACATTTTTTCTCCCCAGATCCACGATCAGGCGCCTATCACATAAGTCGATCGGAATCAGGGCTAAAGACAGGTGCTCACAATCTTATTCCGTCCTTTCGTGGACCCGGTAGTACGTGAGGGAGGACGACTAGGTCCAGCAACGGGAACGTCGTCACACCATTCCTGCTTGTCAGCTAGAACCTGGCTGGAAAGAGAGGCGACTCACAAAATAGCCACATTGTTCGTCCTTGGGTTTGGGACAAGTATGGAATTGTCTACCTTGATGGACCGACTCGGCTTTCATGACTGTCCTCTGGACGGCTTCCAAACCGCAATTGCACAATTTGGCACTGCTATTCCCTTGCGTAGGGGCGTCTATGATCAACTTCAGAGCGAAGGGACCAGTTCACCAGCAACTCACCGTTGACCGATCTGCGCTTTTTGGCACGAGGAGGCTCGTCGTTGTCGTCCACAGCTGGCGTCCTGGCAGGTCCACGTCTAGGGGCGGCTATCCGTGTAGATTTCGCTCTTCCTCTTGTCGATCGTCCCCGAGCAGCAGCGCCACCAGCAGGAGGAGGGGGGTCATCTCCATCAGAGTCATCGCCATCGTCGTCGTCTCTGCCACGTCTAGGGGCAGCGCCGCCCCGACCTCCGCGGCCCCCCCGACCCCCTCTGCCTCCTCGTCCACCTCTGCCACCCCCACCTCTTCCACCTTGCATGGCTGCTCGAAGAGCTTCTTGAGCTTCCCCAGCTCCGTGAAGGTAGCTCAAAACCGACTGACATCAGATACGTACCACCAGTAGCTGAACACTTACATCGATGACTGTTTGAAACTCCCTACGAGCTTTGATGAAGACCTCCTTGTACTGATCGATAGTGTACTGTAAAACATCCTGCTTCGTCCGTTGAGCATTGCAGATGAGCTGCATGCTATGCTCGGTCTGGTACAGTCAGCATCTGACATATATTTCCCTTCGATGACGCACCTCAGCTCGTAATTGTGGTTTGCTAAGAGATTTGTCAAATCCAATCTGATTGAAACCCTCCACCAGACCGACCCCCAATGTGGAAGGCACGAGGTACTTGATCCGTTGTTCTTGTCTTTCCTTGACATAACCGCGTTCTATAACTTTGGAAATGTGCTCTGCGATGGTCGCATCGGTCCCTATCCCATTCCTATCCATCAATCCCACCAGGTCTGCTTCGGTGAGTAAGTTGGGGCGACTAGTCGATCCCTCTTTCAATTCGCAAATGGATGGCATGAACGTTTCGTTCTCTTGGAAGTCAGGTAGTGAGGACGATGACCATTTGTCGTAATGATAGACTTCAAGATAATTTCGTCGAGTGATTACGAGTCCTAGTGGATCAGCTTTCCGGCCGAAGGCAAGGGGCAAGCAGCTGACCAGAGGCTGAGAAATACTCGTCTGCGATGACGATCTCCACTGTCGTTGTTTTACCCTCCGCATTAGAGGAACAAGAAGCCAGAAATCGGCGCGTGACGAGTTCGAAAACTTTGCGTTCTTCCGGAGAGAGATTGCTGGCGTGTGCAGTGGGATGAATGGGCGGATGGGCTTTATCGTTCTTTTTACCGTTCCTAGGCCGCTGAAATTCGCCATCCAGTAGTCTGACCTCAGTAGCTATCAATTTCATATGACTCTTCGACTCACTTTTGAGCAAAGCCTCCCCAGACTTGATCATGAGTTTGCTTTTGAATCAGGGAGGTGAAGTCGAACGCCGAATCGTATTGATCCGTTTCAGTACGAGGATAGCTCAGGAAACCCTTTTGGTACAGCTTTTCGGCGATCTACCTATCAGCTAAGCTTCGTGGGGATGACTTGCTCAGCCCACGTCTAGGACACTTTTCGGAGTCATTTGAAGCAGCCTTGACCCTGATTGCTGGAGCTCAACCGTGGTGAGAGGAAGAGGCTTCCTGTATAATGAGTTTAAATCTCTTCGCCGAAGAAGCTCACCATTTTGTCGTTGGCTTGGTCTCCACTCTAATCACCTTTGCCATGGGCTCCTCCACACATCGTTCATACAATACAAAAGCTGCTTCCATATCGAATAAATGATTTCTACGCCACTTGAATTCCACGGTGGACGGCTCTTCCTCACCTTCCTCCTGACGTTGGATCGCCACATAGATGTACCAGAAAGGTTCCGGGACGAACGACTGTACACGATTGTACTGGTCCACCACGAACCCCAGGGTGGGAAATTGACATGGACCTGTTGGTCAGCTTGGGAGGGGTTCGGCGGACCGGTCGGACAGAACTTACCATAGCTGATGACTTGTTGTCCCAGTTCTGGCACTCTGTTCTGCAAACCCAGAGTCACCAACCTTGAAAAAGCAGCTCCTATTCTCAGATCCAAGTTGATCCTCGCTTCCACAGCGTCCGCTTGTTTCATGTCCAGATCGTTTGCCGAACGACATGCCTGATGAATTTGACTAGCCACTTGAGCTCAACTCCCAGGCAGGATCTTATGGAGCTTACGCAGGAATGATAGCACTGAATCGGGCTCTCTTCACTCTGATCCGGGAATTTCCCTTCCTGCATGCTGCTACGACTTCTGAACCGATGTGTTCACCTTCACGATCACAATCTGTCCAGATGATGAGAAGGTCGGCGCGGCGAGCTTCGTTGATGAGGTTGCGTTCGACCGGTTTGAATTTCTACACACGTCAGCTAGTCGATGGACGATGATGAGTCGATCAGGTGAAAATGACCTACTGTGTCGACATAAGTGAGAATTGGAGCGTCGAAAAGGGCAAATGGATCGCATGACCCCCACTTTCTATGGTTCTCGTCAAAGTCCTATCGATCAAATGAGATTCTTCGTATGCGGAGATGAAACAATGGAGCTCACACTTGATGTCAGATGTCCCAAAACAGCCGTGACGGTAAAGTCTGCATCACCCACACCTCCCAATGGGGGAGGAAGCCGGTAAGCAAAGTCCAGATTTCGGATATATGGATGACCAGAATCTCGCTAAAATTCGATCAGTCAATTGCAGAGTAACAGACAGAGTACGCACAGTGTCCCATCTGCCTCCAGAGAGAATCTGAGTGATACTTTTAGCTATGCTGGGCTTCTCAGCCACGCACAGCACCCTCATCGTCCTGCGGCATGACCGCTGTTGTGGGGAAGAGAAGATGCGGGAGGTGAGACGAGGATGCTTTTGGAACGGAAGGGAATTGAACGAGTGACGGTTGAGAGATGAAAGGGGTAAATGAATGTTGCAGAATGGCCGCTGTAGAGTGAGTAATATAAGCAGTACTCTATTGGTAGATAACTACTGCAGTGGGGGGAGTGAGGTGAGTGTAAAGTGGAGGTGAGTCAGCTCAAAGACAGCCGCGTGGCTTTACTCAAGTTAAATTGCAATAATGCACATGGCTCAAATGATACCAAAGACATCGTCATGCATGCCCCAAACATGAGCAGAGACAGCCATGAGAGGCAATATGGGAGCTGAGATCAAGTCAATTTGACGTGACCTGTTTGGACAAGGTCGATCTGACAGAAGACCAAACTTTGTTCATGCAATCTTGCCAGACTTAAAACGGGCCTCGTTTTTCTTTCTTTTCCCATCAATCCAACACAACAGTGTAAGTGATCAATCTTTCTCTCCCTTATCTTTTCCCACCACTACTCTCTACAGTACATTAGAGTACTACTGGTTCTTCGATCTCACATTCCCTATTCAATCCAGTCTGCAGTCGTCGCGTCTCCCCAACCTTGCCCGTTTCCCGATTGTCTACGCGCCTAACAGCAAGGCCCGCCAGTCTAGTCAGGGTCCAAATTTTCAGGCACCCTCGAAATTCTTCCTGTCCCTCCCTCGACTCAACCTCTTTTTTCTTGCTCTTTCTTGCGCGCTTATGTTTCTGAGATCTATTCGTGCTTTATCTACCCCTCTTGCTCGTCTCTCTTCTGCTCACATATCTCGCTCTACGCGTATCCCGGCAATCAGCGAATTTTCTGCCAGAATGTCTTCTTCCATTCCTATTCCCGAAGATTTCGTGAGTCGTCCCATAATTTTTTCGATCGCGGAATGAGGGCTGATTCAACTTAGAACAGCTGCCTGTACAAGCCTCTGGCTGAGGCCGACCCAGAAGTGGCCAAGATCGTCGAGCAGGAGACATGGCGTCAGTTCTCTGGTCTCGAGCTCATTGCGTCCGAAGTGAGTTTTTCTCACCATACTTTCGATCGGTGTTCGCACATAGGTTGACGGCAGAACTTGACCTCTCTGGCTGTGATGGAGGCGAACGGATCTATCCTCACCAACAAATACTCGGAGGGTCTTCCCGGCGCTAGGTACTACGGAGGCAACGAGGTATGTGTAACTGCTATCTCATCAAGAATGGCACACTGAACAACAGTACATCGACATCCTCGAGAACCTCTGTCGGGAGCGAGCCCTCAAGGCCTTCAACCTCGATCCCAAGGTCTGGGGTGTAAACGTTCAGCCTTACTCTGGATCAACTGCCAAGTGAGTCGTCGTCACCCTACAGCGGGAAAGACCCCCTCATTGATGTACAGCTTTGCCGCCTTCACGGCCCTCATCAACCCTCAGGACAGGATCATGGGTCTCGGTCTTCCCGACGGTGGTCACTTGACTCACGGCTACTACACAGCCAAGAAGAAGATTACAGCCTCTTCCATCTACTTCCAATCTTTCCCTTACCGCGTCATCCCCGAAACCGGATACCTCGACTACCAGCAGCTCGAGACCAACGCCAACCTCTACAAGCCTCGTTTGGTCGTATGTGGTGGCTCCGCCTACCCCCGTGACTGGGACTACGCTCGTCTACGAAAGATTGCCGATTCGCAGGGAGCCTACCTCTTGTCTGACATGGCACACATCTCTGGGCTTGTAGCTGCGGCCGAGCAGAACTCGCCGTTTGAATACTGCGATGTAGTCACGACTACGACGCACAAGACTCTCCGTGGTCCCAGGGCTGGATTGATTTTCTTCAGAAAAGACAAGGAAGCAGATCTTGAAGCCAGGGTGAACGCTGCTGTCTTCCCCGCTTGCCAAGGTGGTCCCCACAACAATGTGAGTTCATCAAATTCAAATCTCTTTGTCCCTCTCCACGGCCTTCCTCTATCAGTTCATTGAATGCTGACCCCTAGACCATCGCCGGTATTGCCGTCGCTCTCAAGCAAGCTGCCGATCCAGCTTTCAAGGCATACGCAAAGCAAGTTCGTGCCAACGCCGCCGCTATGGCAAACGTCCTCTTCAGATATGGCTACAAGCTGCAGACTGATGGGACCGACAACCATCTGATCCTCTGGGATCTTCGTCCCATCGGTTTGACTGGCTCCAAAGTTGAGAAGATCTGTGACGCTGCGCATATCACGTTGAACAAGAACGCCGTCGCCGGTGACAGTGTGTACACTTTTGTTCATTCGCCGCAGATGAGCTAACAGTACAGCGTCCGCCTTGGTTCCTGGTGGTGTCAGAATTGGTGCTTCCGCCCTCACCTCGCGTTCTATGGTCGAGAAAGATGTCGAGGTGAGTCATGGGAATTTGAGCAAGGTTGAGATCCTGACCATTGTTTAGCAAGTTGCCGAATTCCTTCACCGTGTCGTTCAGATCTCCCTTGCTACCCAGAAAGAAGCTGGCTCGAAGCTTCTCAAAGACTTTGTCAAGGCGTACGAGTCTGGTAACGGTGAATCTCCCAAACTCATCGCTCAACTCAAAGAGGACGTGGTGAAATTTGCCACCAGCTTCCCTCTTCCGGGCGTTCTTGACACCAGCAAGATTGTCCGTGGCGAGTAGGCGCTCTGTCGTTTCGACCGCAGTATGCGGCATCGTTCGGAAGGTGAAGGTTTGAGGTTTGTTACGTTTGTTTTTTTCAGTGGTTCTCTCTAGACATTCTTCGGTCATCTCATCATGATCGTATTCATTCTGTACAATTGCCATAGTGGTCAATGTCATATCATTCATCTGATGCTGGTCGTGGATCTATACTCGCACCTGACAGGAAAACCGGAACGGCCCGGAACCAAATTGACTGGGAAATTGTCAGTTGCCGGTACACTCGTACTGTAGAATTAAGCCTTCTCTGCGTTGCTTTCCTCTCGCTAGTATAAACCCGTATCTCCTCTTCCTCCACATCTTCCTACAATACCTTGACAGTCCCCTAACATCCCGACCATCGGTCACGATGTTGCTGGCCACTCTGGCGGTGGGAATTCGGCGTCGGCGTCGGCGGCCTCGCTTTTGGTCACCACGTGCTTTTGGTCGCCATTGGAAACTTGACACCATGCGACCTTTCGTTTCCAAGTGACCCAACATTTTTTTCAATCTGACCATCATCGTTTGGGTCCTTGTTCGGTCGGTCACCTTCAGGACTTGATAACAAATCTTTCTTCACCCCCTCTCAAAGTTCTCTCACGACTATTTGTCACTCTCAACAATGTCTGATTTGACCACATCCGTGAGTGTCGACGCCTACTCTTCAATAATGATGGCATATGTTCAGGAAGGACATACGCTGACTGTACCTCAGGATCCAGTAATATCTATGGCTTCTCAACTCCCACATCCCTTGATCGCTCCTGAGATCATGAGCAACATCTTATCTTTTGCCAACAAACCCACACTTGCCATATGTCTCCGTACCAATAAACACCTGTTCGACCTGGCGGGTCCTTTCCTCTATCGAGAATTATCTATCGATCTTACTCCATCTGTTAACCATACCCACAGACGTCCCAATGATCCTCTGATAGGATACGATCTCGATGATTCCACTGTCCATATGAATCCAGGTACCAATATCACATTGAAAAACTTGAAATTATCTTTACTTCGACATACTCAAATCATAAAGACGACATTCATTCATGATCATATCGACGAAACACCATTTCCAAAACTTTCTAATCTTTTCCCCAATTGTAAAGTTTTAATTCTTCAAGGTCCTAATGGTCCACATCATTGTTCTTTACAACAATGCCAAGTTATGAAAGATTTTCATATCACAACATTGGTTTTGGATAGAAAAGGTTCACCTATGCCACCTTCCGATGATATAACTTACGAAAAATTAGTTTGTATCCTTCGACCTGGTGGATGTCTTTCTGATCATGTGGATTTTTCTAGACGTTTAAAAGATTCACGTAATTCAGCTAGTTTATTGAAAAAAATTACAATCATAAACCTTCCACCTAATTCTATGCCAATGTGGAGAATCCCACCATATGGTGATCGTCCTCTCATAGATTACGCAATGGCTTTACATACTTTGAGAAAGGATGGGAATGTAAAAGTTGAAATTGTCAATGCGGATTGTTTGGATTTTCAAATGCCTCCTGAACCTGATCGAAGGGATTCGTCTGAAGAACATTTTCAAGAAGCTTTCTTTGCCGATGTGGAAAGACTTAATAAGGCTGGAGAGGGAAATAGGATAATTTCAAGGGAAGAATTACCAATTGATTTATCAAGGACAAGGTTCATGTCGATGAAAGAATATGTGGAGGAGAAGGATTGGTTTGGTGTTTTGTCATTGGAAGAAGTTGATAGGTGGCTTAAGGAAACTCAAATGGAAAAGAAATGAAAGATGTCTCATTGTTGATCTGTTGAGTAGAACATCTTTGTGAGTGTTTGGTATGAGTGAATGAAGCTGATGAGTAGAGTAACCAATCTTTCCATCACATTGTCATTATCATATCATACGTCATACAAGCACTGTCACGAGATAAATCTTACGAGCCGTGGCATCACTGACCTGACAACGATTTCTGTTCCATCATACTATGATATTGATACTGAAAATGTGCTAAGAGTATGTCTTGATAGTGGGCCATTGACGATTCTGTCAAGCCCTCACCTCTTACAAGCAGTGAGGACACCTCGTGGACCTTACAATCGACTCAATATACTCTTTACGAACCAAATTCGCCCTTCCTACCAGAGGATCAAGCAGATGGAGAAGATTCAATAGTAGAGAGAGGGACAACCCTTCTGTTCGATCATCCTGCTTCCCATATCAAGTGAGTGCCATATATGTCATCAACCCATTCCATGAATATAATCTATATAGTACACTCCTACCAACCAGATGACGCCTTGACCCATAAATCTTCTCTACTCGATTCCATCGCTCACACCATTGGCCTTCCCGAGGCATATCGGAAAACCCCAACCCAATCGTACCCTTCCTCTGCCAAGAAATCCTCCATGGTGATGAAGGTCGGTTCTCTGGGCTCGACGACTCTTTCTTTACCCTTCCCTCCTACACTCGGTACATCTCCACCTTCCTCACCCTCAGTCCTTTCTTCCTGTTCTTGTCCCACTCGAGCATTCACCTTGATCCCTCTCTGCAAAATCTTCATTTCCTTCTCTACCATCCCCTTCATTCCTCCGACTTCGGAAACCAACCCCGCCTGAACATTATCAGCATTCACCACTCTCACTTCCACTCCAGGATTATCGACACATAAACACCCCAGAAACTTTCCCAATCCCATTGCCCTCTCCCCGGCTCTTTTCCTCATGGCATCATGTCCCATCTCCCAAGTCTCATCTTTGATAGTGACCAAACCTATATCCAATCTTTCCAAATTCGGACATAATCCTAAAAACTCTTGTAATCTGGTCCTTGTCAAAGCTAGTGGAAGTCTATGTGGAGATCTCAACAAAACCACCATAACCTTTACGTTTTCTAATTTATGAGAAGGGAAATGAATCGTTCTATATGGTATAGCATCAGGATCACCATCTTCCGTATCTAATACCACCCTTTCAGCTTTACATCCTTCGAATAATGAACAAAAACGATTATCACATCCGACAAATCCTGTCCATGCCAATAATCGAACGATGTGACATTTAGGGAATATTGATAGAGTTAAATGTGGTTCTATCTTTGGATGAGTCGGATGAAGAGCTGCGAATTCTAGAATCCTGGTTTGTGATAATAAAAGGAGTTTGAGATTTGAATTGGATGGAAGATCCCAACCGACCAGTTGGTTGGTCCATTTTTTGAATGTTGCAGAAGTGGGATGAGATTCAGGAAGACGAAGATCTATTGTGTGGTAAAGATGTTGAGAAGAGAGGAGAAAAAGTGATTGGTTTGTTCGTAATAATACACTCAAGGTTGAAGGTGGACAAAAAGAAATTATTCGACGTAAAAGTTCAGGTCCTAATCGTGGAGCGGTGAATGTTGAGATTGACCTTTCATCTTCAGATGATACTGAATGGTGTTGAGATGACCTTTGGTCGAAATGGTTCGAAGGGTGTGAAGTATCCTTAGGGTCAAACGCTGCGGAATGTTCAGGGTCAGATGGATCGGAAGGGGAAAGTCGAGAAACGTGAGGAATGGGGGATAAAGAAGTCGGATCCGAAAAATCTTCTTGGTCAGGGATGAGATCAGATAAAATCTTCAACCTCCTTCGGCTTTCGAATACTTCCACATTGGTTCTTAAGGGTAAGTCCCAATTGGAAACATGAAATAATGACTGTTGGGGTATCAGTAAACGTACTAACCATATCGTCCCATCTCAACCATATTTCCCCCGCTCAACCATATCGTCCCATCATAACCGTCTTATGCATCTCGGCCATCTTGTCCATCTCGACCACTCTTCTGGTCAAATGAAATAAATACTCACGTCAGATTCTCCTTCTCCTGAATTGAAAACCTCAAATGATTCTTCTGACATCTTTCAAAACTCCTCCTGACTTCCTCACTCTTCGATCTATGACAAAATATGAACTATCGGAGGATGAAGAGAAGAAAACAAGTCTAAATGTTGGAATGATGAAAGAATACACCAAAGTGAATAAATAGATTGGATCAGATTGATGATTGTCGATCGAATGAATAAAGTAGGTTGAAAATTCAGATGACGGGGGAAAAGATTGTAACCGTTTGATGGATTTTTTTTCCTTGATAAAGTTTTGGAAAAAAGTTGATAGAGAGTAGAAATATGAAATATGAGAAATATATATACTTAGATGAGACGAGTAGAATGAAAAAAAAAGAAAGAAGGGCGATACATACTTTCCTCGAGGATACCAAGGGCGGTGTAACTTGATGAAGGGGGAGGTTTTATATGTATAAATCAAAACCAAAGGAACCCCTCTCCCACCCCCCTCTGTCATCGTCTCATTTTCTTACATCATTCTTTTTTTGAAGAAAAAAAAGAGTCAGAAGTCTGGACTGAGAAAAAAATCCCAAGGTGGGGGTTACTTCTTCCGATCAATCTATACACGAGATAATAAAAAAACCATACTAAAACATGGAGTTTTTGAATCTCCGTACTTCGGTTTGATCCGCGGGAATTGTCTTTTTTAGACTAAAGGAATCGGAGAATTTTCATTCCGTGCGTTATGAGTAATCACAGTAGCTTAGAAACGGTCGTTAACGTTACCAGTTGTGAAGGGTGGAATGATATGGAAAAGTACAAGTTGATTGAAAAGTCAAAACTCCTAAATTATCAAGGATCAGGAACATGACAATGTTCAGGAAAGATCAATCTTTGATCAAGTGTGCGAATGAAACGTGAATATGACGTGTGTCAGACAGAGGGTTGTACCCTGTACGATCAAATAAGCAAAAGGGGAATTAGTAGACAAATCAATAAAACAACTCGTACATGGATCTATATACACATACAAATGTTGTTCTCGAGCGGTTGTCAAAATATCCCTTAAAAAAGTTCCTCTTCTGATATATATATCTTCTCTTCTGTGTCTCTTCAAACGTCCATCCGATAATATTCCACCATCATTCCATTATCTTCTCATCATTTCACCCATACTATCATCATCATATCCATCATATATTGTCTCTAAACGTCTCTCCAAAAACTCCGATTCAGTTTGATTTACTTCACCACTACGCTCTTGTAGGAGTAGCGGCATGTTTGAAAAAAGTCGAAAGCGTTCCCAAAGGGTTCTCCCTCGCACTAAAATTGTCCAAACGTCCACCTGTCCCAGTTACCAACTTTAAACTTCCCATAGCTGCACTCAAGGCATCCGCGGCGGCTGACGCTTCTTTAGCTTTAGTCGACCCCACGAGTGAAGCCTTCTCGTTGAACTCTTCCACCTTGGGTAGGTTCTTCAGTCGAGTGGCACCAGTGACATACGCAGTCAGTGACTCCGTGTTCTTGGGACCTTCGAAAGTCGTCCAGAAAGAGGAAGCAATCTTGCCTGCCACACTCTTAGTGGAAGTAGGAGAAGAGCGACCGGATTGAGACGGGGTCGAAGGACGTGACGAGACCTTCTCCTCGACGTAAAACTTGGGACGCAAGTGAAGAGGTACGTTGGCTTTTTCATGCGCTGCCTCACGGACCGAACGTCTCCAGAGCTGCTCGTTGTAGTCGTTTAATGAACGGAGAGAAAAGGCATTGTCTTCTGTCCATTCGTGGAAGGTTGTCGTCAAGTCACCTCCTTTGCCTAAACCGCGCAAGTCGAAACCACGGACGTCGGCAACATCAAGTGCGGGATTGAGGTTGATTCGCGGCATGTCGACCATAGACTTGAGTGGAGTCTTGGATTTAGAAGAGGTGAAAGCAGCTGGTGTACCGGCAGACATGTCAGATTCCGGTAGAACGAGATCGGGTGTGAACAAATGATGACAGATCGTTGATCCACCTCCGAACATATTGCTCTCGGCACCACCCCAGAACCCACGGGCAGAACTCGAGAGGTCTTTGCGGGTATTGATGGTGGGAGTGGAAGTTCGCTTTGGTACATGACCGGAAGAGGATAGAGGCAAAGGGGTTTTAGCGAACGCTGCCATGAGCGGGGGAACGGGAGTGAGCTCTTGAGCAGATTCAGGGTGAAGGATGGTCATAGTGCTTTGTTTAAGAGCCTCGAGCTCGCGACTAGTAAGGATTTAGCGATGTACCATTCCAGATGACAGAGATTACGTACCGAAGATCCATGTTCTCCGTCTTACTGTTGACCAACTCGGCTCTCATGTCCTCAATGATTGCATCCCTGTCCCTCAAATGGGTCTCGAGCCTGCCAACGTATTCGTTTTTCCTGTTCCGGAAAGCACGAGCGGATAGCTTGTTGCGTAGTTGTCTTTTCTCCTTGGAACCAAGCTTTTCATACTCTTCCTTTGAGGGTCGCCACGAGTCATCATCGTTCAACTCTTCGTCGTCGGCACGTACGACACTCGAGACACCGCCACCTTTCTTTCCCCCCTTTCCACGCCCCGAGTTAAAGATATCCGAAGACGGCATGAGGCGGTCGATCTTGGCCTCGATATCTTCAATGGAACTAAACGTGGAGCCTTGACGTACTTCTCGCAAGGGAGGGCTGGCCTCGCGGTGGTAATCACGTGGTTCGCCTGATGGGCTAGGCTCGAGACGAGACGGACCAGCTCGAGGCGAAGGCATGGGGGCCAAAATGGGGGCTGAGAGAAGGGAGGCTGACGACGGCTGGTCGTTGATTGAAGGACTAACACTGGATGACGACGACGCATTGATCGATAGTGGGAATTGTGGGTCGAACGATGATGATGAAGACAACATAGCTGGGTTGACAGTCATCGGCGGGGATACTGTGTCACCAGTAGTCTTACTAATGGTCTTCGCATATGTGGTGAGTGCATTGAGAAAGACTTGAGAGAATAATAATTGTTGTTCGGGGGTAAGACGATCAAGTGGGAGATCAGCCGGCACCGAAATGATAGGCTCTGTTTCTACTTGAGGGACAGCCAATGCCATAGGCTGGGTGGCGACAGGACTATCACTGATCGAACCCACTGTCCAAGTATGGTCGATGGGTTCTGTCTTGATCAAGGGAATATGTTCCGTTGTGTTCATATCGACCAGTTTACCGAGACCCATGTCGAAGTCGAAATCTTCGTATTCCCCTGTACCCGCGACGACGAGGGGTGAGAATGTACCCGGGAGAGGGGAGGGAGTGTGGTTGGGAGATATCGTCGTTGGCGAGTGAGCCTGAAGTATGAGTTGCATCCATGTCGGAAGGAACTCAAGACTTACAGTTGTAGATGCCTCATTCTCGGTCTCGTTCTCATCGAAAGAAGAAAAGTTGAAAAAATCCAGTGGACTCATCGGATCGTCCATGTTGTCAGGCTGGTTGGGAGGCGATGACTGAGAGACGGCTGAAGTGGTGGAAGAAGAGGCTGTGAGAGAAGGAGAGAAGAAATCCATAATGAGAGAAAGTGGATAGAGGTAAAGTGTAAAAATGCGATGGAGTGAGACAAAGGGGTCGAAAAGATGTTGGAATGAGGGTTGAAGACTAGGAAGAGAAAGGTGTCAGCGAAAGGTGTTAGGTTTGAGGGGACAGGTAATCGCGTATTTAAGTCTAAAAAAATCCCCAAAGGGCGGTAAATGAGACCGATGTGTATGAGAGAGGAAAGATGTTCTCTGATGCTATGTCAAGTGAGGAAGCTATACCAGGCGATAAAGGAAAGGTGTAGATAGTCTGAGGAAAAAGAGGAGATGGGGGAAATAAGGTGGAGTGAGACTAGTCAGGTGAAGAGGATCTGTGGAAGGATGCCTCACCCTTATTCCGCCGATGGTTTGCCACTACTGACTCATCCACCCTGTCAAAAGATATCTTCTTCGATCCACACTCAATACTTAAGATGTCGTATGGAGTGTCAGAATGGGAGAAAGTGGAAAGGATCGAGGAGATACCACTTATGGGAGGATGAGAAAGTGATGGAGTAATAGTAAAGAGAGAAGAGTTAAGTTAGGGTCAACGTGGCGACCAAGGTGGTCTTTCCCCGTTCCCCGTGTTTCTCCTTCCTTCCTTGCTTCGGTCGGATGGCCGATGCGGGTCCCTTCGGAGATTCAATATCCTCGATTCAAACAGATAGCGCAGTAAAGGACGAGGATTTCTCTACTTATGTCTGTGAGGTAAAGTGAAAGGCTTCAAGGCAGACAAATCTACAAACATACAAGCAAAAGACACCGACGGCCGAAGACCGAGCGCCGATGCAACACGCAATCGTTTCCTATTCTTCGGCTCGGCTTGGCCAGAATGTTCCTTTTAGCGGCCATCACCGCCATTTTCATACAGTGCTCAATCGGACAGATCGTTCACCCGCACATCGTTCCGCATGCTCAATGCGGATGGTAGAATGCATGAATCATGTAAAGGTAATTAAAGCATGTTTTCATTCTAAATATCGTCCATGTTCGTCCCTCCAAACCTTCAAGATCCACTTTAGATAAAGGCAAAGATACCCAACAAACCCAACCCCGCTCCCATTACTATCGACTCACAAACACTATTCCGCCTCGCACCTGATGTCGCACCTGCGGTAGATGTGGCATCTGCTAATTCTGCCGAAGTCGCGTCGGCCGCAGTGACCGTAGCTGTGGCATAAACCACATGTGGACTCTCACCACTTCCACTAGGACCAACTCCGCTACTGCCACTTGATACCGGATTACTACTCGTTGACGTACTCGAATCGGTACTTGCTCCACCTGTGGGTAAACCACTACCCTGTGGGATGGTCGTACTTGCATTGGCTGCCAGTTGTGTGGAATCTCCCGCAAGAGCTGCAAAGCCTACTGCAGGTGGAGAATATCGATAGACGGAATATACGTTCTTCAGGACAGTATCACCAACGATCCATTGGACAGGAGAGTTGGAGGGAAGATCTTGAACGAAAGCTGCACCAGTACAATAGGTCGTATCACTCGAATATCGACCGAGGTTGAAATCCGCATCAGAGACTTGGATCTCGAACCCTCCAAAGGTGAGACTGAAAGAGATGGAGGTGGTACATGGATACTCGTAGTAGTTGACATATGATCCTGTCATGGGTTTTGACCCAGGGATGGCAGCGTAGATCTTGGCGATGATGGCTGAAGGACCACCGATGAGGGTGGTACCGGTATCGATGGCGGCTGCGGTAGATGTTCCCAGCGAGATGGCGGTACCCTGCATAGACATACCTGAGAATCAGATGGTGTTGCTCAAAGAAGGGCCAGGGGCACTTACTGTCGATGGGAATTTGCCAGTACTGAGCATCGGAAGGAACAGTGACGTACGTCACATCACCCGTATAAATGGTAGCGTCTGATCGGTCAATATAGTCACCCCTGAAAGAAAGTAGACTAACCGAGATATCCAAAGTTTGCCATACCACCATCGGATTCGACACTGGTGGCACCGGCGACATCTCGATATCGCTTCAGGTAGAAGGCGAATAACGGTTGATCCCAAGATGTTGATTTGGCGAGAGTGATCCACAGTGGTACGGCTGACCATTAGCATCCGACAGCACGCCAGCATACCTGACGGGACTCACCTTTAGAATAGGCTAAGCTCTGCCAGCTCAGTCCCATGATTCCACTCAGAGAGGAGCTCAGTAACCCTTGTGACAGGGTAGTGACAGTGGCCAGGGTTTGCGAGGCTACAGAATATCCGGCAAGAGTGACGAGATCCTGCACCAGAATTCCGGACGCCGTGCCAGAGCCGTATTCGATGTTGAAAGACGAGTTCAAGCTATCCCGTCAACGTCATGAATACGAAGTAGGATGAATACTCACCTCACGTACGAAGACGACGACTTGCTGGCATACGTCGCCATATTGGTACATCCTGTACAACCACTGGTGGCCACCCACAGATCCGACGATCCAGTATCTAGTACGATAGGGAACTCTTGACTGGGTGTACCAATTGCAATGTTGGCGGAATATGAAGCGTCAAGGTTATGGTCGGTAAGGTCGGCCTCACCAGCTCTTTTTCCCAACTCGGCAGCTATCAGGGCTTGAAAATTTCCAGCGCCTCCATTATATCGTCTATCTATGAAAGCGGCCGCTTCCAATAACCAAGTCGGTTGAGTATCTCTCTCTTCCAGGCTCTTTTTCCTATTTCGTCCATGGTATATGAGAGTATGCCGGGAATTATCACGCTTTGCATTGGCTGCTGAACGTGCTCGTCTGATGGAAGATTTCGAATGGAAGAGAGGAAGTGATGTCCCTCGCCCGCCCAAAACGCGTGGTTCGGCCGGTATGGGTGAAGAATGAGGAGGGGGAATGGCGAATGCTTCGGGCTCGGCCAGCGGACTGGCCAAGGCTCCCAGTCCGAGGGACAGTAAGAGAAGATGGGAGAACATGGGGAGACTGACAAACTTGTCAGGCGACCGACTTTTGGGGGATTGCGGATACCTCTCCAAGGTTTGGAGAAGTGAAAGATGGTGGGAGTGGGAACGATCTGGACCTGTAACGTCATCAGCCGTCTGGCATTGACTATCGAGAGCTTCCTCAATTTGGGCTACTCAAAGGTGGGTGCTGAAAGAAAGGAGAGTGAGGGGGGTGAGATGGTACGTTTCAGGCTGCGCCGGAGGGGATGAAGCAGGGGGTCTAAGGAGGATGATATTACTCACGCAGTCGAAAGGAGATGCCTTGGGTTGTGAATTTGCTGTTTGACGGTCAGAGCAGATGAGCAGACGAGCAAATGACAAGCAGGGGGTCACTTGGCACGGGGATGAATGGGATGAAAGTCCGACCAGCAGACTATCAAGGGCCAAGTGCAAGAGGCGATACGTTTGTAGGAGACTGATTGAAGACTACGCGAGCCAGTCGCGATATGAAAGTTGGGCTACAATGTTGTGAACGTCGATATCAGGCGCAGCCGGAAAGTCGTGATAAATTCGCGAGAGAAGACAAGATGACAGAGAAGATGATTAAAAGAAATGAAGAGGGGAGAGAGCGTGAGATAGAAAAAAGTGATGCGCAGCCTGAGAAGCAAGATGGGGTGTATGTCAGTTGGATGATGTGCCGACTCGGGGGATGCGGGGATCCCTGAGAGAACTTGCGTGTAGCCCGAGATGGATTTGCGGGGTAAGGCTGGAAATTGAGGATGAGTCTGCTTTACAGTGAAAAGAGCGTGACAGAGTTTGTCGTAAGAGGATGAACGAGTGCCAAGAAGGATGAAGGTTGGATCATGTTCACACCAAGACAAGGTGCAAAGGTGCCCATTGAATCATGGTGTGCGATGGTGAAACGTCAAAAGAAACTGGTTCCTGAGCTGTGATCAGGTATGAAGTGAGACCGGCTGAGTGCCGGGGCCGACTGCTGACTCGTGGCTGCGAGACGCCTTCCATCGTCTGACGATCACATTCACACAGATCAAGGACGTAGTTGCTAGGGTAGAGTAGTACCTAGTACCACGTCGAATACATGAGGCGACAGGGGAAAATAAACTTAGGCTTACTCTTCGAAGATCCTTTGTCTCTCCCACGGGATCAGCTTTCGGGGCGCGGCCACAAGATCAACGCGATCGACGATCGACACTTGAATGCGACGAAATTCGGAAATATCACTGGATTTGAAAAAGGACACGAATGTGGCGGTTATGATCAGCCGGATAAATGCTTCGGTCCGGGGACCCGTTGGGGCTCTCGCTTTCTTCAACTTCTTTCCCCCAGAACCAACCCATCTTTGATCATCTTCCTTTGCACATTCCATATACATTGGCCCTCATCAAGTCTCACTCTCATCTATCCCCAGTCATGGATTACTACATAGGTTTTGACGTGTGAGCTGCTCTCTGTCCCTTGCGAGACTAGCTGATCACTCCCAGGGGTACAGGTTCAGGGCGTGCTTGTTTGGTCGACAAGACTGGAAAGCTCATCGCTGAACATACCGGTTAGTTTGACTCACTCTCTGTGTATTCACTGCTGATATTTAAGAACCTACCCAAACTCATCGTTCTCCTACCGACCACAGAATCTTCGAACAATCAACCAACGATATCTGGAGCGCCCTTTCCAAATGCTCAAAGACTGTTCTGTCTGAATCCGGCATCTCTCCTTCTCAAGTCAAAGGCATAGGTTTTGACGCTACTTGTTCTTTGGCAGTGACCGACAAACAGGGGAAACCTGTCAGTGTCAGTAGGACTGGGGCCAGTGAGGAAGATGAGAGTGATGAGAATCTTGGGAAGGAGGGGGAGTGGAACATCGTCTTATGGGCCGATCACCGAGCGGAAGTCGAGGCGGAAGAGATCAATGCTTCTGGTGAGGGTGTCTTGCAGTTTGTCGGGAAAACCATGAGTGTGAGTCTTATCAACTGCCTTCCCAACCTCGTTCCTGTTCACTGAGGTGTTAGAGTATCGTCATTTTGTCATCAGTGATCTAAACTGACTCTCAGCTTGAAATGGAAGTGCCAAAAACCCTCTGGCTTTTCCGACATATGAAGCGCTTCTTTGCCGACTGCATGTTCTTCGAGTGAGTCCTCTTTCCCAAAGTCGCTTCTACCATCCGTGAAAAGGCGTATAATGTACAGAAGCTGACCACTAGTCTGCCAGATTACTTGACGTATAAAGCGACCGGTTCATTAGCCAGATCGAATTGCTCACTTGCTTGCAAGTTCTCTTACGTCCCGCCTGGAGCAAAAATGACTCATGATTGTGACGGTACCGAAGAAGTCAGCAAGGACGGATGGTCCGGCAGGTTCTTCAAGAAGATCGGTCAGTCGTCTACATTCTGCTCGACTGCTCCCTTCTCTCAAGTCATTTCAAGAAGGGACTGGTATATGCTGACATCGAGGTCTGGACTCAATGGTCGAAAATGACTTCGAGCAACTAGGTGGGATACCTGGCAAGAACGGTCTTGTCCTCACTGCTGGCCAACCGGTCGGTAAGGGCTTGAGCAAGGAAGCTGCGCAGGACCTTGGTTTGGAAGAGGGATGTGCCGTCGGAAGCGGTGTCATCGACGCGTGAGATCTAATCACGGAGTGACTAGTCACCGGCTGATCCAATCAGGTATGCGGGATGGATCGGTACTGTCGGTGCGGCTTCAGCTCTGGACGACGGAAACGTCACCGATATTCCCTCATTCCAACATTCTGGTACACGACTGGCAGCTATTGCCGGTACTTCGACTTGTTATATCGCCCAAAGTGAAGAGGGTATACTTGTGCCAGGGTGAGGTACCCTCGCATACTTTCTAATACCATATCACATCTTATATCTCTCAGACTCACTGGTGCTTATACGTTGTGCCGGCAAAGCTAATCGACCATATCACGAGAAGCTAACAATCAGAGTTTGGGGCCCTTACCTCCATGCTGTGTTCCCCGGATCGTGGATGAACGAAGGTGGTCAATCGTCAACTGGTCAATTGATCGATTTCGTCATGCAGACACACCCGGCATATCCTAAGCTTGTCGAGCTTTCCAAGTCTACTGGCAAGAACGTGTTCGCTCTGTTGGCGGAGAGATTGGAGATTATGCAGAAAGAGCATGGCGCTGAGACTTTGAGTGAGTCTTGACTTTCTTACGCCCTTGTCCGTGCCGCCATGTTGACCCTCAGCCCATTTGACGAAAGATTTGCATTTCTACCCTGACATGGTGGGTCTTTTTTCTCACACTACACTCCTCTTTCGGAGGCGTGTGGTATACAATATGACTCATGGACCAGGTTAGGAATCGAGCTGACTTTCAGCATGGCAACCGTTCTCCACTCGCCGACCCCAAAATGCGAGGCATGTTAACCGGTATAGAGCTCTCAGACTCTCTCAACGACCTGGCTAGGAAATTCAATGTTACTTTGGAGGCTATCTGTTTGCAAACCCGACATATAGTCGATGAGATGAATGCCAAAGGTCATAGGATCAATTCAATCTATATGAGTGGTTAGTCCCTGCTCCATCCCCCTTTTCTACGTCAGGAGTATCTGACGAATTATAGGATCACAAGCCAAGAACAGCGCCCTAATGCGACTTTTAGCTACAGTATTGAATATGCCAGTCGTGATCCCTCCACAACCCAGTGCTGCGGTTCCTCTTGGAGCTGCAATGTTAGGTCGGTTCGCTCATGAGATTTCTGCTTCTCGACAGGATACCCCGTTCAAGGACCAACAAGACGCTTTGGATGCTGGTAAGAAAGACGGATTGAAGTTGTGGGATATCATGGTGGAGATGACTCAAGCTGGAAAGAGGATAGAACCAAGGACTGGGAAAGAAGGAGAGAGGGAGAAGAAATTGTTAGAGGTTAAATATAAGATTTTTAGAGAGGCAGTGGACGTACAGAGGAGATGGAGGGATATGGTAGCTGAGGCGATCAAAGAATAGACGGTGAAATATCTTGCATATACTTGCATGCATAGACTGGTTTTGTGCTTCAGTCGATGACATAGTATACGGGCAGTGATACAAGCTTCCCGTGTCGTTAGACAACCCGACGGTCCAGAAGTAGTACAGTCTTGGAGTTGTAGCGACCACCAGCAGATATGCAGAAGCATCAGGTGCGGAACTGAATACAGCATTTGTGGAATGGAACTCGGCTTGAGGACATACTTTTAACGTCGTCAAGGTGAAGCGTCATTCTTCACAACGGGAATCCGAGCTATCATTGAGTAGGAACGAGACATCGGCACAATGAGGACAGGGGGTTCAGTAGAGAGCAGAATCAGTAAGAAACATTTTCGAGTACTTGTAGCATGCAGCATGTAGCAAAGAATACTACAAGATTGGTTCATGAAACGTGGGGTTTTCCCAATGCAACTTATTCAAGCATAATTGTCTATGAGAACATCGCGCAAATCGGCGATGACAGCATTACTGTTTTGTCCTTGTAATTCTGCCATGAGCTGAGTTCCGGACGAATATAAATGGATTAACTCTCGGGGTGATATACCAGGCGGGTTATATGTATGTCGTGTATCAGAGACACAAAGAGGAATGTGAGATGGTAGCGTAAAAAAGTGTGGAAGAATGGACGTACGGAAAGTAGCTTCGATAACACTAATCTCCGTTGCTGTAGTATCTAAACCTGCGAATGCACACCAATCATTTACTACCAAACCTGCTCCTATAACTTCCGATCCTCTATTGACGGTCCCAGCTACTAGAGGTACTTGCAACAGAGAAGATAATTCGTCTAATTCGGATCTTGATGTTTTGGGATGTACTAGACCGCCCTTTTTTGATTCAGCTAAATCTTCCATACTTGAAACAAGCCTTCACTAGAGATATGTCCAGTTCAAGCATGGGCCGACCAGGTACATTGGGATCAAATGTGGGAGTGAAGCTTTTGAAAGAGAAACTCACTTGATTTGATAAAGCACAATAACTCCCTACGAGAACATTACTAGCAACGGTTTGTCTAAAAACTTCAACTTTTAAAACATCCGCTATAATCTCTTCTGTCTCTCTATCAATATCCGGATGAACCAAAGCTACATAATCGTTACATGCTATAACGTTTCCCAAAGCTGAAAGTCTCTCTTCCACTCTTTGTATAGCGACAGCAGGAGGGAGAGCATTACGTAGATGTTGTAGCTCTTGATCTGTGGTTGATGCGGGAACGAGAAGACCGTGTCTGTTTCCAGCGCATAGACGACCGACTATACGTGTACCGGCTATGGTGGTGTGGACGATAGGAATGACATCAGCTAATTCAGCTTCGAATGCAGAGTAGAAGTTGGATGATGATGCAAGGGCTGTGAGGCAGTATCTAATTTGTCAGCAAAAGTTTTGATACATCTACGTGGCTCCCTTCATAGATAATCTGGGGATGGTATTGATAGATGAACACTCACGCATTGGTGAGTTTGGAAAAGACACCGATATCGGTGGAATTTTCAAATTGGATACCTGAAAATTAGAATTTTGACATTTCTTTCTGCTCCCTGCTGGGATCCACTCACGGACAGCCATTTTGAAAGACGATACAATCAATTCAGTGTATTCAGAAATCGGTCGAAGAGATTTCTGAGAGGAGTGCTAGAGTTGGGTAGGGATGAAGGTATGGGGAGAGAAGAGAGAGAGTCAATATTATAAGGCAGAGAAAGGAGTCTCGAAAATCCTGCATGACTGCAAAAGTTCGGAGGTTGTAAGAAGATTACGTAAACAGCTACTTCAACTCTTCGATTGACTTCAATCCCTGCGGCCAGCGGAGGAAGAAGAACACACCAAACTTGGACGGTGCGAGTACGAGTACTTACCCGTTTCCCCATCAGAGGACGTAGGATGAAGCTACAACAATATATCAACTCATTCTCTGAACCTCTAAGGGTGGAAGATCCGAGTCCCCTATTACGATTATTATCAGTGACGAACAAGACTGCTCGTGGTTTACATGATACTGTCGGTTCTGAAGCTGTGAGCGAATTCAACTTCTTACCTTGTCCTCTCTTCGAGACCCTATCATATCCTGGAATGTCAATAATGAAAGATCTTTGTTGATATCCTAGGAACGTCGTCTTCCCAATCCAGGTCATTCCTTACCTGAACCATGGGATGCGATAGCTCTACGACATTGCGCTTGCGTTCATGCGTTATATTCGAATGACTTTGTCAAAGCGTGAGTTCTCACCCTCCTTGAGGAGATACTGTAACATTACTTATTCATAATCTAGATACTCTCATCAATCTCAACTTCTGAGTCTGTTTTACCGATGGTTCCAAGAACGTTCTTCTTGGGCTTTACCTGTCTTATATCTTTTATTGAAAGATTTGCGGGATCTGGCGGAGCAGGTCAGTTGTTAAACTCTTCTTGATATGTTAGGGAACGAAGCTGATACGTAGGCTGATTCGATCACTTATTCTCAAACTGGGAGAACGCCGGCTTTGGAGGAATGTACGAGGACAGTTAGCAAGGCGTTCTCGATATGTGCAACTGATCGGTCAGTCGAGATTCTTCTTCATCCCTTATGTTCAGGTGTCTCATAATTCAGGTTCTGGTCATAGTGATGGGGTGGAAAATGTAAAGCTGATATATAGAGCGTTTAAAGGACCAGAATCCAGGAGGACTGGAGTATATCATGTTGCTTGTTTGTCTCTCAAATGTTATTTCAAAGTGAGTTGTTAAGGTTCATCTTACCATACTTCCTCGCATTCACTGTATTTCATCTTACCCTGTTTATGTTCAACATGTTCGGGGCGAAAGGATCTTGGTGGATTGAGCGCTATCAAGCTGACCATGAGGTCGGTAAACCTAATCTTTGTAAAAATATCATTCGCGCCGTCACCTCAGATCCCAAAACTCCACCTATTGACGAAGCCCCATTAGAAGACCAAGTACGTCTCACCTCTCTGATGATGCTCATAACTTATCAATATAGATCACATGGCACTTCTACATCGGCATGCTTGCCTTTTTAAATGGGGAAGATAAAAAGGTGACTTCCCCTTATCATCTTCGGTTCGAACTGATCGAAAGGCAGATGAAGAATTAAATTGGGCTTTGTTACATTGTCCTTCCGAAGCCAGACGTAATCAAGAGTATGTATTTTCTCTTCCACTTCTTTTGTCGCTCTCTTGTTTCTAGCTCATAATGAAGACAGTGAGGAATGGAGCTGACAAAAAGACTCATACTCACCTACCTTATCCCACTTCATCTTCTTCGAGGATCTTTTCCTTCACCACAACTCCTTGATGAACATCCCAGATTATCCGAGGTGTATTCACCTTTCGTAGCCGCTATCAAATCTGGTAATGTCAAAGAATATGATGAACGGCTGGAATGGGCTCAACCGAGGTTGGTCAGTCTGAGTACTTATTTGGTTGTGGAGAGAGCGAGGGAAGGTTGTTTGAGGGTATTGTTCAAGAAAGCGTGAGATTTCCTTTCCCTCTTCATCTCTCCGTCTCCCTTATTTCATCATTAAACCTTTTTTTTCACACCTTGATACTTCTCTCTTCAACTCCTTCCATGTCTTGCTTCCAACCTTTTTCACTATTCCCTCTCACGTTGTATCGATCAAGGACTTGTGCTAATACTGGATTACAGATGGATAGCTAGTGATAAATCTTCCCGAATACCAATATCCACTTTTCAAATGGCACTGCAACTACATAACATTCTCGTCGATTCGGACGAAGTGGAGTGTATGGTGGCTAATATGATCTATCGAGTGGGTCGTCATTTCGTTGAATACCAATCGTCCTTCTCTGCAGGTTGTGAATCATGAAATACGGAATACAGTTTGGCTTTGGACCATGATCTGTGTTGGGCAGTCGCACTTGGGCAAGACTTACCAATAGGGATTCATGAAAGGTTACATTTCACACGAGAAACAAATGGTCGTTTTGGCAAAAACGAATCCTTTTCCTAATCTGCATGCGATAGCAAGATGATGGACCTCATCGACGATAGCAGATGGATCGATTTGTCAACACGGACGATGCTCGACGTTCATCTTTGCTCAAGTGACGCATAACTACCGTATACATTTACGAGCGAGGACCAGTAATTGACGGGATGCCGCTGTGCTTCGATGCGTGTCGCTTGCCTCGGAATACCATCCTTGACGCCTATACAACTATCTTGTAGCCATAAGGTAGGACATGACATGAATTGTACATGATGCATGATTGTGCTGTACATATGCTTCTCCGTATTCACACCCCTGGTCTCACCTCCCTCTCATTCTCCTTCACTCGTACTGATATATTCACATCGCATACTTCATAGGATTGGCTGACATTCAACTTATCATGGAATCCCTCGAACAATACCGGAATCGTAAATTTGAAAGTCTGTTTGATGCTCTTTTCACAACTCGCTGATACTTTCTGCAGCTCTGCAAAAGTGGTTGGCAAGCGAGCACAATCTTGTTTAATTTCCTCGACCATAGCATGCGGGGAAGATATCAACGCCCAGATATGCTTGTGGATCGGATGTCTGACTGTTAGCATAAAATCCTTCGAACAATTCGGAATGAGAAACGTCTGAGTTGAAGAGAGTGACGCCGAGTAAACTCACATTTGAGCTAAAACCTCATTGACGTGTTGTAGCTCCAACTGCGCCAATTGAGCTCTGACAGCTGCATTCTTCACCGGCAGTCTCATCGACCTGCGTCGAAGCTGTTCCGACATGAACTGCACATTAGTTGTCTCAATCTCTACACCGTTCTCGAAACGTACATCAGCAATCTGGTGAAGCACCTGTCATTCAGCATCAACGCTCATTGTTCCTTGAAGGGACGTACCTGTCCAACGTCATCGACTTCATCTGCAGACTGACGACGAGGCAGCTGAGACTTCTTAGAGATTTTGGTGTCCTTACTAGAGGCAGATTTCTTGTAGGTCGATGGCTTTTCAACATCTGGAGTGGTCAAGACTGGGTGGAAAATCGGTGTACTTTCTCCCAGAGGGATTTCTACCGGAGATGAAGGTAAAGACGGTATCGTTGTTTCCTTCCGTATGACCACAGCCACGATTTCAGATGCTTCATGTACAGGAGCAGATATTTCCGCATGGTACTGTGTCACTGGTTCAAGTGTGGGCTGGGGAGATCGTTCCACCGGAGTTGGCGATGCCAGATCGAGAATTGGTACTTCTCTGGACTTCGAGTTTGGACCGGCTTTCCGGGACGAGTTCGAGGCTGCAAGCGCGACTGGTTTCGACTTCGGCGGTTGACGAGTTCGAAGCTCCACAACAGGTCGGACAGCTTTCGTCCTGCGGTCCTGAAGAGTGACGCGCCGTTTTTTGGACCTTTGGGGAGAGTGTTGTTCCTCTTGCTCGCTGCTTTCCGCGTAGGGCGAAGCTTCTTTAGATCTTTTGTTACCGATACGTGTGGACTTAGGTGAGGAAGGACCCGTATCCTCGTCTACGAAATCTGGGAGAACCCCAATATCGGTGGTGGGTTCGGAGATCGGGGACGATTCTTTCTCACCATCTTCCTTCATTACCGCGATTGAAGGCCGTCCAGGTCCCTTGCGACCGCTAGTTGCCGATTGCGCTTCACTATTGTCGTTGGATGTGCTGTCTTCGACCTCTTGCATTCGAGGCTTGCTGAAGATAGTGGGGGTGTCTTCTACTTGATCGTCTGCTGGGGTAGGTGGAGGATGTACGACTGGTCCATGAGTGACATGAGTCGAGTGTCCTGTATCACCAACATTGACGTCTTTGACCCGTCGAGATTTTGTCGTGATGGACGCTGGTCTCGAGGCTGGTAATGGTATCTCATTATCGGGACGACCTCGCTCCAATAAAGATGGTCTGCTTTTCCGCTGAGAGGCACTACCTGCCTTTGATTTGTCGATGAGCCGGTCGGTCGTCTCGCCGTCATGTGACGAATTGTCCTCCGAAGACTGCCCGTCGGTAGTCGCTGGGTGGACGTGGGAATCCACTACGGACTGCTTCGAGGTATTTGCAGCTTGACGTTTGTCTGGACGTTTCCCATGAGCAGTGGAAGCCGCGGACGATTTCTTTGGCTTGTTTCAGCAGACATCGGGCAACGGAGGTTACGGACTTACTAGCTCCTTTTTAGGCTTAGGAGCCACCTTCATTGAGACGTCTCGAGGGAGTAAAGGTTTGAAACCTTTCCGAGGCGGAGAGCGTCTCCTGGGAGTCCATTCTGGGCTTTCCTCTTCACTATCGGAAGCTACTACTACTTGTCCCTCAGTCGCAGATCCATCCGTCTCTGTTTCGCTTTCGCGGGTCGATGGGCCCTTGCTAGGCGCTTTCTTATCTATCATATCAGCGCAAGGCCGCACGACATAGCTGTGCTCACATGTTCGATTTGATCGGGCAGTAGCTGTGATCAGCACTTGGGGAAGTCGCTGGGAGGGAATAGGTAGGGGAGTCTCTACGACAGTCCCATCCGTATCTTCAAGCTCCTCCTCGTTGATGTTCTCCGCCGCTCTGGCCGGCGGATCATCGTCCTTGACTCTCGACGCCTCGACAGCGATTGCTGTATCTGCCGTGTGGATACTGTCAGCGCTCATAGCGGTCGAAGGGACTTGGACCACTCGGTTCTGATCCACAGCTTGTGGCTCATCGACTGCAGAAGGGCTACGATCTTTGGCTATCATAACTTCCTTGATTACTGGTAGAGGCCCTTTCGTACGGCGTGCCGACGGAGGGCGAGATCGAGTAACAGGTTTATCTGAAGAAATGGAGGGTGAGCTTGGCTGGACTTTAGAACGTCGATTTGGTACGAAAGTCGGTGGGACCTCTGGACCGCTGGGGACAGCTTGATTTGCTTGGGGAGGGTTGGATATCTCCTGAGGATCCCGCGAACCTACGGAGGCATGCGAGGTAGGAGAAGACGTGTCGCCTACATCAGACATCGATGAGAGCTCTTCGTCATCTAGAGCATTAGACGCACGTTGTGCTTCCAATTCTGCCTGACTTTGGGAACGTCCGCGGAAGGAAGAAGGTGCGGGAGTGTGTGACCGTTGGCGAGAATCCCTTTTCTTGATTACAACCGTGGGCGACGACAGATTTGTATGATCGTCTCCTAGCAGGCGTTGGCTCGCCGACTGGATAGAGGACATGTTGGCTCGCTCAGGCGCTTTGTTTGAAACTGATACCTGTGAAGCGTTCGCCGGGAGAGGGGTAGCTGAACCGTAAGCCTTGGCTCGAGGGGTGACCAACGTACCGGCTTCACCTTGAGACGATCTCTTTCGATGCGGAAGTTGTCTGAGACCTCCACATATGACGGACTTCTGGAATGTCAGCAATGATCATATGTCTTCCAAAACTCACTCCTGCCAAACGAAGCTTCACAATATTCTCAAACTCCTCAGCTTGCTCCTCTGGACATCGAATTTGAATTGCTCGGACGACTTGTTTAGCAGAATCCGGACGCAGCAGGGCTGTGAAAGCTTCTCTGTCAATATGAATGTAGGGAGGGAGAGAACACGTACTGGCCATCGTTTTGTTCTCTTCAACAACACGCTTCCAGCAGTAGATACGATTGTTTGCAAGCACGACATCATCCTCCACTCCATCATCGTCGAACGACTGGCCGCATTAGCGCACCGACTGGACAACTTTCCGACATACCTTTAGTGTCCAACCCCACTTATCCACGTATAATATCACGTCCCCATTCTCTGCCCGCTGGGCTGCCTTGCGATTCTCCAGAAGGTTCTGACCACCAAGGATGAAGCGACTGACTGGAAAGCCCATTGGCCTATCGGCGTTTGGTGCACAAGCTGCAAGGTTGATTACTGCCATATACGCCCACAAGGTCAGCACTATTACATGGGTGAGGGGACGATCTCACTTTAGGAGCCAAAGAATTCTGCCGCATCACTCTTAGATGTGCTACCAATCTGCTAGCGACCTGAATTGTCCAGTCAGCGGCTCTGGCATCGAGCGCAGCCTTCAACCTCGTCTGAAGCTCTTTATCCGTATGTGGCGTCAACATTCCAACAAAAGTCCGGGTCAGCCACAGAGAAGTGTTTCCAGCTAGAAAATCAATTTTGTCGACTCCATCCGGTAGCCATCTCACCTTGGCAGTCGAAGAATACTTCAGCTAACAGTGGACTTGAATGGGTCAGCATAGCAATGTTCGGTAGTGACGACGGACTCACAATCCTAAGACATCCTCCTGCCGTAAAATACCACGTCCAACCGATGATTTCTCATCGCATGCGATTAGAGCTAGGATTCGACAGATCTTACAGATCAATTTCTGTACGAATAGCAACACACTCACGAATGAAGCCGGCTCTCCTTCGTCGATCAAGTATTCTTGACAGCACAGTAATAAAGAGGAGAGAAGGGAAATCCATGCCTTAGTATGAAGTTCTTTGGGGGCACCTAAGAAGATGAGCTTCGGCTCCTGACGGCTCAGAGTATGACACTCACTATACAGTGCATCAGCTTGCACGAGCTACGACGTCAATTTCCATGGTACCTCAAGTCCGAACTCACTGTGATTCTAAGGGTCAGCATACCCTACGACCAACGCCACTTGCCGGAATGATAACGAAAATGACTGACTGTTCGCAAATAGCCCTCACAGCTGCTGCTCCTTTTCTCATGACAGCCTGTACTTCGCTTACATGAGCTAGACTAGAAGCGGAACCAGGACCATTGGCCAGATCGGGCTCCGGGCTTATATTTCCGTTTTTATATCTTATCCGTTCCGTCCTTAAGATATCTCGACGAGGTTCCAAATACTTGTGCAGAACATGATGGAGAGTGACATAGTAGTATGTGAGAAGGAAAGGGAGTGGGACGGTTTCTTGTAGTTGTACGCAGAGATCCTACAACGGATCAGCTGCCAGCGTTGATATGCAGAGGTATGCAGGGACCCACCTGATCATCGGCCCACTTCACCCACGCCTCCATTGAAGTAAGGGGAGGGTCAGACTCCGACTAGGTTGTAAGTAATGCTGGAGGTGTTACGAGAGAAGACCCACCAAGGCAGCGAGAAGAAGTCGCAGACCTTGGTCCCATTGCCCTATGAGATTATCATCCTTCTGAGACGCATCTCTACTTTCAAGTGAGCCTCTGATCTTCTTCCCAATCTCGTGTATGTCGAGCAAGTCTTCTTGTACGTTCTCCACAGTTGAGTCCTCTTGCGGAAATTGCTCTTGAGCCTGCCCGTCCTGCCCGTCAATAGGAAGGGGAGAAGGGTCCGGTGGCGGACGTTGTGAAGGAGGTCTCGCTCCTTGTGAGCCTTTCGCTTTCAACTGAGCAGTCTGTTTAGGGTTAGGCTTGTTCTTTCTTGGCGGCATGGGTCAGCGTGTGAGTGTGAGTGTGGGTGTGAGTGGGAGTGAGAGCAATGCGGCGAGTGGATAGAACGGCGTGTGAGAGGTGGCATGGATGACGAGAAGAAGGAGAGGAGGGAGTTGAGTGGGAGACAAAGTCACTCGCGTGGACCCGCACGCCTATCCGGTCGTGTCACATCCATTTCCCCATCCGGCAATTCCCAGTCCGGCTATGGCTTGCGCTCGCGTCACCCTTTCCTCTTCCCTTATCGCTAATCACCTCGTCCTTCTCACAACCACCTCTCTACCCCTTCACATCTTCTCATCTCATACTCATCTTTCTACCAGGTTGTATCTCTCTTCCATCCCTCTGCTCATCTCATATCATCATGCGCTCAATCTTACTAGGCGTTGGAGCAGCTGCGCTGCTCCCTTTTGCTGTTTTTGCCACTCCAATCTCAGCTGATCCTGGGCTGGCTCCTCTCTCAGCCTCTCCAGACGCTCAACATATCGACGACTCATATATCGTCGTCTTCAAGAAAGGCATCGACGTCGACCAGATTGCTCTACATCTCAACGTTGTGGAAGGATGGCATTACGCTTCTGTGAGTTGTTTATCTCAATTGCCCGATGCGGAATTCTATAGCTGATGTAAAAGCCCTTGTACGCTTTCACTTCCGATGGAGATGTCGATACCGGTGGTATAAACCATGTCTATGTTCCATCTACAGAGCACTTCAATTACGCTGGGTATGGTGAGTGATTTCCCGACTCCTTTGTCAACTTGCTTATCGGTTCAGCTGGCAAGTTCTCACCTGAGACGATCGACTCTATCCGATCCGCTCCCGAGGTCGCATATGTTGAACGAGACCAAGTCATGCACACTTTGGAAATCCCCCGCGGTGTCGACGATGCTTTTTTTGACGGTTCCGACGACTCGGCAGATCTCAGCTCTTCCGGCATCATGACTGAGACCGGCGCTCCTTGGGGACTCGCTCGACTATCTCACCGTGATCCCCTTCATCTGTCCACTTTCACCAAATATCTTTACCACCAAGATGGAGGTTCAGGTGTTACTGCATATGTCATCGACACTGGTATCAACATCGATCACGTTGAATTCGAAGGACGCGCCACTTGGGGTAAAACCATCCCCAAGAACGACGTAGACAAGGACGGAAACGGTCACGGAACACATTGCGCCGGCACGATTGCAAGCAAGAAGTACGGTGTAGCCAAAGCTGCCAAACTCGTCGCTGTTAAGGTACTCGGTAGTAATGGTAGTGGTAGTATGTCTGATGTGCTCGCCGGTGTCGTGTGGGTTGTCCCTGTATCAATACCACATCGCGACTGACAATTAGCTGGGCTGCCAACCAGGCGTCTGAAGCTGCTGTCAACGCTATCAAGGAACTCGTCGCCACGGGCAAGACGAAGCACAAGGGTTCCGTTGCCAACATGTCATTGGGAGGAGGAAAGTCTCAATCTCTGGACGACGCGGTGAATGCCGCTGTCGAAGCTGGTCTTCACTTTGCCGTGGCTGCTGGCAAGTGAGTCATATGTTCATTCTCCACTACATCCCATATATGTGTCGATCTTCAAGTAGACTCTAGGACTGTGCTGACTCTTCAGTGACAACAGAGATGCCTGCAACTACTCTCCTGCCTCTGCCGAACTCGCTGTCACTGTCGGAGCCTCTACTCTAGGCGACCAACGCGCTTACTTCTCCAACCACGGCAAATGTGTTGATATTTTCGCACCTGGGCTCAACATCCTTTCCACTTGGAACGGTGGCAACGAGACTTCCAACACCATCTCCGGTACCTCCATGGCCTCTCCTCACATCTGTGGTCTTCTCGCTTACCTTCTTTCTATCCACGGCACAGAAACCTTTTCCCTGCTCGAAGGCGATGACTCGTCGGACCTGGCACCCGCAGGTTATTACGAGAAAGCTTACGATCTCCTTCCAAAAGCTGTCCAGGCCGTCCTTCCTCAACCTGGTGCCGGCGTCGGAATCCTCGTCAGTCCAGACGGCAACCAAGTCGCCCCTATCCCACCCAAGAACAACGGCACTATCACCCCAGCTAAACTCAAGAAGGCTCTTATCGCCCTCGCTAGCCCCGGTATGCTCGAAGATCTTCCTAGCGGTACTCCCAACCTTCTCGCCTACAACAACGCCACCCTTCCGTCCAAGAAGGCTTAGAGATATTGCCCTCATCATATGCTGCCCCGCAATCTCTGCGCAAATGTAACATGCGGGAGGGGAGAAGAAAGGGAAAGACGAGAGGTGAAAGAGCTGCATGGTGTATAATTGTACCTGTATCATTGCGAATGCACCGTTTTCAACTGGCATCACACCCGGGGACAGACATGGCTGCATGTCACATCACTACAAGTATGGCAAGAACCTATCATATTGAGAGCTTTGAAAGGTGACGGATACTAACTCGGTTGGCAGGCGCAAGCTTACGACCGAAGATACCAGATTGACAACATTACATGTACCAGGCAACAGAATGAACTGCACGTCAGACGAGGTTTCGGATGGGTAAACTCACAACTAGGGGTATCTTCGATCCTCTTCTCTGAGGAGCGTCAGCAATCACGTCCGTCGGAAAAGACAGAAACTCACTCAGGGCAAGCGGATCATATTCAGCCGATTGACTGGTCTCACCGGCAGACAGAGTCGTCGCTACCTCGGACGGATCCTCCACATACACAAAGTCCCGAGCTTTGGCGGCGATGATCTGAGTGTTAGCTAGGTGCACATTTGCATGGAGGTGGTGGGTCACTCACATCGGCGTACTGTGAAAGACAAAAGAAAAGAGGTCAGCATTGCACAGTCAGCGCAGTCACAGCACTCACGTAAGCCGGGGGGATGAGCTATTAATCAGCGCTGACTCGGATGTACTCCCACCTTGAAAACTCACAGAGACAGATAAAGTTGCGCGACCATACGAGTAGCACATGTCATGGACAAGCGTTTGCATCGCGTCAGCGTCGAACTGAATGTCAGTGTCGCTTCACATCAAATCTATCCGGCCTCTATGTGACGTACCTTATTGTCATCGTGTACAACGATGCTACAACGGTCAGCTTTCAGTCACGTCAACGGGGATCACTCACTAATGGGTCGGCTTTGCAGTTCCTTGGATACCTGCATGAGCCTGAAGATAAAAGTCGAATGCATACGGATGCACGACAGCTGTGTCGACAACTGTTCCGGGCTGAAGATTGCCATTCCTCCTCTGATCGGTGTCTTCGGCTCTGGTTGCGAAGAAGCGCATCGAATGCTACGTGTATCAATTGAAGTACGATGGGAGGATAGACAATACACACTCGTTTGGCGCAAACAACAAAGGTGATGGCTGGTCGGTATTCCGGCTGAATTTCATGGGCTGCAGCCTTAATCGCTTGAACTTCTTCCCTTGATGCGTCAGATTGGAAAATCACACATGAGACATTCAGAGAATGCTCACCTCACAACGATGCCGTATTGGCCTTCCGAAACTCCGTCTCTGAACATATAAATTTTCTTCGGTAAGGCGCCTTTGGAGTTTTGCCGCCAAAGCTTGAGGTGAGCCACCGTCATAGATTGCAAGTCTCGGATGATTTCCCTGACTATAAGCGCAGTAAGGGTGATGGGTTAGCCGAACTCACGTTCGTCCATCTTGAAGACGGAGGCAGGGCGTGTACTTGACATTCTCGCCATTCTCTGTGGCAACCGTCACTGCAATGGATGGTTGAATTAGGTTGGCGCCCCTGTTCGGGGGGTGAGAAACGTCGGCGCCCATGATCATGACGGTAGCATCCACCTTCTGATGCTTAATGACATGCGTGACTCCGCCGAGCTTCATATGTACTTTCATAGCCACTGACAGTCAGCAAAACATTATTGGCTTCGAATGAGAACGTGGGAGAGGAGGAATGCACGGACTGTTGCCTTTGTATTGCTCGCTATTTTTGCGAATTTGTTCACCTTGCATGCATTGGGTCGGGACAGGCTAGTAATCAGCCGACATCAAAATGACAACACTTGAGACGTACGAGTTTCAAACTCGAGGCAGCATATCGCTTGACATCCTGGTACATCATCGTGTCCTTTTTCTGCTCTGATCAGTTCACTTCACTTCGTACGTGATCTGGCGGAAGAACGCACCGGCATGATCACGAAAATGAGCTGTGGGTTCACTTTCTTCTTCATAAACGCCATCCGGGCAGCCGTCTGCAGAGTCTCCGGGAGGCCATGCGATGTCTGTTTGAAGGGTTCGTAGGAACCATTGTATACAGAGACATCCTTATTTGTCACGATAACACCTGAAGAGTCAGCACGCAACAACGGGCAAGGCATGAACTCTGACCCAAGGCTGACAGACTCTCTAAGAATCTTCGTGATCAGCATGTCAGTACCTAACAGGATGACGCATTACGCACGACGCAAAGTAGCTTTCTGTAGGAGTCAGTTCAGCCGACTTCATCGCCAACGGACTTACTGAGTTCAGGTTCACTTAGACGTGGGTCGAAATTGGCGATACTCCATGACTCCAACGGTCGGTTAGCCTTGAAGAACTTGCAAATCAGCGAACAATTTCAAGTCGTCGAAGATCGTCGACCGCCTGCCAAACTCACCCTAGGCTTGCTGGCCAAATTCCATTGTCTGTGAAGTCAGCGCAGCGACAAGACGGGCGAGCATACTACAGAAACACGCACGCAAGGTGATATGCCGTAGAAAATGAACCTGTCACGAACTCACCCTTGTTGTCTAACCGTTTTGCCCCCAGCGTATTGGACCTGGGGACCAGGAAGGATTCGTGCTTGGGCTTGCAGCATCTGATTCTGCACTTGCATTCCCCAGGCTTTGATTTTCGGGAGTTCGGAGTAATTGAGTTTCGCCCTCCAATCCTGGACTACTCATGAGCACGACTCAAGTTTGGTGAACTCACTCATTTTCAGGCGTTCAGCGGGGGGTTTGGCAGCGATGCGAATCATGTCGGCGGCAATTTCGCTGGTTTGTTGCGCAAACGGCATAGGGTTGAATTCGCTGATCCTGACAAACTCTAGCCTGTGACGGTAAGCTTCACTTGACGGTTGAAAACAGACGTACGGAACGTAATTTTTCTGCCCATACATGACACATGGCAGACGAGGCTTTGTGACGGTAACATTATATGTCTCTTTGAAGTATTGTGGAATCTTGACCATTCTGTCTGGGCCTCCGTCTCGACCGTTCAGGAGAAATTGCAGCTCGTCAGCTGATTGAAATGTAAGACTTTTACAGCTGAACACCCTTTCGGTTTGGCTAATGCGATCAGCTGCTGCGAAAAAGGATCAGAAACGCCTCACCGGTGGGTTAGGGTGAATTTAGCATTCCTTAAAATCTTGTTGAGCTTGCTGATTTGGTTGCGGTTCAGCTGTTGCAAGTCAGGCACGCCACCACCACCACCTCCCCCGAATCCACCCCGTCCTCGTCCGCCCCGGAAGTCTCCCCGACCCCCACCACGTCCGCCTCTGAAGCCGCCGCCGCCGCCGCCCATGCCAAGCAGGCCGGCCGCAACAGTCCAGGAGTCAGCGACATCTCATCGGGAAGGACACGAACTCACGATGAGAGGACCCGAGTTTATAAAAGCGGAGTACGCAGTGTCTAGCTGAGATGTAAGCTGTGCACAGCGCGATGTCAAGGTAATGGCGAACCTGAATAGCAGGCAGACCGGATGCAGTGGGCCGGAAAGATCTGTACACGTTAGCTCGTATCAGGCATGTATTGAACCAGATGTCTCACTGAGTGAAACCTTTATATACAGTACACCCAGAGCTGATTGGTACCGAACCCTCTGGACCATCAGCGCAATACTTTCTACGAGATACGAAGCATTTCACCGGTTGAAAAGAACCGACGACCCTGTGCACCGACAGGCGTGTACCTTGCCGACACGTCCTGGCGCATAAGCACATTAGTGGCTTGGACACCAGTGAGCTATGCGTCAATCACCGGTCTCAATGTTATTTTAGCAAAACTTACTGCCATCTCGTTAGACATCTCGGTCTGACGCTGCTTTTTGCAAAAATCTATGACAGCTTGTAGATCGACTTGTTTGGTGTCACCTCGATTATCGGTTGCTTCTTGAAATACCACCCTAAAGCGACGCTTGTCGTCGTTAGGTACCTTGCCGTCCTCTACGAGGTTTACGATGACTTCGAGCTGAGATATTGTAAGCCATGATCTGGACGTTTTTGTAAGTAATACGTGGAGACACACCTTAGGACCTTCAAAAAGCTTGATCGGAGTGTACATGCTTTTGCTGGGAAATGTCAGCCAGAGTCGTGATGAAAGATAATAGACATACACTTGATCAAAGGCCGCCGCTTCGAGAGACCTCTTGGTACCTCCTTGAACTTGTTCCAACATCTGCTGCCAAATTTTCCACAGAAGGGCCCTCGGCGGTTTCCTACTCTCGTCAGCGCAGGATCTCTGACAAGAGAAATCTGCGCAGAAGACTGACTTCTGCTTAGCGACTTTGACGACAGGACTAATCTCAACGTCGTAATGACTGATGTGATCAGTTTAGCGCAGTCATTGAGAAGGGCGACTGACTACACCGAGGGTGCAGACCCAGTGGCGTCGGTCTTGAAGCGAACTTGATACATATTCGCAGATACGGTGATGGGCCTGCCGGCACGACCAACGCCGGGGCGAGGGGCATAATCTGGTAGAGCTGTCAGTATTTTCAAGCGTGGATTGACAGAGAAGCCAGAAGTGGCGAGAGGGAGGCGAGAGGGAAGAAAAGAGAAGGTATCCACTCACCGGATTGACCCCCGCCAATTTGCGAGAGGCTGAGGCCAGAAGTGATAGCCTCAACTCCCTAGAGAATGTCAGCGGGATGAGATGAATTGATATTCATGGGGACTCACCGCATCTGCTCGTCCTTTTGGGGGCATGTTGTGTAGAGACTAGAATACTCGTCAGCCAAGTCGAGAAACAAACTGAACTCACAGGTCGGGGTTGTTCTTTGTATGAGAGAACTTGGTAGCCGATCGACTTGAGTGATAGGAAGGTTCAAGAGAGAAATGGAGAAGAACGAGCGGAGACTGAAGAGAAGGGAGAAGAGAAAAGAGACGATGAGAAGAAGAGGAGAGGCGAAGAGAAGGTTGGTTACTTGTCCAATTTGGTTGACCAGACTTTTTACGTCTCGCCCCCCTTTTGGGGGTCCTTTCGAGTTTCAAGTCGGTACTAGCGCTAGTAAACGCGATGATCACGATCGTGACGAGAGAAGCATTCGCGCTACGTGCTGGTCATTGGATCATTGGCCATGCAGGTGGCAGGTGGGGAAGCCGACAGGATTGTCGGTCAAGGTACCCGCCACGGCCGGGCTAAGGGTTCTTTGCCTGTGGTATTCATACGTACTACCACTTATCCACCGTACTTGCTTCGGTACTTATAACGAGCGAATCAGGTTGTTGTATCTGCAACTGACATTCCACCCTTTATTCGACACTACCAGAACGTAGTGTCAATTGAGACTCATATGATATCTCGATAGTGAGTTCACTTTCAAACGCTCATAACGCAGGGACTCAGCAGGGATGCAGATCTGTCTCCTATCTCCCTATGCTGAACTAACTACTGTTCCACATGAAAAATTTCACACCGCGCCCTCATCAAACTTCGGATCAGAGCCATCTCAGGGTGGTGACTGTCTCATCACGCACTGTCCAGTCGGCCGTCGGCAGGAGTACTTACTGTACCTCAGACCACCCTTGCTTACTTACCCCGTGGATCGCAGTGGATCGACCAGTGGAGCCAAACCAATACGTAAGTGAGAGCATAGATGGTGTTCTTCACTTCGCAGATCGCGGACCTAGGAGCTAGGAGCTCTTGATCGTCCGTTCATCGGCCGTAAACAGATCGCCTCCTTTTCTTCTCTTCTCTGCTCTTCTCGGCTCAAACAGAAGAAGACGTTAATGAAGGAGCAAGGAGGTGAAAAGTGAAAGGACTGATCACATCATTAATACAAATGAAAAGAGAGAAGGGCTTCGCTTCGTCAGATGTTCATAGTCCGTCTTCTACTTATCATTCATGATTTCCTCCCCATCCCTTCTTCCTCACAAATCAACTTATATACCGCTTCTCAACTCTCATTGCCTCAGTGAATAAATCTCATCTCTGATTATCTCAATCACAACTTACTTTTCACCCATTTGACGAATACCCCCGTATACAATTTGTATGGGACCCAACCTCACGAAAAACGAATCAACGAACGACCCGTTGGACACAAACACTGATGCTACTACTGCTGGTTATTGCACCCTAGTTGTCGATTTCCCTCGAACCGAAATACACACCACTCCCTTGAAAAACTTGATCCCCCGGCTCACTGCTGACTTATACTCTAAGGGTAATCCCTCTACCGCAGTCATTGACGCAGCCTATCGGGCTCAAGGCACCATTCTCTCCGCTAAGAATTTCAACGTGACTCAATACCAAGCCGCATATTCCACTCAATTGGCAAAAAGTACACATGGAGGTACTTTGTGGTCTCATCAGAGAGAGGCGTTATTGGATGATGTGGTGAAGGTAGGATGGCAAGATTTTCTTGTCAAACGTGTCACACAGGCCCAGGCCACGCTTCAGAAGGAGGGGATGGATCAGTCGGTGTATGTGTTTTTTGACGCTCCGGAGTATGATAAGACTCTATTGAAGGCGAAGAGTACGTGGGTGGGACCATATCAGCGCCCGTAGGTCGATGGACATGGACGACCTGTTTGAGTGATCGATTTGAAATGAATATAGTCTAATGGTACATTGCATTCTTTGACATGGCATGATGATCCCAAATGACTACATAACTCTAAAGAGATCGCTCATCTTACTCATTTCTCTCTATCTCACCTTACCGATCCTATAAACTCCTCTTGTCAACTATATCAAGCATCTTCTCCACTCGAGTCAGACTTTTCTTGCTCAAGTTCTTTCTTCTTCTTCCTCATCTTCTTACTAACCGCACGATTTGCCTTTGTCTATCACCTATCAGCTGAACTCACAAATAGCCATAAGATAGCTCACCTTGGCTCCCCTCTTCCCTCCTCTACCTTCCACACCATCCTCCGCTTCATCATCTGACGGAGGGGCGGATAATGCTGAACTTTCTCCCTCAGCCTCATCGTCGTCGTCACTTTCCGAGGGATCATCCTCATCTTCATCAGTCCGTTTGGCCTTCTTTCGCGCAGCAGGTTTGGTCTTTCGGACTCGTTTTTTGGTAGGCGTGGTTGACGAAGAATCACGAAATTTCCGCTAGTTTATCAGCACCCTTCCACTATCCTCATATCATCACGGATCTCGACCTGGAGGGAAATGTAATAACAAAGACTCACACTTGGTCCTGCAGTGTTGACCGCTTTCTTTCCGAGATTCTTAGCCCACGTGTCAGTCTCATCGTCCAGATATTTCCTCGTCAAATTCTATTTCCATCAGTATTTTTCCCTTTGACAGAACGACCGAATTACTCTATTGACAGCCGCCGGATCAGTGAGATTGTGGAAGATATCCCTAGGTAATTTGATTTTCCCGGGGTAAGAGGTGATACTCCATGAATGTACTTGAGCGCGATTACGGATGATAATTTGGGTGAGCTCGCTAAGTTTGTACAGATTCTGACTTTCAGCCACTAGTACTTCATCTCATCTACAGTCGACGTACCTCGTTATCCTCAGGAGCCTCCAGTAAAGAGTCTCGGACAGTTTTAATCTTTCCCGCTATGAGATAGAGAAGGGATACGTTGTCTCTCGTAGCGATGCAATCGAGATACAAAGCGATGAAGCTACCAGGTCAGTCACAGAGATCGAATATGGTAAAGAAACTGACGTGGCGATATCTTTCATATTCTCAGGATCCCATGTGAAGTCAGGATGATGAGATAAGAGAAGCATTAATCGTGCTAGTGGCATTTCCACACGATCAATTCTTTCGGCTGTCCATCAGGACACTTGCCATTCCTATGTCAGCGTGTAGACTCACCCGTTCCAAGGTTGGCACATGTGCGCATGATAGACGCCGATATTCCTTTTGCCTATAGACGGTTAGTCACAGTTTACAATCTGAGGATTTACCCACCAGGAGGATATTCTCTGCCTCTGGATCTTTTGCCGACAAAGCAGGGAGAACGTTCCACCGTGGTAATAATCTTTGAGCAGGTAAGACTTCCAAGAGTTTATGCAAGAATCGATTTCGGACTTGAAAGACCGGATCCTATTTTTCAGCATTATCCCTGACCAGTGTGATATGACTGACTTGAATGGTATACGTTATCTCCTGGAAATACTCCGTCATGGCTTTATCGAACACTCGTACTTTGGCCAGTTTCAGCAGACATAGAGTAGCTCGTAAGCGCATGTGCGTCCTGGCATAACCTCTGAAGGCCATTAATTGGACGTTTGAGTAACTATGAGACAACTCACCCTTCCATGGTGTTCTCATTCACAGCTCCTTCATGTTTCAAGATCGACACCAGCATCTGTAGAGTCGGACGGAAGATGACCGCAGCATCTGCTTCTCGGGCATAACCCAAACATCTATGAGCACATATCTTCATACCTATCAATTTGGCCCGATCGTGGATATTAAGGTTCTCTTCATCGGTCCAAGCGTCTTCGGTTGTATCCTGAAGGTCAACTGGGAATCATACCCACGTACGTGTAAGACAACTGACGTCGGTCGATGGAGATGGTTTGGCCATGATGTCGTCAATGACAAAGCGGATGATTTCTTCACTTTCTTGCTCGAACGCTGATGGAGCTGACAGAGCAAGTTCCGCAAGAGCTCGAAGGTGAGAAAGTATATGATCGCCTCCGCTTTCTTTCAATTGTTCTATCAGATCCTGTCGCATAAGCCTTCCAGCTTCCTCTTACGAAGATACTCACTTTGATCAGATCCACACACAGATCCTTGTGTTTGGAGTTCGCTAAGAATCGTGCTGCAAGCTTGGCCTGTTTGACCGTTCCCTCCAAAGCTAGTTTCATAGCTCTCTCGGCTACCTTCCTGCAAATTAGTGGTATCCACCAGAGTCAAATGTACCCACCTGTCCTGTGGTGCCGACTCCGGCTCAACTTTACATATTGCCGATAACGCACGTAAAGCAGTCTCGCACAGACGATCATTTTTCTTCTCGTTCATGACAATCACCAGCTGTTGCACATAGTCACGATACATTGGTGCACACTCCTTGGCGATCAACTTTAAGATACGGAAGGAAGCTGCGGCTATAGCTTCACCCTGCCGACCAGCCGGCGGACGCTGGGCGGCTTTGAGAATTAGGGGTATGGCCGTTTTGTTGATGATATTGAATGAAGCGTCATCGATGATGAAAGTAAACGTCTCCAAAATGTCCGTATGCGATTGTTCCAGCTTGCGGAGAAATTCGTTCTGTGAAAGAAATCAGCCACGTCCCTCAGAATGGCAGGCTCAACGCACGCGAGCTTTGATCAGATCCCGTAGATTGGTTTGCGGATCAGCACAGGTCTTGAACAATTTGTATAGTCGAGCTTCATTTGCTGCAGCGAATGCCTCGATGTCCTTTCTGGCCTTATCGGCATCGGCGAAGAAACCTAGACGCGTTACAAAGGATCTGATGAAAAGTTGCGACGACGTACTGGCGATGGCTCGTGTCACAAATGCCAAACGGGCCTTGACAAGTTCTTTGGCCGAGTCGACTACTCCGCCCTGCGACTGTCAGATGAAGCTTGGGATACTTTTCCGAGTAGCTTACGTTGTATTCCTCACAAGAGACGATGAATGTTCGGTATGGAGAAGCACCTCTGACTGATCAGACACGTCGTATCAGAGAGAGACGACTCACTTTGCATATCCCCGCAACCCAGTCAGTCGTTCCAAGGCCACAAACGACTCGTCAGATTCGTCGTTCAGTAACCTTGAGGCTACTAGGAGCAGGCGGTCAACCCAAGCTTGCTCATCGTCGGCCTTGGCAGGTAAAGGAAGAATCACTTGACGAAAGATCGTCGTGATTTGATTTCTGGCCATCAGCCTTGTGACAGACAACGAATGTCACATACCTGAGGTCTGGGGGCGCATCTTTGCGCAACAGACAGCGAAGCATTTCATCAGGTACCCAACCCAATTGACGAATGGCATGAGCATTGTTGGACTCGCTGAGGTTCAGCTTGCATCGTAATTAAGATTAAGCTTACATCTCGTTGTAGCCCAAAGACCAGAGTTTGGATAGACCAGCGGCCGCCTCTTGTCGAACAGATGCCTACAAGATCAGACACCGTTGCCGGACGTAAAAGTTCGAAAACAACTGACCTTTTTGTCGCTCATCCTCGCGCCAACAGCCTTCAAGGAGACGGCATCAAGATGATGAAGAGCAGTCTCAAAATCCAAAGAGCCAATCACTTTGCAAATGGCCGCTCTCACTCTTTCGTCCGCATCCTGAATTCGATCTACGAGCGCCTCTGGATTTAAGCACGAATCCTCTCATTGAAAATAGTCCAAGAGACACACACCTTCCATCTCCTTCCGCAATTCTGGGTTCTTTGCTAAGACACCACGCGCAGCTTCCACCCACGCCAATCGTACGACCAAAGCCTTGTCAACTCTTCTTCCTAGCCAAGCACGCCATGCAGCCGGATAAGCTTTTGCCACATCTGCCACTCCTGCGCCTACCACGGGTCTTTCCCCAAACATGGTACCCAAGGTCTTTGTCGACAATTGTCGTAACGGTATCTCATCAGCAACTTTCAGGTTCTCTTCCAGGAGGGGTATGACATTCAGGAGTAGAGCGGGACAGTGGGAGTAGATGTTGAGAAGAAGAATGTGAGATTCGGTCAATATCTTCAGATCGTTCGAATCCGGATTACGCCCGTGAGAAGTCTGAATCTCGGCGAAGTGCTACAGAGTCAGTCAAGGTCGTGTTGCCAATATGAGAAGGAACATACGGCGTATATCGGTCTGTACAGTTTGTCGGATGCACGATTGCATACTTCCACGATCAACTGGAATGAAGAACTGGAAGTGGATGGCTTTGTGAATTGCTCAATGATACAATCCATAACTCCGAATGGAATGGAAGCTGATTCCTCGATCAACACGACGAGAATGTCGACCATGTAACGTATGAGATTTTTGCTCATATCAGGACTGACAGTCAGCTCGATCGAAGTACCGAAGTCGTACTTACCGGATGATGTCCATGAAGTCTTGAAAAAACCGAGCCACCAACACATCCCCATCTGGCACATCACAGGCCAGCACCACACTCTTGATCGTCGCCAGACTTTCTAGCAAGTAACAGTACTCGGAGTAATATGCCACGTCGGTGATCCTCTGAGAAGCTTGAGGAGGAGCGTCCGCATTATTAGATTTCGTCCTACTCGGTTGCAGAGGACGTATGACGGGTGCTCTCAAATTTTCGAGCTGAGCGAGGAAAAATTGGAAGATGTCCTGCTCCCATCAGTTCGAATCTTGTGGACAGGAAAGCTGACGTACTCTGAGTTCATCCCCGGTGTAAGGTGCATCTGGTGCGTATAACCTCAAGACATCGGCAAGGCAACAAGCGGCATAAATCTTCACGCCCCGACTGTTCATCAGTCCTCCTTCTCGTCCGTCAGAGAGAATAGCTCACTCTTTGTGATGTAAAATAGTTTGGTGTATAAGAGGTTTCCGAATAGGATCCAAAGATCGTACATCGACGTTATCTTGTTCTAGAGCAGCTAGTCTCTGATGAAGGGTCTGAATTGTAAGCAAGAAAAATCCCTAGAATTGTGCGGGGGACAGACTTTGATTCGTTTGAGTAAAGCGTCCGTATTCTCCTTCTTGCCCGATTGAATCAGCTTCTCAGGAAAGTCTAGCTTCACCTGCGTCTGGGTCTGGCTGGGCATTTTGAGACCCACACAGTGCTCGAGAATATCAATTACAGACCAGTCAAAAGTCAAAAGTAAGTGAAAAAGGAATCATCTTCCCGTCGCGTGGTTGACTGGACGCGTCGCCCACGTGGCCAGGAACTCAGCCCACTAGGGGAAAAAGTATCTCGACTCTATGTTTCCTCCCTCCTTCAATTCTTCAACTTACTCGTAGTAAACATCATTCACGATAGACGAGTCTGAAGAGGACGACAAACATCCGTCTGCGGATAAATCAACGCCGGAAGAGATGTTCCACGTCAAATCGCCTATCATGGGAGCGCGTTACCCACCTTCTTCCCCATTAAATCCTTACCCATCTTCATCATCTCCTCTCACTTCTCCCACTCCACCACCTGGTCCATCAGTATATCGTCCATTTTCTACTCTCGCTCAACCTTTCAGTCCGAGTTTACAACTTCAACGTCGCTCTCCGACTTCACAAACCCCCACTCGGTTCGCTCGACCAAGCCAAGCAGGTAAACAACGGTCGTCACCCGGCATTACATTCACTGCGGAAGGGACGACTCCGACCGAGAGCGCTATGTGGAGACAAGCATTCACCCGAAGGATGGAAGAAAGAGTACGGCGTAAGAAAGCCAGAGAAGAGGATCTGGCGCGGAGGCGGAATATGAAATTACCACAGGAAGAGGATGTTTTTGACGAGGAGGCGGAGCGTCAAGCTCAGAATGATGAAGAAGAGGTATGCTCTTTGTTCATTTGTTAATCAGTACCTGACAGACAGATTTTTAGGAGACTGATGGTTCTACAGCGACGTAGGGAAGAACGAGCTCAACTGGCAGCAGAAGAATGGGAAGGGGGAGGGTCAGATCCTGTGGCCCCCGAGTTCTGGGACGAAATACAGATACAACATACTCCCAGACCGATAATACCATTACGCCCCGCAGACATCACCATGGGCCACGAGCCACAGACTCCTCCTGTGGCGCGACCGTGGAGACCTGTCCCTTTACAAAGCGTGCAGGGTGGTCACAGCGTGACGGAGGAAATCGAGGAAGAGCGTTGGGCTAGGGAGGCCGCGGAAGCTGAGGAGGCTGAGTTTGAGGCCGAAGAGGCGGAGTTGGCGAGACTGATCGAAGAGGAATATTATAGACAACTTCAAGCTCAGGGGAGACGGAGTGAAGCGGAGGACGACGCGATGGATTTGAGTTAATTGGCGGTGGTGATATGGGTGGATTGGAAAGGGCGGGGGTAGATATATGTGCTTCCACATGCGTGCTTGTCTTCGTGCCCCTAGATCGTCTGGCACATGGACACGATGCATCATAATGCTCATTTGCTTAAACACAGATGTTCTTCGTCAACACGTTTAGTAGACCTGCTCGTAAGCCGACGTCAACATTGGGAGTATCAAACTGACTTTCTTCTTCTCGTCGACAGATATTCCACCCGGACCCATGTTGACCAGTAGCAGTAAGCCACCGACGATAGCTGCCTGTCAGATCTGCCGTATTTCAATGTTAGTAGACCTACATAAAGTCTGGAAACTGAACAGTCAGCACAAGCGAATGAGGATTGACTGAACTCACAAGTCATATTTCAAGAAGTCTCTCTGAGGGTGCGCTCTGTGCACACTCCACCTAGAGAATAAGCTCAGTACTATCTGCTCAGGTGAGGAGGCTTACCAGTTGTTTATGAAAACATTGAAGATGCTCAAGAGCGCTACCAGGAACATAGCACTCCATTTGGCTTTGAACCCGACTACCACCATGATACACGCTCCGAATCCGACGATCGAGACCAGCACACGGGAGATGGACCAGTTGCCTTGGAAAATGAAACCAACGAAGAGGAAGATGAGAAGGGTACGACCCGCGAGTTGGAAGCTGGGAAGATCAGCTTGGCTCGTCATCTCCAATTCAAGTTGTGACATCAGGTGACCGCACTCACTACATCCTTCTGTCTGTCTCACTTATCGTCGGAAGACCAGCAAAGAGTTTCTTGTTCTTCTGCAACGAGTCGGAGAAGACCATCAAAAGGCCCCCGATTACACTCAGATTACGGGCGAAGAATGACAAGTCGAAGATGAGTCCGTATCCCACACCTACATCATCAGCTGAGACAAGAACGGTCTTGGAACATACCTTGCGCTACGATCACACCGAAGAGGGCAATCACGGCAAATTCCACGTATCTCCGGGTGATCACTCCCACAGATCCAGCTGACATGGCCTTAAATACTTAGCCAGCCAAAAGTAAGCCATTAGATCTTTACTCACGAGCACATTACAAAAGAGGAACAAATGAGAAATTCCCCATGGCATATGTCGGTGTCTTTGCATTAAACTCGTATCAACGTCTCAAGTCGGACCAGCTCACTTATGAAGGTACCACAGCTGATCACTCCATTGCATAACGATCCTCAAAGCGTCTAGGATCAGCGAGCTGGTGAACATTGAGCATCAAACCCACCTTCGAAGAATGTGACGACGATCAAGAAGCGCGAGATGGCGGGAACGTAGGGTCTGATGGGCTGTATGTTAGCTGACGTTGGGTATATTTTGCTACACACCGAGTCCTAAAAGACACAGATACATACTTGGGTGTAAGTCTCTATGATGTCTTCCATCTTCGAGCTCATGCGTTGAACACGAGCAAGTGTCTCGTTGTCGCTCGTTTGGGTAGGGAGGCGGGATCCAATGGGATCAGGCTGATAGCCTTGCATCATGGGAGCGCGAGGAGCATTAGGATTCAGATGTATACGTTGAGCCATGTTGGACGGGTGAGTCTCAGGGAGGAGAGACAAGCCACGGGATGAGAACGAATGGGAATCGAACAGAGGAAGGGGAGAGAGGTATGACGATGGAATCGAAAGCAATTCATCGCGCTGGAAGTTGTCTTGTGGCGCTTCTTGAATGTGGCATTATGACGACAGTGATCTGATCTATTTACTAGACATGGTCACAGCCCTACATGCCTACGCTTGCACATACGGTACTCATACTTCCACTGAGGATAGCTCACCATACTCCTTACAGCTGGTAGCATGATAGAGATGAGAAGGACCTGTCGAGAATACATGGACTATACCCAAATGCTCCATCAAATTCGTCCTCCTACCGATTCCCCCTGCCGTCCACGATGCGGTATGCGCGGCAAGCATGATAGCGCTCCTGAGCAAACTCGGAGCCCAGGTTGAGTATCACCCAAAGGCCCTGACCTAGCAGCTCTTCCACATCCTACCCCTGAGACTTTGTCAGATTTCCGAGCAAGCTTCTGATATCTACTCGTAGCGTCGAGACAGTGAGTCGATCAGGTAATGGGGCTCCGCACTCACCTGGAACGACGGTATCAAAATTTCAGGGTCTCCCTACTCCCGTGGGGATTTCTCGGTGGGGGTGCTGTCGGACGACATTCCACCTCTCAAAGATCTTTCGAATATCTCTCCTTCTCACCGTAACATTTGCTTTCTTTTACGACCGCTGGTCTGCTATCTCTGAATAAAAGTCACCTTACGACCCTCCGTACCCTATCTCTAAGTTGTGAGTATCCTCTTGACGACTGCATGGACCTGAGCTAACTATCGTCCTTCCTCCCTCCTCCCATTTACTTCCATACCATTCTCCGTCATTTCCGCACAAATTCTCTACACAGCAGGCTCTCCTCCTTAACGATCCTCTTTCTCCGCTACAGCCATGTCTACTAAGGGTAAGCTCACATTCCATCTGCTCGACACCCAACACTCGACTTTCACTTGATTCATGGGGGAAGGCTGCGCTCGGGCCCTGAGTCTTGCACCTTGCGCCCACTCTTTCCCCAAAGTGATGTGAGAATTCGGCTTACACTCACAGCCATCCGCGAGTACGACGCTAAGCAGCTCATAAACTACTGGCTACCGCGCTCTCCCACTCCCATCCCTTGTAAAACTGAGTCCACTGTTGCTCCCGTCCGAGTCGCACAGGTTGAATGGTGAGTGTTTCAAAAATCTGCTGATGGAACGCTTGCTGATTCCCTAAGGAGCTCAGAGATCCATGCTGTCAATCCCTCCATCAAGCCAGGGGCTGGTCTACCTGACTGGGTGTTCACCTCCAAGCTTGTCGGCAAGCCGGACCAGCTCATCAAGCGTCGTGGCAAGGCCGGTCTTTTGTGCCTGAATAAAACTTGGGAACCTACCGCTGCTTGGATCGAGGAGCGCGCAGGCAAGCCTGTTACCGTCGAGAAAACCACTGGGACTCTCAACACCTTCATTATCGAGCCCTTCTGCCCTCATCCTGCCGAGACGGAATATTATGTGTGTATAAATTCCGCTCGCGAAGGCGATTGGATTTTGTTCACTCAGTGAGTCTCAATCGGTGCCAACGCTGGTGGCTAATTATTCAGTGAAGGTGGTGTTGAGGTTGGAGATGTAGACGCCAAAGCCCTGAAACTCCTTATTGCCGTTGGCGCCGAGGTAAGACTGGCCGACTTCCCCCAGAGCACATATTAACGTCTGCAGTTCCCCACTCGAGAGGTCTTGATCAAAACCTTGCTCACGAATGTTCCTGAGGCCAAAAAGGATGTCCTCTGCGACTTCCTGATCAGACTCTACGCTGTCTACGTCGACTTACATTGTACGTACATCCACGAACTTCTCCGCAACGCTTACACTCTAGTCGCGTATCTCGAAATAAACCCTCTCGTTTGCCTCGACGCTGTTGGCGGCAAGCCGGCGGAAATTTACTATCTCGACATGGCTGCCAAGCTTGACCAGACGGCTGATTTCCTTTGTGGACCCAAGTGGGCCATTGCTCGAGACACTTCGAGCCCCTCTGCCGCTAGCAGTACCATCACCGCTGACCGTGGTCCCCCCATGGTCTGGCCCGCTCCATTCGGACGTGATCTCACCAAAGAGGAGGCCTACATCCAAAAATTAGACGCTTCCACTGGTGCATCTCTCAAACTCACCGTTCTCAACCAAAATGGTCGTGTCTGGACCATGGTTGCGGGAGGTGGAGCTTCCGTCGTCTACTCGGATGCCATTGCTGCCGCCGGCTTCGCCCATGAACTTGCCAACTACGGCGAGTATTCCGGTGCACCGACCGAGGGTCAGACTTACGAGTATGCCAAGACCATCAGTAAGCTTTTCAGATGTGAAGAGCCTCCTTATACTGATGTTTCCAGTCGACTTGATGACTCGGGGAGAGCCTCATCCAGAGGGGAAAGTCCTTATCATTGGAGGTGGTAAGTAGAGTGTACTTCTCAGGGGACTTGCGAGCTGACTAGTAGGTGCTGCAAACTTCTCAGACGTTGCTGCTACATTCAAGGGTATTATTCGCGCCTTGAAACAATTCAAGGATGGTCTCATACGCCACAATGTCAAGATATGGGTCCGTCGTGCCGGGCCAAACTACCAAGAAGGTCTCAAGGCTATGCGTCTCTGCGGCGAGTCAATCGGGGTGTTTATGAAGGTGTACGGTCCAGAGTCGCCCATCACCGCCATCGTGCCAATGGCGCTTGGCATTGAGCGACCCGCTTCAGCTATCACCCGCGACGTCACACCCATCGGCTCAACCAACGGTTCACCAAATGGTACCCCCAACGGTGCATCTCACGGTGCAAACGGCCATGACATCCCCGACCCCATTGGGACGATCAAGGCCAATGGCGAGCGCGAACAGCCCAACGACCATATCGTCCATTTCGGTCCCCAATCACACGGTGCCCGACCTTGGTACCGACCATTTGACGCAAACACGCGGTCGTTTGTCTATGGTCTTCAGCCCCGAGCTATACAAGGCATGCTTGACTTCGACTTCTCTTGCGGTCGTAAATCCCCTTCTGTCGCCGCTATGATCTACCCATTCGGAGGCGCACACATTCAGAAGTTCTACTGGGGTACCAACGAAACTCTTCTACCCGTGTACACCTCCGTTGCGGACGCAATCAAAAAACATTCAGACGTCGACGTTGTGGTCAACTTTGCCTCGTCTCGATCTGTCTACTCGTCCACGCTTGAGATCTTGACTTTCCCTCAGATCAAAGCCATTGGTATCATCGCCGAAGGTGTACCAGAACGACATGCCCGTGAGCTCCTCCACCTCGCTGTGAAGAAAGGTGTTATCATCATTGGTCCAGCGACCGTTGGCGGAATCAAACCTGGTTGCTTCCGTATCGGTAACACCGGTGGTATGATGGACAACTTGATCGCCTGCAAACTATATCGTCCTGGATCAGTCGGCTACGTGTCCAAATCTGGTGGTATGTCGAACGAGCTCAACAACATCCTGTCCTACACGACAAACGGAGTGTACGAAGGTGTCGCCATTGGCGGTGACAGATACCCTGGTACTTCTTTCATTGATCATCTTGCTCGGTATGAAGCGGATCCTAACTGCAAGATGCTCTTGCTTCTCGGTGAGGTTGGAGGTACGGAGGAGTACAGGGTCATCGAGGCAGTGAAGAAAGGGTTGATCACCAAGCCCGTCATTGCTTGGGCTATCGGAACTTGCGCCAAAATGTTTACCTCCGAAGTACAATTTGGACACGCCGGATCGATGGCCAATTCGGACATGGAAACGGCTGAAGCCAAGAACCGAGCCATGAAGGCTGCCGGCTTCATCGTCCCTGACACCTTCGAGGATTTGCCTGCCACTCTCGAAGCGACTTACAAGAAGCTTGTCGCTACCGGTGTCATTGTGCCAAAATCAGAGATCGAGCCTCCTGCTATTCCCATGGACTACCAATGGGCTTCCAAGTTGGGTCTCATCCGTAAACCTGCCGCTTTCATCTCGACCATCTCCGACGAGCGTGGTCAGGAGCTCATGTACGCCGGTATGCGTATTTCGGACGTTTTCAAGGAAGACATCGGTATCGGCGGTGTTATTTCTCTCCTTTGGTTCAAGCGACGTCTACCTCCTTACGCCACCAAGTTCATCGAGATGATCCTTCAGCTCACAGCTGATCACGGTCCCGCTGTTTCCGGAGCCATGAACGCCATCATCACCGCCCGTGCCGGAAAGGATTTGATCTCCTGTCTTGTTGCTGGTCTCCTCACCATCGGTGACCGTTTTGGAGGTGCTTTAGATGGAGCTGCCAAAGAGTTCACCCGAGGTCTCAGTTCGGGTCAAACCCCTCGCGAGTTTGTTGACTCTATGCGTAAAGCGAACAAGCTCATCCCTGGTATCGGTCACAAGATCAAGAGCAAGACAAACCCTGATTTGCGAGTCACTCTCGTGGTCGACTACGTCAAGAAACACTTCCCTCAGCACAAGACTCTCGACTACGCTCTGGCTGTTGAAGACGTGACGACACAAAAGTCAAACACCCTCATCCTCAACGTGGACGGCGCCATTGCTGTCTCGTTCTGCGACTTGCTCTACGGCTCTGGAGCTTTCACCGAGGAGGAGGCTGCCGAGTATTTGGATCTGGGTGTGCTCAATGGTTTGTTCGTCTTGGGACGTTCGATCGGTCTCTCTGCACACGTCATTGATCAACGACGCCTGCGTCTGGGATTGTACCGCCGTGAGTGATTCTTCCACTTGATGTCTGCCGCTTTTCTGATATGCGACTTTCTGACAAAGACCTCGTTGCTAACTATGTACAGACCCGGCGGACGACATCTTCATCCAGGTAAGTCAGAACCCCCCACCATTTCCCAGACCGGAGCTGACTGGAGCAGATGCAAGAAGAACGCGTCATGTTCAGCCCTGGTCACTAGATAATCAGACTGGCAGGTTGTTCGCAGGGAGAGCGCAGAGATGTTCAAAGTTGGATGGTGATGAAGAGAGAGATCTGTGCATAGAAATAATGGTGGTAGAGAGCTCGTGGGGATCAAGGTCAACTTCACGTATAGAATTTAGTCGGATGAACATTTGCGATATGACCATGATATGATCATCAGTGCTGTTGAATAGGGCGAGAGCAACGCCACTCTTGCAACAACGCCACATATCACAGTTCACTCGCAACCCGTCTTGACTCTTCTCTTCGCCATTCCACCTAACTCAGTTGCGTCTCTCTACTTACCTAACGTCATGTCTGAAGAACGAGCAGCCGAGGGCGAGCATCCCGCGCATGAAGAAGAAAAGCCGAGAGAGGAGGGGGAAGAGGCTCATCTGCAACCTGGAGTCTCCACGTCTGACATCAAGACGCCCCCGCCTGAGCTCGGCCAAGATCTTGCTGTCAAGGAGGAAGGTAACTCAAACACTGGACTTCAATTAGAACACGCTGTCCAACCTTCTCATCCCAATATCGAACTCGTGAGTCACCAACTACATCGTATAAACCACACTAAAACTTCCAGTCCCCATCCAAATCAATATTACACGAACCGATCCATCTCAACCCTCATTCTCATGCAGCTGATGAACTTCATGCGCCCGACTCTCCCACCACATCCCTCATCAGTTCTTTGCGTATGCAACTTGCTCTTTTGGCGGAACAATCTCAACAGCTCAATAACAAATTAGTAGCTTCTATTTCCCGTCATGCGGATTTGGAAGATCAACATTTCAATCTACAACATGAACATGATGATTTGAGACGTAAAGCGGAAGAATTACAGAAGAGTAAATCTCAATGGGAGGAAAGTATGAATACTGGTTTGTTGGTTGAGAGAACTCAGATAACTGCTGAGATGCAAAGATTAGCGGCTGGTTTAGTAGAGGAAGAAAGAAGACGTGGGAGTGCTGAGGAGAGAAGACAAAAGGTTGAGAGTGAGGTGGATGATTTGGCTGCTAGTTTGTTTGATCAGGTGAGTTCTACGGTCCTCCCTTCAATATACTCAACATTCTCCATAGAGAAATTGGGGATCTTTACATGTGATGAGTAGCGTCAATGGAGAGAACATAGTGAGAGGGGAGGGAGTTTCCGGATGATTAGAAGATGAGTAAAGATGTTGAGACGAGAAAATTGCTCCGGGAATAATATAGAGGTGCTAAACAACAGGCTAACACAATGGTTGCTACCGAAAGACTTGGTCGGATGCAAGCTGAAGATCGACTAAAGACTGCTGAAGAAAATCTAGCAGCTGCAGAAGCCGCAGTGAGGGATATGCAATTACATCTTCAATCACTTCCAACTTCCGCTCAATCCCCTCATGACGCTCGAGCTCCAAGAATCCCCAGAAGATATCTTTCGTCACATGTACCATATTCTGAATTCATCACTTTTCTCACACATCTTCGTACTTTACGACATATCAACGAAAAAGCCATCACTACTTTCCCACCTCCTCTGCTTATCAACTTACTGAATCAACCTTTCATCGCTAGGATAATTGCGGAAGATCAAGATCCTTCTCTCCGACTTGATACCGCTCCGGATTTGAATTACTTCTCTCGACGTGCAGTCAGCAATGCTATAATAGCTGGAGAGTTGGTTATCGAACCTGTCTCAGCTATGACAGTCATTTCAGCTACTACGGCAGGTATATACGATATAAGTTGTTCTCTTTGTGGTAAACCGGTATTTCATCCATCACATCAAGATTCTTCTCCTGCAGTTGGAGCAGGAGGACAATTTGGACCTCCACCTCTTCATCCATCCACTCGATCGACTTCCACAGGAGGACGTTTCAGTCTCAAACCATTTTTCGCTTCACCTTCTCCAAACCCTCAACATTCTCCCAATACATCCCCTGCTCCTTCTCCAAGACCGACTCAGAGTTTGCCATCGGTATACATCTTCCGTATTGCTCGTCAAGCGCCAGGCGTCGATAAGGAGAAGGAAACGCAAAATCGATCTTATCCACTGTGTCGATCGGGATGGTGTTTGGAACGTCTTCGTGCTATTTGTGAACTATGGCATTTCGTGAGGACAAATATAGTGCAAGTCGTATGGGTAGGAGACGATGGTCATGTCATTGTATCGTCAGCAGGTCTAGGACCGACTATCATCACTGGGGATGGACAGAGTAGTAGAGTAGTCAGTGATTCTTCGACGGTAGCCCAAAATGAGAAGGAAGAACCGAAGAAAAAGTCGAGCTGGGCTTTGGGATTCAAATTGACGGAAAAATCTAGCAGTTGGAGGGGCGCGTTCAAAAGTACTCCGCCCCAAAGTCCTGGTCTGCCAAAAGATGGGGAAGGGGAGAAGGAAAAGCAATTAGGTGAACCTGTGTCGGATAAAGATGAGGAGGACAAGGGTGGTTTGGCAGCTCCTATAGAACTCAGGACGGAATCGCCTGCACCTGAAGATACGGTTGACAAGGAGAAAGACCTTCCAAGTATTCAAGAACCGGCGGAAGTAACTGGCGAGGAGATGGAAAAGCTCGAGAAGGTGGAGGTTGAAAAGTCACCAGCTGTCAGCGCTACGGCGGCTTCGGAGATTGAGACGGATGACGGAGCATCTTTCTCTACTCCTAAAGGTGGCAGTGTGGATATCCATGAACAAGATCTCAATCAGGAAGCTTCTGTGGCTGTTCAAGAGACTGTCTCACACTCGTCTTCAACGCCCATCAAAGAAAAAAACCCATCAATCGCGTCTGACAATGATTATTCTGACGAACCCCCGACTATGGACGAACCGACTAAAGAAGAGGGTGAAGTAGAAGGAATGTCAGAAGACAAGCCGAATGTGATTTCTCTAGATGAACCCATCAATGGGACGACAGAAATGAAAGAGAAGAGTACGATAGACAATGATGCCAAGAAAACGGAAAAGATCGTCCCACTGATCAGAGAGCTGCCTCCATTACCGCCAAGACACCCTAAGACACCGACGATGCAGATTGAAGTGATGGCTGGGGAGAGGGAGAGATCGTACATTGGCGAGAGGGATGACGGATGGGACGCCAAGATGTGGACGAATGTGGTGAGGTTGAAAGAGAGCATTTGGCGTACTCGAGTAGGAGTGATAGATGGTTGAGTATCTTAAGTCCGTTGTCGACTCGCTGTTGGTGTAGTTGCTTGAGTCGTTGGTGCTATCAATCACATGCATGTGTGTATAAAGATAGATTTGAGTTTTGTTTCAGAGCTCAAAACTGACAGCGGAAGATAAACACGTTGGATTAAATGGGAGGATTGAATATGAATGACGCCTTTTGACATGCTGTGCCGTTTCACCCCCTATCCCCTTTGCCTGAACCCGACTGCAGCTTGCATGCCGCCAATATTCCCTGTTTCCCTTAACTTGCAACCTTGAAGACAAAAATCTACATAGGGTGAAACCTCCACAGCTATTTGCTTGATTTTACAAGGTACATACTAGGTACTCGTACTCCGTACTCGATTTATCGATCTACATGTCTGAAGACTTTCCGTCTCGCCGATCTAGGCTTATATCTCTCGCTTCCAAAGTGCCAAGAGTCATAGGAAGAAACAATCAACATTCTCGTTCACCTTCCGATTCAGAATCACGAGGATCAATGTTACAACCTTTATCCGCAGCTAGAGCTCCTTCACCTTTAGATTCACCACGTAATTATCATCATAGTACTTCAACTTCATTTCAATATCGTTCACCAAGTCCATCATTCTCTGATAACATGTCTTCTGCACCACAACAAGAAGTATCTTATCATGATGATTTAACACCACCTACAATACCATTCGTACGTGATTCAATCATGGGTAGTAGATCTAGGTCTGGATCTAGAAGATCTTCTTTTTCTTCTGATCAAGAAATCAAAAGACCTGCAAGTTTAAGTGTTAATTACGTTCCTGCAAAATTCACAAAGAAACATGAACCTGGAGAAGCTTTTCATCGTAGGGCAAAAGTTGGTGGTGGTAGAGATGCTTTTGGTCCTAATGCTCAAAGAATGGGAATGTTAGGAACTGTTGATGATGATGAAGGAGTTGTTTTTCAATTAGGGAAGAATGGTTTGAAAAAGAAGAAACCGAAATTGAGATGGAATAGGTTTAAATGGATTTTATTCGCTGCTAATGGAGTTGTGAGTTTTTTTTGGGTCATGTAATCTTCCTTCCTTCCTTTGTCGATTTGTCTATTCCGCAGTCATCAATAATTTTCCACTGATAAGTGTCATCATTGTGTACCCACCAAGGGGTGAAACATTGACAATGAGAGAGAGAGGGAATGTTGACAGGTAGTTGTTTATTTCTGGAATGGCAACTCTCGTATCAGCTATTCTCGTATGGTTAAACGTGTTTTATCAATCAGATGTTATCAGAGTGGGTAATCGTACAGAGCTCATATGTGAGTCTTTCATCTTCTAGTACAAATCGATTCATATCTTTATTCCTTTCCCTCATCGACGCGTTGTAGCCATCAATGATCCCGTCTCTGTCAAAGTTCCAACATAAGGGAGTTGTGAGGGATCAAGATTGACAACTTCAGTATCTACCGTCGCAGCAGCTCTCATAGTCCTCACTTCTTTGATAGGATACGCCGGTATCTTACTCAACAACCGAGCTTTCTTAGCAGTCTTCACCCTCCTCCTATGGGTCTGTCTGGCACTCATCGCCGCACCGGGTTATCTCACTTATAAACAACGAACATTCAACTTGGAGGGGAAAATCAACCTTCAATGGAGTCGAAATCTCGGTACTATTGGACGTCTTCGTATACAAGATGCTGTGAGTTTTTAGACTCTTCTTCTGATTCAATCAACTTGCTCCTCTATCCCACCCTTCACGAATCACTTATCCTATTTTTTTTTCTTCTCGCTCTCCTTTTGCATGTCAATAGTCATAACCTAGCCTCTCTTGTTTCGAATCGGTAGAGGGGAAGGGGTTGGTATTTGGCGACTGCGCTTACTCCTCAGCTCCGATGCTGCGGATATTACTCACCTTATGTCGAAGCCACCCAATCACCTCTTTGTTATTCACGTTCAATCTTCCCGGGATGTAAATCACGTTATCTTCGTTTGGAAAGACGAGTACTTGAAATTTGGTACACTGTTTCATTCTGCATGGTACCTAGTCAAATCTTTATCATCGTCGCTAGTCTTTTATGTAGTAATCATATAACTTATCGGTTCGGTAAAGGTTTAACACCTAAACGATATCGATTGGATTTGGGTAGTATGGCTGTGATCATGGATGAATATGCTAGGTGAGTGTCCGAGTATCTATTTTCACTTTCCTTCCCTCGTTGTCACCTCTCTCACACAAACTGTTTAGTACAACTTTGTCATATCTTCGTTACTCTTGAACATTCTTCATGTCTCCTTCCTTGTTATTGAATGCGGAATAGGGTTGGGACATGATAGAAAATCAAGTAGAGATGTTGTTCACGCTCTGATCTGGGATTTTCTTGTGCTACTAGTCATGCTTGTGGTGTTGAAGGGATGTTGATAGGTTGATGAAATGCGGAGATGATAATAAAACAAGTTTGACCAAAAGCTGATTATTCATAGTCAAATAGCAGCACAATATGGTCCTCGATTAGCACAAGAAACAATGAATCGTTCTTCCATCGCACTCCCACTTTCAGATCAACCAAATAACCTCTTAGCACCTCCTCGACCAGATTCATACGCCTCCGCAACTGCCACAGAAAGAACAATGACCAGAGTTCATTCTCGTCTCGCTTCATCTGGTACTCTAGCCCCACCGAGCGGTGCCGCATTATACGATCCTCATCGTGATAGTCTCGATGCGACTTCTTTGAGAGGGAGATATGCTGATGTGGATGATGTTTTCGCTGCGAGAGATGGTGTGTGGAGCGATGATGGTAATAATGGGAGTAACGAACAACATGGTAATGAACATGGTTGGGCAAAGTGATGATTTACTTGTACAAGTACAAGTATGACAAATATCAGATGATTTTGTGTATTGAAAAGAATGACAAGATATGGAGAGAGCAAGGTGTGAAAATTTTTCAGACCGAGTGTGCGTGTGATATATATTGATATATACGAATGATACTCTTAAAAACCATAAACGATCTCTCTCTTTGATGCACCAAATTACTTTTATCATATTCATAAAACTTCACTTGACCTGAGTAAAACAAGCATGTGACATTCATCGTTCTCGTTTGTACTTGTCTTACTAAACGTTATACCAAGTCAAATTGATGGTTGTAGTGACTGATTACTCATGGTCTCCATCTTTCCCTTTGATAAGACGCAGGTCTGTGAAAATCATCTTCCCTTCCAACATCCCTATCACGTCTTTCCCTTTCCCTAAATGTCATATCCCTTTCTCTATCCACAGACATCCCCGGCCTTTCCCTTGGTCTGTCCACAGGTCCTCTCGATCCACGATCCCCATTCCTGTCCATACTTGTATTATCCCGAGAAGGTAAATCTACCGACATTCTCTCAGCATGAATGGACGGTCTGTCGCCAACCCTCTCCATTTCTCTTTCCCTCGACAAAAAACCCCTAGGACGATCAGAATCGAGAGACATACGAATGACAGGTGGCACTGTTTCTCTATCGCGAATATTAGTATCGACAGGACGTTCGACTCCGACAGACATGCGTTCGGCATGAATGGTAGGACGTTCGTACGAAGTTCTTCGGTCCAATTCAATTTTTCTCTCCGGTTCACGATCCATCGACATCCTTTCAGCGTGAATGGTTACTCTACCACGATCGCGATCTAGTTCACGGTCCCTTTCAGACATCTTCCAGTTAGCCCATTTCCCATGTCCGACCGATACACTGAGCATGAGGGGAATAGCAAACTTACCGGATAACCTCCCATGGGCTCAGCGACACGATCAATAAGACGACGGTCGTCCGTCAGATCACGGGGGCGAATCCTTTCTGCCAAACTGGGAGGCGCAGCCATCGGTCTAGCCACGAAATCGTCAGGTCTTCTCACAGGAGGTGGAGAACGACGGATAGGTGGAGGAGTCATTCGGCGGGGACGAGGTTGGTCATGCCTCGTATATGTCGGAGGTCCGAAGAGTTCTTCACGAGTACGTTTGACAGGTGATGGAGGGTGGGCAGGACGGTAACTGTCGTAACCCGCCGAGTGGACAGTACGGGTATTCGCAGTCGGTTGCAAGTCCTGGCTGTCAGTCGCCGACAATTCCAGGCCTTCACCATAGCCAAAGAAAAAAAGTGAGATAAAATTTGATCGAACAGGAGTTTCATAGCTGGTGACTGGGGTTCAGACAAAAGACCCACCCTAGGGGGAGGACGTTCACGGTCCCTAAAATCCTTATCACGATCACTGAATCTCTCGCCCCCCCGATCCTGCGAGAACCTAGGCGGATACGTAGACCTTTCAGACTCTCTACCATTTTGGGCTACTTGTGCAGCTCGTTTCGGCTCCGTTTGAGCCCTTTTGGCAGCTTCTTCTCTTTCCAACCGCTCTTGTTCCTCTTTGATCCTCTTCAACGTTTCTTCAGCTTTACGTGCCTCTTCCCGCAATTTCTCACGGGTAGACAGAGCGTCTTCTTGTGTCGTTGTGATGGGACCCTTAGAGATCCTCTGTGCCAACGGAAGTGGATTACGAGGTGCATCCTCCTTCGATTCTTTCGCTTCGTTCGTTTGTGTGACAGGCGGAGCCGGAGGGCGAGAGTCTATGTAAGGCGCACGATGAGGCGCCGGAGTGATTTGCGGACCCCAGCGACTAATGCTTTTTGGAGCGTTGTTGTACCCAGTGGAAAACTTCGGGTTGGTAGCCGAAGGTGGAAGGTTTGGTGGAGAGGCGGGTCGAGAAACCCTACGGTACGTTGACTGAGTCTGAGCTGTGATCATGTTTGCCATCGAAGCGCCTACCTCCTGAACCGGCGGAGGCCGATAAGGCCTATAGATCGGCTCATTCGATCTTGGAGGCGGCGAGTTAGGCCTCGGACGAGAAGCATAATTCGGGTAATTTGGATTACGTGGACCGTCTGTAGTAGACAAGGAAAAAAGCGGAGGTAAGCAGACATTCGAAACTCCACAAAGAGCGTCACGAGCACTTTTCTGTTCAACACGGATGTATCGACAGAGACATGGCGACCAGTTGACACACAACACGAACAATGATACTTGAACCAAGTGACCGATGTAGGTCAAACTTGCGCGCAAGTTGAAGCGTACAGCCGACAAAGTGTCAAGACGCCATCAAACTTGTCCACGAGAGAGTCGAAGGGAAGCGAATAGGGCACGTACATCTCATTTCATTAAACCTTTGTTTCTCGGTAAATCTTGCCGAAAGGGGAGGCGAGTCAACTCTTCCATTCCTATCGTTTCTGATCATGTCATTGCCTTCATCTCTGTTCCCTCTCGGTCTCTTGACACTATCCCTTCCTGGTGACCTACTTCTAGCACGTCGACGCTCATCTGGTCTCCAGTTAGAAGGTCCCGTAGGTGGAGGAGGACGCATCGCCTGTTCACCATTCTGACCTTGAGCAGACTGGACGACCTTACGGTTCGCATAAGCAGAAGCAACCTCGTCAACATTAGCTGGAGTCACTGGACTTGATTCGGTCTTCTCAACAGTGGTTACTTGATTTTGTTCTTTCACCTGCGTATCGTTTGGAGGTGGAGCAGGTGGAGAAGGTGGACGATCTTCTGTCAAAGTATCAGCCGTCGGTTTGACCCAAACGGTAGTCTTGGTAGTCTTGTGATAATAAAATGGGATCTTGTGGGTGTTGGACATGACTTTTGTCCAACCTTCAGGTAAATCGTCATCTTCTATCTTATCCTGACCTTTATCAGATATAGGAGCTGCGGGATTGTTTGTAATGTTCGGACTATTTGACGTGTTCTGGTTATTGTGATAATTTTGGTTATTCGAAGAGACCTGTCGACGACGTCAGGTCATGGATTTTGGGAATTTAAGGGTGTGGCAAACTCGCCTGTGATTTGAACCCTCTGTCATCTCCTCGGTTCCCGTTCGCCCCGTTTCTCGGAGTGTAACGTCCTGTCGGCGCGATATGAGTCTTGTCGTTTGACATACGCGGACCAGTAGGAGGTTCAACTTGATTGGGGTTTCTTGCCAACGATCTTCTAGGGCCCGTGGGAGGGGCTCGAGGTGGTCCGGTTGGAGGTTTGTTTTCGGCTTTACGAGGGGACTTTTCTTTTGCTTGATCTTCTGCGGTTTCTACGATATGTCATCAGCGCTAGTTCAAAATTATCTACATCTGTGAAACAAGGTGATCATGATGGGCAAGAAAGAAACTGAGATTTCAGATGGCATGATAGACTCACCGCCCTCGACTTCACCTTCTGCTCCTGCCAAACTGAGAACATCTTCGTCTTTCGCCACCAGAGAGCCTTCTCCACCTCTCCACTCGTCGAGATCATCCCAATCTACTTCTTCGTCAGCCATGTTGCAGTGTAGTGTTGTTAACGACACAACGAGGCTGAACCTCGGATCGCGAGTGTAAGTACTAGTAATACCGACGGCGTTTTGGACAGATGTGGCATTGTGGCATATTTCACTTCAATTCTTTTGCTAATGCACTCATGCAGTTCTATACGAGTGACTACGAGTGTGTACCATAGCTAGTCGCTTGATCATGCCCTAGCATTGGCTTCAGCCGTCAACTTTGCTTGTTTGACCAGACCAGCCGGCGCATCTCCTCTAGGCATGTACACTTCAATCAATCTAAGCTTGTCAGGCACGTTGAACGCCTCGTCTTTGAGCAAAGCGTCCAACTCTACCGGCGTGCGAACTACGAGACTCTCGTACGGCGTCTTCTCGATCAGTTCATGGTATAGGTGTCATTGGATGACTCACCTTGCATTTCTTCCCCGCTAAGAAGGGTAGAAGAAGCTGGTGATCGTACAACTGAATGTTGTTGTATTCCGCAGTCCAGCCATGGATTTGACGTTCAATTTCGTACCCGTCGTTGTTCAATACGAATATGTACGGGTGCACCCCTCGGCGTAACATCGTCCCCACTTCTTGCAGCGTCTGTTCGTTAGCTATGGAAAGACATGATGTAAGAATACGAACAAGCTGAAGACTTCCATCGCCGACGAACAAGGCGACTCGACGAGGGGTTGGTTCTTCGACAGCGGCTAACGCAGCACCGAGACATGCACCAACCGACCAACCAATGGCACCCCACAAAATCTGGGCTACGAAGATTGAATGCGATGGGAGTGGTACGTTGGTGATACCAAACGCAGATGTACCTGTCTCGGTAATGATGATGTCTAGTCTTCAGTACGCATCCCATAGAAGCTGAATGACAACATACCGCGGTCTTGGAACCAGGCACCCACCCTCGGCCAGAGCCAAGCATGCTTGATTTCAGTCCCCACAGGTTCCGAGATGAGCTCATCAACGATGCCCTCCGCCTGCTTCTGCACCAATGAGTCACTTTGGACGTCCTTGGGTTTTGCTGCTGCCACGCGGGCGAAAGCCGGTACCAACAGAGGCAGGATGTGTCGAATGTCTGTTGTGGGATAAGAAGCGTACTATTTGTGTCATCCAAAGCATAAGAACAGACAAAGTGGACATACTCCGACATTGGTTGTGAAGGAATGTAGCTCGACGATGATCTACCAGTCAGTTGATCCGACGGTATCAAGGAATGTGTTACTAACTTTGGGATCGATGTTCACCGAGAACGATCCAGAGCTATAGTGTCAGAGCTGATCTGACCAAGTATGAAGAATACACACTTGAAATCACTTTTTATAGCTCCCACGTAAAGGGCGAAGTCTGCTTCTTCGACATTTTTCCTGACTGCGTCGGGGGAGTTGGCACCGGCGTAGCACCCGCCAAATAACGGGTGACGTTCATCAAGGAAACCTTTGCCCACTGCAAGGTTAGTCAGATCTATTGGAGATGGTCCTAACACTGACTAGGGGCTATATCATCAGTCAAGATTCTTTACAGAAACAGATTACGTACTGCTGAAGAATCTCAGACCGGTCGCTTCGACCAGTTTTCGTACTTCGCCTGCCATGCCGAATCTTCCGCAACAAGCGTCCACCAACACGATGGGCTTTTTGGCTTGAGCATACATCTTGGTAATTTCGTCGACGACGAAGGTTGTCACGTCGTCAGAAGGCGGAGCAGTTTTAGTGTCGATGGCCAAAGAAGAGAGTGTGTTCGCCCTGGGACGAAGGACGGGTAGGCTGGCACCTGTGCTCTCGGGAGGCGGGGCGGAATGAGGGAAGGGCTTCAAGGTAAGCATTGCCCATTACTTTCACGGGAGGCTATGAGAAACTTACCAGAGGTACCTTCAAGGCTTCCGCGGAGACTTTACGATGAATAGCATCCGTGGGGATTTCGACATAACCCGGCCTGCACTGTTCCAACACATCCCTGAGTACCTTGTCGAAGGCCTCTGTCCAAGTGGTAGGCGTGCTGGGTGGGATGTGATTGAGAAGGGCCTGCGAGGTAGACAGTGGGGCAGACATGGTGGAGAAAGTGTCAAAAGTCGAAGGAAGGTTGAGGGTGTGGTGTAACAAAGAGTTGGAAGTTTGCAATTTGGTAGAAGGTGCTCCGACGATATGAAGAACCGGGACTCGTTCGGCCAAACAACCTGCGATTCCACTTTTCGTCAGATCATGACAGTATAATAAGACTCAGAACATGACTGACCACAAAGCACTTAGTTCACCAACACCAAAAGTGGTGATGATGACTGCAAGGGTACCCTTGACTCTGGCATATCCGTCGGCAGCATAGGAAGCGTTAAGCTCGTTGGCATTGCCCACCCACTCGAGCTCGGGGTCTTTTTCGATGTAGTCGAGTCTGTCATATGAGTCATGATGAATTGATATCTCGAAAAAGCTCACAGTTCGAGGTTGTAATCACCAGGAAGTCCTTGTCATGTCAGCGCGATGTACAAGAAGAAGAGGAATGTACAAACCAAAGATGGACTTGACCCCACACTGCTTGAGACGCTCAGTAACAAAGACAGCAAATTCAATCTCAGACATGATGTTAGATGTTCTGAGGGATCTTGTGCGTTTCTGCTCTAGCGAACGAGATTGATATAGGAGAAGAAAGGTGGATGGATGTACGGGAAGGAACGTGGGGAAATAGTAAGCTAGGGATCGGCCGGACCCGGTGGCACGGACGGACGGACCTACGTCGGCCTCGCTTATCGATATCGCGTCACCAGGGCGCATGCTTTGAGGTCTATTTCCTGTACAGGCTTTCATTCATGAATCATGGAAAGTGATTGCATAGGATACATAGGGCATCTCAAAGTTCACACCAAGTCAACGATTCAACGACATATATGGTATGAGTCTCTCCTTCTCGCTTCAAGCATCTCTTCGAGGTCAAAACTTCTCACAGAAAGGTCTGTCAAGAATCAGCATCAGATCACTTTCAAAGGAGGGTTCCCCCACCTCAAATCGAGCTCCTGCGTCCACGCCGACTTTGGTTGGTTTGCGAGCATGACATATTGCTATAGTCGTCAGCTGAGATTGTCTTAGAAGATACGAGTATCGTATGTAAACCAGATTGCCCAAACGCACCTGCGCGATATCCTCTGGCTTTAGTCTCTGAAACAAATAAGCCTCTGTCCGTCTTAGATGAGATGATTTTTTGGCTCACAGTGTTCTCCTTATCCTCACCTGCCCAATCTTGAATTCGAGGCGTATCTATCAACCCATCCAATATCACATGAGAAACATGAACTCCTTGAGGTCCGAATTCCCTTGCGAGTGACTGCGAAAGGGCACGACGGGCGAACATGCCTGGTGCTTGAGCGGAAAAGTCGGCGCCGCCTCGAAGGGACATAGTAGCGCCTGTGAAGATTAGGGAACCTCCTTGTTTGAGAAGAAGGGGCATCATGATTTGAGCAAAGGAGAATGCGTAGATGCTAAGTGACCATTAGCTACACTCGCTTTCCTTTTGTGCTATCCTTCCACTAACGGCGGCCGACGGGAGTGCCCACAATGACATGATCTTCAAACTTCGGATCAGTCCTCATTCCTCGGTAAGGAGATCCATCGTGCCTCTTGCACACTGTGAGCGGCGAAAGAGTGAAACAGACAAGCAAAGAAGGGAGAAAACATGATAACTCACACTCCCCCTTCTAGCCCAGACATCAAATCTTTAGTTTCGTACTTGAGAAAAGACTGAGGATTATATCCCCCACCCATGTTATACACTCCGACATCCACAACCCCTGAAGGCCACTTTTTCTTCATAGCCTCCACTGCCACTTGCATGGAGTTGAGACTTCCATCAGAGGACAAAGCAAGGATCTGATCGTCCGGGACTGCCAGCTTAAGTTTGGGCAAGGATCCCGGGAGGGATCGGGATAAGAGGACGAGGGAGTGTGAGGGAGAGAAGGCGGATGCCACGGCGGCGCCGAGACCGGGTCCAGCGCCGAAGATGATTGCGATACGGGGGGACATGAACGTTTTTTGGATGGACCTTTTTCTTGTATTGTAGATGCCAGTAGCTGCTTATGCTCAGTGCTTACTTCTAGCGTGCTAAACTATTAGATGGCGGTACTTATCCGTCAGTACAAGTAGGTACTTGGTAGCATAGTAGCACCTCTGACCGATGACCGAAGGTGGAGGAGCCCCACAATACGTTCTTGAGATAAGTAGCAAATGTTAGAGAGCCAACCTGTGCACCTCTCTCTATCCTCTCTCTCCTCTCTCCCTTGCTCTCCTGTCTCCCTTGCACTCTCTTCATCTCATTCCCTCCTCCTCTTCTCTCCTTTCTCGTTTCGTCGCTTGCCACGTGGTGTATTCCCTCCTTTATCCCAGACCCGTCATCTGCCATTGTAATGGATCTCGCCATCACGACACTTCTAGAGACCACTTCCAAACCCAGAAATCAGCAGTAATTCTTGAAGAAACAGATCGCAGATGTCAGGCCTGACCTTTCTCACTCCATACGGCTACTCGAGTGGGACATGCGGATACTGTTCCCCTTCTGGAAGCAGATCGTCTCTTCCCACATCGAAGAAATATGGCAGTCAGTCCTCCTTCCTTCCATACTGATGAGAGGCTGACAGCAACAGTGCAGGTACCTCAAATGTCGGTGAACGTACGTCTTGCGTTAGGATTAGGGCGATAGCTGAGTTTAGTTTTATCAAGGTCTGATAGATCGAGGATGGCGACGATCAGGGGATCATGTCTATCAGTGAGCTGCCTTTCGAAGCTTGACCCTCCATATCCTTTTGACATCATAGGGAAAGGAGAGGATGATCGATCGCTGACTCTATAGCCCAGATATGGCGAGGACATGCTGTCCTCAATACACCATTCGTCTGTCTGTCCACGACTTCAAGGCGAACAAGAAACAACGTCAAGTAATCAACCGCTGGAATCGCTTTATCTCCAGTGACGAACCCTCCGGAAAGCTTGAGACGAAAGATGTGAAAGGGAAGAGCAAAGCTCAAGAAGGTCATTGGTCAGACATCATGAGGAAGTACGAAAATTTGTCAGAGTGGAATGATGTGAAACATCGGTACGAGGTGGGGTATTTTATTTGTACAGCATGATCGTTGTGACTGACTGCCAGACGGAGCTGACTCCTGCTGATGCCACTGCAGAGACATTCGCTCTGTACAAAAAGTATCAGATGATGGTACACAATGATAAAGAGGAAGAAGTCACCATGAGAGGATTCAACGGTTTTCTCTGTTCCAGCCCTCTGCTCGTAAGTAAGCGGTCCTTGACATTGTCGCGGCCGAGACTCAGGGATAGGAGAGTCCCATCACTTATAAAAATCCAAAAGATGGCTTGCCGAGAAATTACGGGTCATATCATCTCTGTGAGTCTACCAAAGTACTCGTGAGGACTTCTGGTTCGCTGATAAATCAGTACATAGAGTCGACGGTCAATTGATCGGTATATCTGTTATCGACATCCTTCCTGCTTGTGTCTCATCGGTCTATTTCATCTGGGATCCAGATTGGGCATGGGCGTCTCTAGGAAAATTATCAGCACTTCGAGAAGCTGCCTTGGCACTGGAGATGTCTCAAGCCGGAGCAGAGGGCATGGAATGGGTGTATATGGGTGTGTTGATCTCCATTCCCTCTGAAAGTGCTAACCAAGAAGGTTATTGGATTGCCAACTGTCAGAAAATGAGATACAAATCTGAATACACTCCGTCCTATCTACTCGATCCTGTGAGTCGACTTACCCGATGTGGAACTCGAGGGCTGATGTCAGGGGACAAATGAGTTTCATTTGTTGACTGACGAATTGGACAACTTCCTCGTATCTCACCCAACCGGATATCGACCATTCGGGGAACTATCTCAGAAGAAGGACTCTTCAATCTCGGGAGTCATCATTCCAAACAAAGCCCATGGGGAGAAAGAGGAAGTTGGAGATGAGGCAGTGGATGTTTATGATCAATCGGACGACTGGCCTGATCCTCCGCCTCCAGGCTTCTCAGATCCCTCATCGTTCACCAAGACTCAGATCGACAATCTTCTTGTGGACATTCGAGGAGGTAAATTACGTGGGACTAGAATTGCCAAATTTGGTGTGAGCTTCATTTATCTATTTGTGAGATGCGGGGTCATTATTGACACCCAGGACCTGAAGTGGAATAAACCTCAAGTGGTAGATGAGATGGTACGAGAGTTGGCTGCTGCGGTGGGGATCGATCATCTGGTAAATCCTGTATCTGAAACACATGATTTTGTTAATAAGGGTGTTGTACATCTTGGATAGTCTATTAAAAGTGGTCCTTATATGCTTCTTCCTCCCTCGTTACGTCTTTGAAGCTGCCACTGCCACTTTGGCGGGATCAAACCTCATCCCCTCTGTTCCATATAGCGCGTCACTTGACTCACTCTGCGATTGCCATCTCTCCCATCTTTGTCTCGCAGCACACCATCTTTTCACCTTGTATGCTCTGTAATCTCCTTGACTATTACCTCTCCCATCATGTCCCTCCCTATGCACTTGCGTTCATACCGCGAGAAGTCCAAAGATGAATCAGCTCGCGACTTCTTCAATGTACCTCCTCAAGAGGCCCTTCCTCGACCTGGCGACCCTCCCTCCGTGGTCAAACTCCACACTTATCTCAGTAGAGAAGGTACCGGGTTACAAGGTATGGATATCAATGCCGTTCTCAGTGTGGAAGGTAAAGAGGAAGTTTATGTGAGTCTCGCTGTCACCCGATTCTGTAGTCACCTATCAGATGAGTGATAAAGATATCAGATGATAGATGGCCAACTGATGGACAGGCTGGAAGATTGAGTTTGTTACCACCATTTTTATGTTTCATCTCTTTGGACAGAAGATCATGTAGATGTACGCTCCCATTGTATATCATAAGACGTGTGGAAAGGTGTGTCATTTCACCACAAGGAGATGTAGCTGATCAGTACAGATTGAACTCGAGAGCAGGAGTCTTCGCTTTATCTTTAGCAACATGGCATGGGATGCGTATAGTCAGCTCTCCGCATCAGAAGAGTGTAGTACAAGAGCTGATTCAGATAGATCCTCCAGCTCACTTCCCTCTTACCTACGGCGGAACATTTCTCAATCCTACTTCGTGACGCGCTAAAGTCGCAAGTGAGCATCTCCCCCTTTTCTGAGCTCCTTGACGTCCCCGAGCCTATTCCTGCTTTCCTCTATGTTAAGGGCTAATGATTGGTCGAAAGCTCATGCGGCTGATGGACTAGCTGGCAGCAATGAAACAACTCAAACCTTTCCTTCCTTCACTCTACTCCGAGTTCCTCCTTTCCTCTCCTGCCGCAGGAGTTAACCCTCAAGCTCCCGACCACCTTTTGCTAGGTACTGAATTAGGAGAGAAAGTCACTGAAGGAGAAGGAGACTTGCGAGGACCTGGAGGAGCCGATAAAGGTAATTATGATCGTGGCTTGGGCGAAGTTTTCGGATTCCCAGGAGATGCACGTAAGATGAGAGAAAGAAGTAAGATGAAGCTATGGAGAGAATACTTTGTCAGTACGTCATCGAATCTTCAAGTACGATATTGTGCTGATGAACAGTCCACGGAAGAAATTTCACATGTAATACATTTTCTTGAGGTCTGGTGGAATCGCTAATGGTTTAGTACTGCGGTATCCGCCCTTTCAGCGTTTATTGCAGGTCGGCTTGCCGTCTCGTCTTCGTGGAGAGCTTTGGGAAGTACTATCCGGTTCGATATGTACGTGTAATCAGCAAGCGTAGCAACATACTGATCTACAGATCTGCGTTTTTCTAATCCTCAAACATATCAATTGCTTCTGTCTACTAATGCCGGAAAGTCCTCGCAATCCACCGACGAGATAGAGAAAGACCTGAATAGGTCATTACCAGAGTACAAGGCATATCAAGCTGAAGAGGGACTGGCGAGATTGAGGAGGGTCTTAGTAGCTTACAGTTTTCGAAATCCGGAGCTTGGGTAAGTGATGACACGTTGGGCGGGTGCATAGCTGACTGACATAGATACTGCCAAGCTTTGAACATCGTGAGTTGGAAGTCAGACTATTCGGACTGATGCTAATGAGCAGGTTGTTGCTGGGTGAGGAAGACATTTTACAGAGATATTGCATTGCTGACACTGTTTCTTCCGTCGTGATCCCAGCTTGCTCATGTGAGTTCTCCTTCGTGTCAAAGGTCCAGTCGCTGATCAACTTCAGATATATGTCCGAGGAACAGGCATTCTGGCTTTTGGAGGTTCTTTGCGACCGTATATTGCCCGGATACTACAGGCAAGTGACTACCCGTCACATCGATCTCCCCCGCTTACCGTCAGTCCATCGATGGAAGGCACATTACTCGACCAACGAGTCTTCGAAGCTGTCGTTGGGAGGTGTCTGCCGATGATCAAAGATCATTTCACTTCGGTCGACGTCCAACTATCTGTGGCGTCTTTACCATGGTTCCTCAGTCTATACATCAACTCGATGCCCCTTATTTTCGCCTTCCGAGTCGTCGACTGTGTTCTGGCGATGGGCGTCAAAGTGCTTTTCCAGATCGGATTAGGTGAAGCTTCATTTGCCGGCCGGGTTCTGCTATGAGCTGACATCTCAGCTGTTCTGAAAATCAACGGCGAGGCATTACTAGAGGTGACCGATGATGGAATGTTCATCAACCTCATGCGCAGCTACTTCTCCACCATTGGCGACTCCGCCCACCCTAATCATCCCGACCCGCGCGTACGAGCCATCACCAATTTTCAAGAGCTTTTAGTTGTCGCTTTCCGCGAGTTCAATGTCATCACGGACGAAACTATCCAGTCTGAGCGTCGCCGGTTACGAGCTATTATCTCGGACGAGATTGAGAAGTTTTCCAAACGTGCAGCTGTCCGCAACCTCAAAGCCGTGGGCCGATTCAACAAAGATCAAATAGGTATCGTATACGATCATTACTTTGCTGCTGTCTGTTCACCTGAGGCTTACATAAACTCAAGTGGCTCTTCGACGCCATTGCTCTCGCCTGGGGATCAATTCAATCAGCCACGAATACAGGTCGACGCGCAAGGACGGGTGGAGACTCGTATAGATCTGAGAACTTTCAAGGTATTCTTGAGTCAGATTGCGACTTGGGCGAGGGAAGAAGTGGTCACTACCAACGCTTTCATTCAGCGGACAGAGCGCAAGATAGCAGATCATGATCTCATAGATAGGTGTGTATCTATCGGTGGTCTCGAACACAGCTGACTGTCAGACTATTCTTCAGTTGGGACACCCAGCAATTGGGCACCTTATCATTACAAGACGTCGTCATCGGTCTAGATACAGTCATGACATCCGGTCTGATGGAATCGATAGAGTGGTTCTTCAACCTTGTCAGTCGCAAAGTATACCTGGTCCTGACTCAGCTGACTGATAGCATGACAAAAACAAAGACGGATACTTGACCAAGGATGAAGTCATCCAGCTCTCCGAATCTCTTCTCGTAAGCTCATCGCCTTACTTTGAGCAGTAGCTGACCTTCAGTTCATCTTCCGTAACGAACCCGGTGATGTCTACTTGGCAGCCGTATCGAAATTCATTCTCAACGCATACGAATTCGGTGATGCTACTGCTCCTCAAGAGAGTTTACCTAGTCCCGATGACGTCAAACCTATCAATGGGGAAGCGGTCACGGCTAGTCATGCTAGGGAAAGGTCCAACTCGACTGCTGGACCGCATAATCTGCCCTACCTGAGTGAGTATCGTACCAGCTTCTGCCGTGACCCGCTCAATCAGCTGACATATGTAGACCTCGCGACGTTCAGGATGGTCGTACTTGCCGATGAGATACTAGAAACCTTCTTCGACAAAGATTTGGCAGCTTCGTTCCAACTGGACAGTACGGGCGAGGAAGATTATCATCAAGCGCATCAGAAGCCCGAAGGTCTTTTAGGAGGTTTGATGAATTTGGTGGTGACCAACGAGTGAGTCTAGCACTTCTTCACTTATTCTTGTGATATCTGAGCTTACTCGTGACAGGAACAAAAACCGCCTCAATAGACTTGCAGATGGGTTTGGCGCCGCTCTTGGTAAACACGCAGAATGGCGTAAACCTGCTTTATCAAAGTCACCCGCTCAACCATCCACGTCTGATCTGGGTACTCGTGAATCTCTTCTCACACCTCAACAACAACAGCAACGTGGTCGATCTCAATCTGCAGCCTCGCAAGCATCGATGCAAAGCGCCAAATCGGGCTCGTCCAGTGTGAACACGATTGCGGAGAGAAGCAGTTTGGCGGACGTAGAGGCGAGATACAGAGAAGAGAGTGAAATGGTCAAGGCGGCTCAGGAAGCAGTGATGCAGAGACCCAACTTTGCTATCGATGCCATTGGTGATTCGGACGGAGAGGATGAAGGTGGTGAGGATGATACTGGTGTAATGGATGAGGTGAGTTTATGAAAACTTCTCTCCACACCTATTCTCAACCGATACCCTCTCCGACATGTGTATTCGCTCTCTTCATCCTAAGATGACTTGAGGGAAACGGAAATGACATACATGCATGATAAGGGCCTGTGCTGATAGCCAGGTTGAAGCTTTCCTCAAAGCTCATGGGGACGACGACGAAGGTCTCAAAGGGGAACAGAAGAAGGTTGCTGCCGATTTGTTAAAAGCCGAACCTATGGGTTCGAAATCGGTTGAAAAAGCGGGTCCGAGTTCTTTGGTGGATCTTTAACCTTGCTCCCTCCTCTCTTCTTCTACCCTATCTGCATGATTATCTGTGATGTTTACGACCGGATTGTGGATGATCTGTACATTTTGTGTATATAGATATACTTTGCATCTTTTCTACTTTTCAGTCAGACTTGTAAGCTCAAGCCTATATACTTAGTCATTTGGAAGATTTGGGGAAGAAAAGCAGTCGCCATCCGGGATCAAAATTCCGACTCGCAACTTAGTTCCCCACTCAACCCCACTTGTACCCAAGCATCGTTCTTTCTTCATCTCTTACTTTCCAATCATCAAAACTCATACAAACCCACTGTGGAATCATGACCAACCTAGAAGAAGATATCTTCATGGAAGAAGATCCACAGGAATCAGAATCGGTCGACTCGATGAACTCTGGTGACTCAAATTCCGACCATAGCGAGACTGGAGATGAGTCGAGCAGTTTGGAAGATAATGATTCGGATGCGTATATGCAAGATGAAGAAGAAGAAGTGGTGGTGGCTGGTCCTTCTAGACGAAGCAAGAGACTTGAAGTGGATACAGGTGAAGATGATGAGGTTTTCGAGTGAGTCTAGTTCATACTTCTGATTACACGATTTACTTGTCCGCCCGCTTCGATTATGTAGAAAGACAGTTGCCAATCCCTCTTACTCAATAAGCCAAGATGAGGGCTATGATATCTACGTCAGACAATGGAATACCACTCCCACGCTATCTATAAGAGGCAGAAAGAACTTCTCTCATATGAATTAAAGAAGGGGGGGTTCTCGGTAGTAGTGGTTGAAGATCCGTGAGGTGAAAGCTGACAAAGTCAGTCAGATGGCTGGAGGAGTGACTTTACCCCATCCTCCCAAAGAGAGTGAGGTATCTGATTTGGACGGTCTGAACAAAGATCTCTCAGGGCCTATAAAAAGATTAACGAAAAACGTGAGTTTTCCTCATGTTCAACTTACTCTAGTCTACCAACTGTGGCTCATACATCCGCCATTTTTACGACACTTCAATTCTCATCCATGATAATAAGAGATACATCCGTCTTTGGATAGCCACACTTGTCCTCGTCATCGGCATACTAGTATCAACCATTAATATCACAGCAATACAGTGAAGGTCATTAAGATTTAGGGGTCATTCGTAGAAAACAAAATTCGAACAGCTGTAAATACTCATGCTGATTCGTAGACAAAACGTAAACACCGTCCATCTCGTCAAGTTCAACAAGTTCTCGGACAGGGTAATATCGCCTATATCGACGGGAGACATGACGATGCCATTCGACTTTTCCTCGAGGTCATAAGACATGATCCTCACGTTTTCAGCGCTTGGACATCCCTCGCTAGTTGTTATGATGAACTTGGGGATGAAGAAGCGGCTAGACAAATGAGGTTCTTTGCTGCTCATGTAGAGAATGAAGCGGAAACGTGGAGGGAGCTTGCTGCGCAGTTTAAGTGAGTCGCCCTGGGATAATCTCCTCTCTCCTCCAGTACGATAATATGCTGTCCCTCTCTTATTCCCCTCTTCCACCATCCCCTTCTTCCTCCTGATTGTGATTTTGAGATAACAATGTGATGTTCATTCGTGTTGGATCGTCAAGTAGGCGAAGAAATCACTCGGATTTCCTGCTGATCATTTAGGGAACGCGATCAAATCCCTCAATGTCTATATTGTCTCAGAAAAGCATTGCAAGTCGACCCGGACGATGTAGGAAGTTTATGGGAGATCTCAGCATTGTATCGTGAGCAGAACAAGATAAGCAAAGTTGGTCATTTGTGCAACATTCATCATCAAGCTAATTACCTAGGCTGTCGAAGCGTTCAAGAAGATCCTAAAAACACATTCACCCACAACGTACAATTTCGATCTACTCATGGAATTCTTTCCACTCTTCACTGAGACCACTCATCACGATATCGGGGCCCAGGCTTTCCGACGAGCTTTTGAATGGCACTATGATCATTTCAATGGTCCAGAAGAAGTGTACTCCGACTTGGCCAATACGATGCGATTAGAACATGTCATCGCCGTTGGTGATCTTCTTATGTTAGGTGATCAACTCGAGGAAGCTTTACTGGTCATTCGACGTGGACAACGTTGGCTTCAGAACAGAAAAGATGAACGTCAATTCGACGCATTGGATGATGATAGAGAATATGACCCGCCTGGTGTTCAACGTCTGACAGAATCCGGTGAACAGGCAGAAGATCTGGGGACGCATCCGTTGGATGTAAACCTCCGACAGCGACTGGCTCTGCTTCGGTTGAGATTGGGTGATGATGACGAAGCTATGGTGGGTAAATATATTTTGAAATGAGATCAAAAAGCTTACATGATAGTTACATGTTGATCATATCCTCGAATGGGACGTCGAATTGAATCAAACTTTGTTCATGGAATTGGGTGAAGCTCTTCTCAAACGAGAAATGTGGGAGAAGGCATTGGAGGTATTGGCCGAGCTTCAAAGTAATGACAATGTGGGTATTTCCAAACGCTCGGATACGTCGATACTCATGGGGTGATAGATTCCTGATAGTCCCGCCCTCATATACGCCCTCGGCCAGTGTTATTACCGTCTTCAAGACCATGCTGCGGCTGAAGAAGCACTTCGATGGGGTGAGATCTTTTTTTCTAGGTATCGATTCTGACTGACGAATAGTGATTAGCGTCGATGACAATCACATAGAAGCAAAGCTTCTCCTCGCGAATGTTCTCGAGGACACAGGTAAGAAAGCAGAAGCATTGGAGATTGTCACCAAAGGTGAGCTCCTTGAAGTGCGTGGGCCATTGAGCTCATGATCAGTGCTGCGGGGTCGTATCACCCGGGGAGAAGTTAGGACAGGTCGTGGTCCATCCAAAGGTGATCGCAGTGCCGAGGGTATGTTCACGAGACGTATGCTGGAGGAAGAGATGCATTCGTTGATGCAATCGCTGTGGAAAGACGTACAAGCGGCAGAGGAAGGGATTGCCAACGGTGAAGTCGGGGCTTTGGATAAATTCGTCTATGCGGCGGAGACGATGGTTGAGAACTTTCGAGTGGCACGGAATAATTTTGGTAAGAACAGAGTATGTCTGCTGTATGCTCTTGTCCACACGACAGCTGATCAATCTAGGGGGTTGTGAGGGTACGCAAATATCCCAAGCAACGGAAGAATGATCTTACTACTCAAGCGCAAGAGCTGCAAGAGCGTCTGGAGAGGGAGATGGGTCGTGAGTTCATAACATGTGCTGAGTTTGTTGGTGCTGACCGAGATAGTTGATGATGACGATGAACAACAAGACAGTTCCGCATATGTCATACTTCGTTCCACTGACCTGTATGGTCTAGGATATGAAGAATGGCTGGCTTTGGTCATCAAAGTGAGTCCACATCATACGTCGATTATAGCTTGGCTAATCTGCAGTACTGTTGCGTTCTAATGGTCAAAAGTGAAGAAGAATTCGCTTTGGACATTCTTGAACATGTCGTTTGGTCTGGCGTATTCAACAATCGACGTTGCGAGATCGCCCTTCGATTAACAACAGTAGCCGCTGCCATGCGTGCCAAAGCTTACGATAAAATATATGATAATTGTAAACGTCTCGCTCAATTACATCAATTCCGTATCGAACCTTTACAACTCATGTTAGCATGTCTTGGTGGGAAAGGACTTCGTGCTGCTGTGGTTTGGCAAGGATCAATATTACAACGATTCGTACATAGAGAATTAAGGATTTGGGATGATGCCGCTCATGGATTAAGGTTACATTATAATCCAATTTGGGGTAGATGGGCTCAAAGTGTTAAAAATGGTTATTCAAGATTACAATGGCAAGATGTTGATAATGTTGAAGAAGTAGAAGTAGAGGAAGAAGAAGGGGGAGGGGAAAGAAATGAAGATATAGAGATGGAGGAAGAACTTGTTGAAGTTGAAAAAGATCAAGAAGAAATGGATTTGGAATTTGATGGTGAAGGTTTATTAGGGAATGAACAACCTCAAGAAGAAGTTCCAAGACCTACAAAACCTTCTCCTGGTCTAAATGTTTTATATGGTCAACATATGCTTTCTGCAAAAAGTTATCAAAGTGCTCTTTGTAAGTCTTTTTTCTCCTCACACGATTCGAAATGGATAAAATGATTTGATGGGGTAGATTATTTTATGAGAGCATACCAAGTTGATCAATATAATCCTTTTATTTGTTTACTTATCGCTCAAGCTTTCTTTGGTAGATCAATGAATCGTCAATCGGATAATAGGAATTTTCAAATGGCTCAAGTGAGTCTATCCCCAGTTATCCTCACTTGAAAATATCCTCATCACAATTGTCTGACATCATCTGTCATTCTTTCCGTTCTTTCCCTTCCCACTCAAACGCTTAACTTGAAGGAAGTTTGAAGAAGGTGAAAAAAGGATTGATGATCAGGGATTAGCATTCCTCACTAAATATCGTGAATTAAGTCTTAAAGATCCAATTTCACAAGAAGAAGTCGAATATAATTTCGGTAGAGCTTTTCATGGTATCGGTATCCCACATCTTGCTATAGTTCATTATGAACGTGTATTAGATTCTATCAAAAAACGAATGGAACAATCTGATGATCCAGAGGTGAGTTGATTATTCTTTTACTCATCTCTAGTATACCAGTGTGGATGTTGATGATAATAGGGAATCAGAAAAGATTCTTTCGCAATGGAATCCGCACATAATTTAATGTTGTTGTATACTTCTTCTGGAAATATAAAGTTGGTCAAGGATAAATCGATTTGGATGGCTATTTGATGGGTCCACCAATTCCGTATGATTTGTAATCTTCAATATATCTGACATGCTATATTTCTTCGAATTTGACGTCATGTTGACAGTGTCGATTAGAGCTCTGTTTTATTTCGTAGGTCTCGGAGGACTGTTGTTGATGGTGTACTCTCATATATGCAACACGATGAGCCGACATGATCGTCCACGGCTACTGATAGGAGATCCCAATGCAATCTATGACTGCAGGGGTTATACACAAACCCATCTACAAAGCTACGTCCGTAAAACCCCACACTACACTGGCCCACCAACCTTTTTCTTCTTCCGTCATATCATCTTCCAAATCATCCCAAAACCTCTCTAAATCCCTTTGTCCAATCTTCCTCCCTTCTTCCAACTTATTCAACCTCTTCAAAACCCCTTCCAATTCACTCGAATACTTTCCCCTATTATCCAATTCCAACAAATCAGATTGACTCGCATATAACAACACCCTAATCTGATGTATGACAATTTCCCTAGCTAAAACCTCATCATCCCATCCTGTAGGATAAGCCAAAGTCAAAATCCCATCTTCTAAAACCCCTTTCCAATTCAAACTTGAAATGGCATTGATACCATAAGTCCTTGCGTTCTCTATCAACTGATTCACATTCCGTTTGGCCGTTTCATTTACATTTTTCAATTTAACACGTTCTAAACTTGTTTTACTCAATTCTAATAATATATTCCCCTTATACCCTCTCGGTGTTTCTGATGTTTTAGGTAGGTTCAAAGCTTGTGTTAATCTTGTTATTGATTCTGATAATTGTGACCATGCTTGTTGACCTAATGGACTTGGACCAGGTGGTAGTTGTTTGTTAAGATGAATCAATCGATTTGATAATGTAACATGTGTATCAGATAAAAGTAGAAGGATTTCAGCTCGTAATGATGTTTCTTCAGGAGGTGTTATATTCAAAGAAGATAATAATGATGTTAAAGCCATTAAAGCACCTTGAAGAGATTGTTCAAACCCCCCTCCTATCGTTGCTTGTGATTTGAAAGATTCCCAGATCAAAGAATCTTCAGTGAGAATTATACGAATTTCAAGTAAGTCCACTTGAGATTGTTTGGAGGGAGGTATGTAGGGTGTAACGCGGTGAAGGAATTGACGAAGGACAAGTTGTTCTTGTTCTGTTGGTGGATGAGGGTGAGACGAGGTTTCCCATAATGTAAGATGAAGTGAGATGAGGTTGGATAGAGTATCGATAAGGGAAGAAGGAGTAGGTAGGTGAGTTTCGTATGGGGTTTCATTTGTCTTGTCTGAGTCTTCCACTTGTTCTATATCCATTGGAATATCCCCATCTGGCAATGGTTCATTAACTTCCACGGGAACATTCTCCGACTGGTCTTCTATGTGTGTTGCGGTGGTAGAGAGATCTTGGGTCGAAGAGTCATCCGAAATCATAGTATTATCATATGGAGCTGAAGGTGATTTGCCATCAAGACGAGACGAGAGATATCGTTCTTGTCCATCGAACACATTGCCAAGTATCACACAAGCTTCTTCTCGTATAGCCCTAACTTGAGCAGTCCGATCCGGATAAAGATCCTCGATGATCGATGCCAGGTCGGACAGGGTCTCGGCGAGATTGTACCCTGCATCTAAGAGCAATAATGGGTCAGTGGTGAGGGTCATAGAATGTCGGTAGATGTCCACGGCCGATGAGAGAAGCTCGACATTTTGTGGAGGGAGTAGGAAAGAGGTTGAGAGTGTGTATAAGACTCGAGCTCTGAACATGAGTGTCAATAATGATAACGGTCCCACCACTCTCATGACATCACAGCGTCAATTCTTTCCCCACCTCATCATGATTTGGCTCCATTGACACCTACCATTGTAACTGTCACTTTGAAGATCCCCGCCTGCCACTGAAGTAAAACAACAGTTTGGGCTTTTGGCACAGCGACGAGTTAGTAAGTCAGTGTTCAGAGAAGAATGGGAGTGGAGATGAACAATGACACTCACTGGTTGTATGCAGCGTCGAAAGTCGGTTTGAAATCATATGCCTTCCTATACAATTCGAGAGCTTTTTCGTAGAATCTTTGAGCCTGATTTGAGTCAGCTACCATCGACTACCATACAGCAAGCAACTACAGCTATAACTCACTCTATCGCCATCTTTATATCTTTCTCCTTTCTCTTCCAATTCTACTCCTCCTATCTATCAGCCTTGTATACATTAAATGAGACACAACCTGAGTATTTGAGTAATTCAAGGGGACCGGAGAGAGAGGGCCAGGGGGGGGGGGGGCAGGAAGGGCACCAAAACCCACCGTCAAGAGCTTCGTCATATGTATCATAAGTCGGTTCAGCCCTTCTATTCCCATGCTTCTTAGATGAACCAACCTGGTTATCATCGCTACGTCTCTTCGGTCTCACCATATCGCGAGATGTTACCCCAAAAGTCAAAAGTCAAAAGGCAAAATTGTCGGAGTTCGACGCACTTTCCTCAGACTTTTTCGCTGCTGCGACAGATGTCAGGCTCACTATTCTTGACTTGGACCACTTAGACCTGTGGGATGTACCATCTCCTATCCAATAACCTCATAACCCAACATGTCCTTCTCTTTCGGTCAGTCCACCCTTCTCAAACTCAGATGACAACTGAACATATAGGAAACACCCAAAACCAAAACCAGAACCAACCCCAAGCGTTTGGATCAGGTTCAACATCAGCACCAAACACCATCAAACCTTTCTCATTCACCACACCCAACCCACAATCCTCCGCATCTCCATTCGGAGTCAAAATCGATAATCCAGCTCCAGCATCTTCTTTCAGCTTTGGAACCTCTCAAAATCAAAATCAGACTCAGAACCAACAGTCCAATACAGGTTTCGGATCCACACAGAACCAATCTACCGGAGGGTTCAATTTCGGTACAAATAATCAGAATGCTCAACCTCAACAAGGGATATTCGGATCTAACACGGCACAACAAGGTCAACAGAATAATACGTTTGGTTTTAAACCTCTTGGAAATCTCGGTGCGAGTCAGAATCAAGGGAATACGTTCGGGAGTCAGAATCAAGCTCAACAAGGAGGGTTTGGATCCATCAATCAACCATCTCAACAACATGGCGGGTTTGGTTCTTCACAACCATTTCAGTCTCAACAGCAACAACAACAACCTCAGCAGCAGCAGCCGCAGCCGCAAAACGGTTTTGGTACTGCGGGTAACGCGCTGGGTCAGAGCATAATAGGACCACGTCAGGAATTGGGGATAGAAGAGAGAATGTTGGCCGTTCAAAGAGCTTGGGATGTGACTTCTCCAGATTGTCGTTTTCAGGTGAGTCCGTTTTCTGATCTTACATCTTGTACAAGTGCTCGTGATTGAGTTTTTGAATCAAAGATGTTCGGCTCTACTCTGATGTTTGCAGAGACGCAGGGTCGAAGAAAAAAGGACTGACAGATAGTACTTTTTCTACAATGTCGTCGATCCAGGAACAGCACCTCAATATGGTCGACCAGCTGGCGCTACAGATGACCAGAAATGGGCTAGGGCGATGAGAGATAACCCAGACCCGCAAAAGTGAGCTCCGTGTAGAAGAATCATGACGTTCGAGCTCACATTTCTAGCATGGTCCCCGTCTTAGCAACCGGATGGGCCGACGTGAAGAAAAGGGTACAAATGCAAGAACAAGTCGCCAGTGTGCATCAACAAAAGCTCAAAGTGTGTCATCTGCTGCCTTCTGTAAAGTCAAATTAATACCGATGCTGACTTTTAGGAAATATCAGCCGCCCTTGCGAATTTAACTCGACAAGCATCTCTATCATCTTCGATCCGTCTTCAAACCCTTCAGACTTCTCTCAAATCTCTTCAGTCCCGTCTGATCCATCTCGCCGCTCAATCTCCCCAGTTCATCCCTGCTCTACATTCGACACCTTTCAGACCTGAAGAAACTATCATCCGCTCTACCCTCGAAAACGTCCAAGCTGAACTGGACGGGCGATCCACTCTCTCTTCCGTTCCAGGAACCCCTGGGACACCTCGATCTGTGGGTCTTCGCTCAGAAGCTTTGGGGGGAAAGAAAGGTAAACGTCGTATGATAGGAGAGGTTAATGAGCTGTGGGGTCTGTTGGACGAAGTGCGTCGACAAAGAAAGTTGAGACAGATTGGAGGCGGGGCGGAATGGACCAAAGATGAGAAGTCTTTGGCGCAACTTGCAGAGGTGTTAGGGGCGCAACAAACGGCGTTGGCGAAGTTGTCTGGGTTAGTGGGGGATGCCCTTTTCGATGCGGATGTGATCAAGGGAGGGTTAGAGAGGGTTCGTAATGATGAGAGAATGGCGTAGTTGTTTATTAACGTATGCTAGTGAATTACCCTTGAGTGGCTGAGGTATGATTGCTGGAATGCATGTTCGGACATGTTGACGAATTACTCCGAAGTCACTTTGGCTGCGTTACATTTGCACCGCTCAACTCACCACCACCACTTGTTTCAACTCACTCTCATACATCGTCCCTCGTGCTAGAGCATAGAGGGACAGTTATAAACCTTCTGAATATATTCACACACCCTCACATCTATTCAGAACTACTTCTGTACTTGATACTCGACATCTCAACATCTCATATCGAAGAAACCTGGTCAAGATGGACATCGACTCTCCCCCTTCTCCAATGTTAGAACACCCCCATCCTCATCTCTCCCTACCACCTCTCTCAGCATCCTTCCCACTCCCATTCCGCGTTCTATTCTTGATAGGTCTAGCCATTCTATTATGGGCTATCAACCTACATCTACTCCATTTATTAGGTCTCGACCCCGCTTGGATACTTGATATCAGAGAAGATCCTGATCCACCTCCTACATTACCACTTCCATTATCTACCGATGACCTCGAATTGGATCCTCTCAGAACACTAGTTCCTCCTTCTCTTTCACGTGAACCGGATACACCAAGACGTTCAAACGATGGGATATCTCCTCGATTAGGTGGAGGAAATGAAGGAGGAAGACCATTACATGGACCGATATATAAATTGTTCCTGATTTATGTAGGTTGGGTAGGAGGAGGTTGGTTGTTGTTCAGAACGATCACAGAGGCGGATACTGAGAAAATGGAAAAATGGAGGGCTTTGGTGGGTGTTATCGCTTTAGGAGTGGGATTAGGGATAGGTTTACCTACTAAAGGGATTGGGAAGAGAGAGTTGATCATGTTTCGACGGTGAGTATTTTGTGTGCTGAGATATATGAGGGTCTCGTCCATCCTACCCACTCCTCCTCCTCCTCTTTCTTCACCTCCTCCTCTTTCACCTCCTCCTCTTTCACCTCCTCCTCTCTCACCTCCTCCTCTCTCACCTCCTCCTCTTTCATCTCTTTCTCCTCTTTCTTCTTCTTCGTCTCTTGTGATTTGCTCGATGCACTTGAATCTCAACGAACACTATATATACCAGGCATTTCAGCAGAGGGAAGAGTACCATGATCAACGTTGGTCAAACTATAGGGACGGAAGCGAGAGGTCTGGGGGAGAGAAATTTACTTCAAATGCTAAGAATTTCAGCGCCATTCATCGTATACTTCTACCCTCCACAACAGCCCCGATATTCTTTTCAGACGTCATCCTAGCTGATATCCTTACTAGCTTCGCAAAGGTTCTTGGGGACATGTGGGTTTCCGCGTGTCAGATCTGGAATGGGGGGATCACCCAAGGAAGAGTAGCCCAGGAAGGTTGGGAAAGATGGGTGACGTTGAGTATGGTTTGGTGAGTTGTCATTTCTTATTTCAACATCTCATCTGTGCTCATCGAGGTATCAAAGTGTCTCACAGACCACCTCTCCTAGATTCCATGACCTCAAATCACATATTCCACCTTTGCGTTGACACGGCAACTCCCTCAGCACGTCGGGTTATACTATCACCCACCAAATAATCTGTGATCTGAGGAGCGATGAGGAAAAAAGTCACGAATACCAACAGTGATTGGCATAAACGACAAATCATAACTGACAACAGTTTGCCCTACGTCCTACGATTCAAGCAATGTATATTCGAATACCACCAATCTTCCTACACCTCCCCTCGCTCTCTCGCCAACGCCTTTAAATACTTTTCCGCTTTCCCCGTCATTCTCCTCTCCGCCGCTCAGAAAAACGTCGTCTCTGAAATCGCTTCCGCCAAAGGGATAACAGTCGCAGAGTTGAGTCTCGAACATGATCGTTGGTTTGGTGAACATCGTCTTTTCCGACTTTGGCTTCTCTCCGTCGTCCTCAACTCGATGTATTCTTTCTATTGGGATATCACACTGGATTGGGGATTAGCTTTATGTGATATAGATACTTGGATTCCTCCACCAAAAGATTCATCTTCCTCAGACCATCTTTCAATCCCTCGTCCTGCAAGAAGAGAAAGTGTGACAATTTGGGAAAGAGCTAAACGATTTATTCGTTCTGATCAATCACATCAACGTTCTCCTTGTCCAACACCAGGACCTACTTTCAATCCTCATCTTCCTCTTCCTGCTCATCCTTCAAATCCAACGGTTAACACGGGAGGAGGAAATAGGAAATTGTTGGCTTTTGGTTTAAGACAAACATTATTATTACCTGATCCATTGGTTTATCATCTTTTCGCAATGGTAGATTTCGTATTACGATTCACTTGGTCTCTCAAATTATCAAGTCATTTACATACCATTAGCGAGATTGAAAGTGGGGTGTTCATGATGGAAGCTTTGGAATTGGTCAGAAGATGGATGTGGGTTTTTGTGAGGTTGGAATGGGAGGCTGTGAAGATGATGGAAAGTAGAGGGTGGAGAAATGGTGTAAGGGAGGAAAGAAGGTTGGAAGGAGGGAGAATATTATTCGAACAGGATAAAGAACAAGGTTAAGGTTAGAAGGTTTAATTTTTCTTGAGAGAGTAGATAGTCATATTATTGCATTGCATATCACATGATTTGGAAAGTGTCTCCTGGTTCAATTTGGCATAAACCAAGCATGTCTATGACTTGTGAAATTAGCAACAGAGTACATCTCGTGTAAACCTCCCTTGCTGGGTCTTTCACGATCCCACTGATGTCATGCCATACCGGGGGATGCATGTCCTGGGTGTGCTTCGGCGTTGGTCGAGAGCTCGTTTCATCGTGAGCCGTAAGATGACGACTGAGGTGTAAAACTCATTGCCAGGAATGATATTTCTGGAGAAACTCGGTAACGTTATGCAAGGAGCGGAAGCTTCACCATTTCCGACCCATGACTTTCTGTAATCTCAGTCTTGAACCCATTACCGATATCTATATGACTCAGAGAGGTTGGCAGGATCAAGCGACACGAATGAATGATGAGTGATCGATGGACTCACCTGAACACATTGCTTGAAAGCCACAAATTCAACTTCGCACATTCCCTTAGAGACTTCTAAATATCGCGACCCTACGCATTTCGCATAAGCTCCAGACTGTCATTAGCATTGTCCTATATCGAAACACCCCGTTGGATACTTGATTGACTTTAGTACACAGAGTATAGGTTTTCATTATCTTTTCATATGAGACATAGCACGCCAAAGCTGTGAGTGAAGAGTAAGAGAAGAGGTCAATGGAGTAAACTGAAGGCCGAAGAGATGAGGAAGGATATGGAAGTCACTTTTTGACTCACTTCGACTGAACACGAACCAGCTGCTTTTGCCAAAGTCTTCAGAGGTTGAGTATCCGTGAACTTGTTCCTCGTAGTGGTAGGGAGCATGTCGTTGACGTCTTACGTGCTCATTCGTCCTGAAACGGTTTCATGGAACAGTTGCAACATGCAACATGCAACATGCAACATAAGCAACGTGCAACAGCACCGCACGCACCGATGGGGATGGGAAGGGGGATCATTCAAATTTGCCACGTGGGAAGCAATCGCCCCCCTTCGGGCACTTGGGTCAGTCTCAACTCTCTCTCTCTCTCCGCCTTCTTCGTCTCTCTTTGTTTCTGTTTCTTTCTCCACACTGCGACACATTTACTCCCCATGATGCCAACTAGAAGCTACGCTCAATCCATACTCCAGCTCATATCCTCTACTAGCTATCCATCTTTACCCCCTTTAGAAGAATTAGAAGCTCTCCGTGCTGCCCTCCTCGCCTCCGCCGACGTACCCCTTCTGGACGATCCAAACCGACGTAAACGCGATGCGGAGAAGAAGGATGAAGAGCGCGAGAGAGCTGCTTTGGAGAGTAATAGGAAGCTAGGGGTGGGTCTGGAAGCTGTTCAACATAGGGGAAGTATGAATCTTGGTGGGGGATCCAAAGGTAGTCCTGGGGTTAAAGTCAAGCGGGAGAGAGATTCTTGTGAGTTGTCGATTTTCTCGAATCTATGTACCTTCTCTCTTCCTCCGTATCTACGACCAAACTTTGACCGCTGTGTGGAGCGTGAATGGTTCAGTAGTTCAAACAGACTGGGTACACTGAAACTGATTTGCAGTATCCCCTGCTCCTTCTGACCTGTCCGACGCGTTGGCACAACTACATCAAACCCCTCGGACTGTCACTTACGGAGGTCAGAAGAAGAAGAAAAAGCGTGTAGCAGATTCGGATGATGAGAGTGAGTCTTTCATCAATCATATCGACAGTACTTTTCTTTCATGATACACTGTAGAAATTCCCTCCAGTACAACATCATGCCTGAACTCACAAACAGTGAAAGACAGGTTATCTTCTCCACCTTACCAGTCCACCACTTCCGGTCTCAAACTAAAACTTTCCTCTCAGAAACCCCGCCCAGATCCTTCTCCCACGCCTTCAAATTCAACAGCCGCAGTTTCGGTGACCGTTGGGGCGTCCCTTGATTTTTCCCTTCCTGTCCAACCTCAGAGACCTTTGGTACCAAACCGTCCAGGTGTGAAGAAACCTCCCAAACCGGGTCCTAAGAGACAAAATGAGGTGAATGAGGATTTCAGCAATGTCAAAGCTCCTAGTCAAGTGGCCTTTCCGACATTTTGGAGTGGGGTGGAACCGTACCTTCGGGAAATCAGGGAAGACGATTTGGCCCTGCTGAACTTCAAGGTATGTCTCGCTTCTATATCACTACTCGAGGTCTTCTGCTCCCTGGAATCTGAAGTCTCACCGTGATGCCGGCTTTCCTCAGCCCATGGGTGTTCTGCGTAGAGCTACGAAGGGCACACTGACAACCAGGCCGATGCTCCCGAGTCATACGAAGTCCCTCCTCGGGGTCGTCACTATACCGAAGTATGGGACGAAGAAGACGGTCTTCCTCCCGGTACCACTCCTCGTATCTTTGTCCCCTCCATGCGACACTCTCATGACCGTGGACCTGGAGGACTTGCAGTGCCACACTTTGTCCCTTCAGCGGAGATGAAAGATGAGACTTTGGTGGATGAACAAAGGGGACTGGGAGGTTTGACCGAAAGGATCGTCGCTGCTTTCATAAAGGATAAAAAAGTGGCCGAGACTAACTCTGCGGCCGAAAATGCAAGGCGAGAGGCATTACGTTTAGGAGATGTTATGGAAGAGGAAGTGAGGGACGTCATAAAAATCGATGTGGTGGATATGGAAGAGAGAGTGAAGAAGGAATTGAAGATGCTCAATTTGTTAGGGGAGCACGAAGATGTGAGTGAAATCAATATCGATTCATTGTGGTGAAATATCGTTCTAACATTCAGTTCGATCCTTCCAAAAGGGACGACGATGAGATCACATCCTCCCTCCGCACGTGTCAGCGACTGCTGGTCAAGCAATCTGCTTTGAACGAAGCTCGCAAATCTCGTCTGTCCGACATCGCCAAGCATCGATTAGCATATGCTGAATATTCTTCAGCTTTGGAAGGTATCGAAAAGGCCATCGAAGCAGGATGGACTAAGCGTGTCAAGAAGTACGGAATAGCACCTCGAAAGACGAACAATTCCAAAGCTGAGACTTCCACCCGTCCGCCCGTTCCCGAGACGCTCAAGCGTTTGCTAGCGGTCCGGAAACAATGGACGGAGACGGTCGGAAAGTGTATGCGAGAGCTTCCGAGGGGTGAAGTGGTAGGTATGCCAGAGCAAAGTATCTACGAGGGGATCGGGGAGGGGGAGGGACAAGGGGGGGTGGATAGGGAGAAGGATATCAATGGAGGTGGACAGGATGATGACATGGATGAAGAGGGTGATGTCGAAGAGGGTTTGTAGTGTTGTATTTGTACATTTTGTAATGTCACAGTGACACCCTTTGCTCTGTTGCATGTTTTCCGGTAGTAGTTGCTCAAGTGTATGAGTAGAGTACGAGCATTTGTACATACATACATGCCTAGTTAGGCGTCGGCTAAGAAGCGAGACAAAATCGAAACTTCGCCATTGCTCCTTTTTCCTCTCTCACACTCACTCACTCTCCTTTCACTTCAGACCTCTAACGTTCTTTTCACTGCCAAACCAAAACCATCCTACCCATCTTGACCATCTCTCTTGCTCGATAGTACCAAAGTCAAACGAGAGGCACTGTACATCCATGTCCAACTTACTCAACCTGCCAGACGGCGGGACAAAGGACATGGAGGGCGTCACAGAACCTCAAACTGCCAGACCTCGAGTCAATGTCAACGGACCAAAGCCGGTACATAAATCACAGAAGAAGATTGCTGTGTTGACCAGTGGGGGTGATAGTGCTGGTATGAACGCCGCTGGTGAGTTTGTTGACTTGACCTCCCCCCTCCACTCCGACTTTCTTTGTTCAATTGTGACATTCCATTGTTCAATAGTAACGATTGGTCTGACCTCCCCCTCATAGATATGTATGTCTGACTTCGTGATGAAAGGTCATACATGCAAGAAAAGGGATTGAGTATCTGACCCTCAGTCCGCGCAGTAGTACGTCAAGGTATATCTAGAGGTTGTCAAACATTCATCATCCGAGAAGGATGGGAAGGTTTAGTCCGAGGAAACACAGATGATCCCACTCCATTCCAAACTCGAGAATCATCTACAGTCACAACTCCTTCCCTCTCACCTTCAGACTCTCATCCCCATTTACCAACAAGAGCAGTCTCCTTTGCTTCTCTACCCCCAAGTCAACAACTCGCTTTACACCCTCAAGCTCACGGGGAGCATAGTCATGTAGTCAACTATACAGATCCTACTTGGATCGCACCTCTATCAGACGCACCGTTGAGTTTCGGGTATGGTGAATTATTAAAAGATGGTGCTGGTGAAGGAGATTTAGATGATATGGCAGGACATGGGAATCCTAATGCTTCTATCGAAAGTATTGACAAAAAGGCTAAAAGTTTAAGAGGGAAGTATATTGTTAGAGTGGGTTGGGATGATGTGAGAGGTTGGTTAGGTGAAGGAGGAACTTTGATCGGGTCTTCAAGATGTCCTTCTTGTGAGTTCAATAATCTACACTAATAAATAAATTGGGGAGAATGGGCTGATGTGAATAGTTAGACAGAGAGAAGGGAGGTTACAGGCAGCACATAATTTGATCAAGTTTGGTATAGATTGTTTGGCTGTTTGTGGTGGGGATGGAAGTTTGACGGGGGCTGATAAACTTCGTGCGGAATGGCCTGGTCTGATAGAAGAGTTGCATAAGGATGGTGAGATTTTCGTTCTCATGTCTTTTGGTGTGCACTCATGGGTCAAAAGTCGATTGAGGATATTTGAAAAAAGAGACGATCTGACGATCAGGAAAGATTACCAGTGAACAACGAGACGCTCATCAGCATCTGAATATTGTCGGTTTGGTTGGGTCCATCGAGTAAGTCTACTCTTTGTTGTCAATATCCCTCGGTCTTGGTCCCCTGAAGAAGTCTAGTCTGTCGCACGGTTTTCGCTCGTTGGTCCTAGTCACTTCTGCGCAAGTTGTGAATCATGCCAAGACTGGTCGCTGACTTTCCGCAACGACATGTCAATGACCGACTTGACCATTGGCGCACTCACCGCCTTGCATCGGATTTGCGAGTCTATCGATTCTATCTCATCCACTGCATCGTCACACTCGAGAGCTTTCGTCATTGAAGTCATGGGTCGGCATTGCGGTTGGCTAGCCCTTCTTGCGGGTATAGCGACAGGCGCGGATTTTGTCTTCATCCCTGAATGCCCACCAGAGTCGGCGGATTGGGAAGATGAGATGTGCGATCTACTCAAGTCTGTGGGTATTCTTTCATCCGCGTCAATCAACTATTTCCTTGATACTAATCGTACCCCTGGATTAACCTCAGTTCTCCGTCAATGATCAGTCGAGCTGACTCTTAGCACCGAGCAGTCGGTAAACGCAAGTCAATCGTCATTGTCGCCGAAGGCGCCCTTGATCGCAAACTTCAACACATCAAACCGGAGTATGTCAAGCAGATCCTGGTTGATCGACTGGGCCTGGATACTAGGGTGACGACTCTGGGTCACACTCAACGAGGTGGGAAGCCTTGTGCTTTTGACCGTATCTTGGTCAGTTGGGACTGTAGATTTTCGGTAACAGCTGCTGATGATCAGCCTACTCTTCAAGGTGTTAACGCTGTTCAGGCTTTATTGGACGCTACACCGGAAACCCCATCATACATGATTGGCATTCGGGAGAATAAGATCACACAGGTGCCTTTACTTGAGGCTGTTGCCCAGGTGAGCATACTGTTGTCCTCCTTACCATTCTCGTTGGTCGCTCTCAGCGCGCCGAAGCTACCAAAAGTGTAGTTTCCAATATCATGGCACTCATCCACATTGGAAGTGGACAGACCTCACACGCAGACTCAAGCAGTGGCAGCGGCAATCGACAGTAGAGATTTCGACAAAGCCATGTCATTCCGTGATTCCGAGTTCCGCGAAATGCTCCAAGCTTTCAAAATCTCCTCCTCCTTAGCCGCTAGCTCTCAAGTGCCAGAAAGCAAACGTCTACGTATCGGTATCATCCACGTCGGTGCTCCTGCTGGCGGTATGAACGCCGCCACTCGTCAAGCCGTTCGTTTCTGTCATAACCGTGGTCATACAGCTCTAGCCATATACAACGGATTCGAAGGTTTGCTCGATGACAACGTTGCAGAATTATCGTGGCTTCGAGTGGATTCTTGGACCACTCGTGGTGGTTCGGAATTAGGTACCAATAGGACATTACCTAGTGTGGATATGGGTGAAGTGGCATCAGCCTTTCAACGACATGGACTGGATGGTTTATTGTTGATTGGTGGATTTGAAGCTTTCAATTCACTCCTGCTATTGGAACAAAACCGCGCCAATTATCCAAGTTTCCACATTCCCATGATTCATCTGCCGGCTACTTTGAGCAATAACGTACCATTGACAGATTTTTCTTTGGGAAGTGATACGAGTCTGAACGCTTTGGTGGACGCTTGTGATGCCATCAAACAGAGCGCTTCGGCGAGTAGGAATAGGGTGTTTGTTGTGGAGACTCAAGGTGGGATGAGTGGTTATATCGCTACTATGGGTGCTTTGGCGGTGGGTCATTCCTCGCCTTCAACACCTGTCACGGCTTCTTTCTGTGTTTCTTCTCTCTCTCTCTCTCCCTCTTCCTATGTGCGATGCTCAGGTTATCCTCCAACTCCCCAGGGATGAAATCTTCAGAAATTGTTGTTGTATTTCGTGAGACTTTCTTGTCTTGCGCCGGGAAGTGGTCATACAGGAATTTTGGAGGAAATCTGATCTTTCCAGGTCGGAGCTGTATTAGTCTACACTCCTGAAGAAGGTATCAACCTTCAGTTATTACAACAAGATGTCAATTTCCTCAGTCGTCGTTACAAACTTGATGTCAAGGGGAAGAGCGAAGGACGTCTGGTGATCAGGTTAGTCAATCCTTCGTATCATTTCCTTCATCTTTTCTCCCTTCTCTGCATTCCAATCCATATCATGATACCGTGCACATAGCATTTGTGGTCACTTGGGCCGGATGGTTCATAGTGAATGATCTAAAAACGAGGAGGTCTGGTGAATGTTCATGTTAACTTGACAGATCGGAAAAAGCTTCAACAGTCTATACAACAGAAGTCATGACCAAAATCCTACGAGAAGAAGGATCAGATTTATTCGACGCACGTTCAGCTTCGCTAGGTCATACATTACAAGGTGGAGTTCCTTCACCTCTCGATCGTACTCGTGCTGCACGTCTCAGTTTGAGATGTATGCAATTTTTAGAACAACATGGTGTACCTCAATCTCAATCCACTAGAGGACATCGTAGATTAGGAAAAGATACAGCTGTGATGATTGCTATTCGATCGAGTAAGATTGTTTATGCTAATATGGACGTGGTGTTGGGTCATACGGATATGAAACTTAGAAGAGGGACGGATGTTTGGTGGGGGGATATAAAACATTTAGTAGAGGTAATGGGTGGACGTACTGGTTTAGTCGCTAGTAGTCTTGCCGTTTGAAGGGTGACGACAACCTCGTCCAACCGACAGAAAGGATTGACTATACTCATGTGGATAGACGTCAAGGAAGACATGTAGATAGACATCATGGAAAACATGCAGATATGTTAATGATCAGCCGAGGAAAAAACTTTCTACGCATCATGTGATCAAAGTTAGATAAAGAACGGAAGAAAACCAAGATGCATACGGCTCTGCCTGTAAAAACACTTGAGAAACCAAAGAACCGATGCTACCAAACATCACAAACTGACACTTAATTGACAAGAGGCAAATCCCTCACCACACCTCCCATAACAATGGTAATAATATAACTAATGGTATTGTAATATCATCAAAGACCTAGTCAATGTAGGAAATGTAAAAGAGAGAGGAAAACAAACATGAAAGACAAATCGTCGTGATATCGTTGAGAAACGTAATGAATTTGGGAAATCGTGGTATCGTAATATCGTGAAAGGGCCGTTAACGCCATAACCGAACTGAGAAAAAGGGCAAGGGAGGGGATATAAATACAATATTACCAAACAAAAGTCGAAAGATCGGAAGTCAAAAGGGGGTTTAAACGCAACATGTTCGATTGGTTTGAATACCGGATGATTCGTCTTCAGGAGCTTTAAGCATGATACTGTTTTTATGACGAAGAGTTCGTTCACGTTCGATAGTATCTTTCTTATCGACTAATAAAGCTGAGATGGTTTTGAAGAGTGCTTCGACGCCTGATTATCAGCTGATGTTCTCTTTGCTCTCAACATCCAGACATCCACACTGCATCAATCCGCTTGTTAACGGCACCGGGTGGATATGACGAGGGAAAAGTGTGCTGTGAGATACAATCAAGCGTGATTAAGGATAAGGTGTAAGGCAGGATATAGGACGAGGATATGAGCAAGAACACTCACCATCACCGGTCAAAGCACTACATTCACCTAGATAGATATGTTCCACCAAAGTACCCCATTGAGGTTCATCATCGCTCACACTTGATCTAGGCGTTCCATCCCTATTCAACCTACTATCCGTCCCTACACTCCCTCCCCTTGGTCTCCTACCGTGAACATACGATGAACCAGAAGGAGGACTTAACATCTCTCCACTTGCTCGTTTTCTCACCGCTTCCCCGAACTCCCCCAAGACCTCTTCTGATGGTGGACCCTGTCCTGCTCGCCAAGGTCTACCAGTTGACCAATCTTCCGATTTACGTCTTACATCTGTCTTCTTTGTCCCAAGCAACGGACTGCTTTCTGTTCGTATTCTCGGTGGGGTGGTAGGTACACGGAAAGGTTGGTATGTCTGACCTGAGATAGATGCGGAGGACGAGGACAGTGGATTAGATGTAGAGTTCGGATCAGGAGAAGGACGTCGAGTTGGGGGATGTTCTTCTGCCAATCTAGCCAAAGAGGTGGTTGCTTCACTGATCTGGGTTGAAGAAAACCCTAGAAGTCCAGAAAATGAGAAACGGGAAGAATGTCGATTGACAGGAGTGAGAGCGGCACGTGCTAGTTCGGAATAAGTTGCATAAGTCGCTTTGGAAGGAGATTGTAAATCTGGGAATGTCACTTGTGTGGGTGAAACGGGAGAGGTGATTTTGACTGAAGGACGGGAGACAGATATTGATGGTTTATGTCTCCGGTTCGAAGGTTTGGAAGGTTTAGCGGAGGAAGGTGCCGTAGCTGGGGTAGGGGTTTCAGAAGAAGGTATAGGGGAAGGAAGTTCTATCCGTAGTGCTGGGATACGAGCTGGAAGGGGGTCGGCATTGACCAGACTGGTTAACGCACTATGAGAGTGGGATCGAGTGGGTGCTGGACTAGACATGCTAGACTCGGCTCGAGAAAGGTTGGTATCGCGACGAAAGAGACCTCGAGAGGGAGGAGATTGAATTTGAGGGAGAGGATTTGTTGAGACAGGTTTGAGCCATCTTCGAATGGTCTCTCTAGCTTCACCAAGACTATCTCAGTCAGCTTGATTTCCCATATATCCACAGAGTGAGATACACTGACCTGATCATCCTTTTCGGCTCTAAATCCGTCTTCATACCAACCACAAAAATTAATGTCTCTTTCGAAACCGTCCTGCCGAGCTCTTCCAGCCAACTGTAAACGTCTTCGAAACTCTGTCGATCTGAAATATCATATACCAGAATACAGACGTGAGAACCTCTGTAGTACATCGGGGCCATACTACGAAACCTTTCCTGTCCTGCCGTATCCCAGATCTGTAGACGGATTTGGGTACCATGTTGCATGAGTTTACGAGTATGAAAAGATGATCCAATGGTGGAAACAGTAGGAGTGAATTTGCGGGTAGTGTATCGTAATATGAGAGATGTTTTCCCCACACCTTGCGAGCCGAGCAAAACCACCTTGGCCTCTAGTCCATCGGGTCCTCCGAGATCTGGAGGAGGCAAAACGGGGGCTGAAGCTGGAAGTGGGCCTGAGCGAGGGGGAGTGGGTAATTCGGTAGTATGAGTACGCTGAAGACCCGGAGAGGGGCTAGTAGGATGATGTGAATGGACACTTCGACGGACTGAGATACTGGGATTCGGTCTGACTCGGATTCGAGAATCAGCACTCTTGCTCTCTTGCATTCGGATCGATTTGGGCAATACGACGGCAGTTTGACTACGCTTAATCCGTTGTGAAGGGGGTCCCATGACATTTGTCTTGGATTCGGGCGGGTTGATAGGTTTCGGGACAGGGTTGAAACCAACGGTTGGTTGACCTAACGAATGTGATCGCGCTCGACCCGCTGGAGTCTCTCCCAACTGTTCAGAATGTTTTATATCTTCCAACAAATCTTCCACTGAAACGACTGGAGACCGTCTCGGTATTCCCTCCAACTTTGGATCATCATCCCATCTCGGCGACACTCGGACCTCTTCGACCTGCAATCCACTGACCGCAGGAATGTCCTCTGCCGGAGGAGCGAGAGCGACCATGATTGGGGCATAGTGAATCTTGCTGCTAGAGGGAGAAGGGTCTGGGGTCGGAGGGAGTACTGTGCTGTCAGGTGTGACCGGAGGTAAGGGTGCCACTGAAGGTTTAGGAGCTGGGGGAGGAGTTATAGAAATGATGTTAGGTTGAAGAGTTGTAGGGTCTGGAGGAGGACCAAGAGCTGAGAAGCTCTGTGTCATGAGGGACATTGGTGAGGAGTGGCGGTGCTGAAAGGGAGGAAATTGAAGATGAGACGGACCGACAGGGAACTCTATAGGTCTTGGCAATTCGGTTTGATTGGAACGGTGTGCAGGTGGGTGGAACAGATCAGTATCAGAATATGGTTGATGAATCAGGGAAGGTTGTTGAGCGACGACGCTCATGGTGAGGACAAGGGGGTAGGAATGGGGAATAGAACGATGATCGTGTATGATTGTCCTATTCGACTTTATGGGTATATGGACTCTCAGAGGAAAACGAGAGAAAAAATTCCTGGCAGAGTTGATCCAAGATCTACTTGTTACAAAGTCGGAGAACAGTGCACTCCTACACGGATCCTCGTGATGGAGGATAGGGAAGATAGGTAAAAGCTGGATAGAGTCAGTGCGAGAGACGCATTGATGATTGACAAGTGTACGTACGGAACAACCTTATTACCCCTTGACACCGCCTCTTTGATGGGACGTCGAATGTCGTTAACCGAGACGTCGTTGATGAGACTGAGAAGGATGAATGTGAGTCGTCTATAGAGGAAAGAGAGAGATGAGGTGTGATGATGCAATAATCCCCCCGTTGGGGGATGAAGAAAGGTAAAGGGGATTGTCGACCACTTGTGAGAGGAACAAAGGACTAGACGAAGATCAGCTAAAGGCTTTCTTCGTTCCGGCTATGACCCTTCATACCGGTGGCTGCTCAAAGAAGAGGGGATAGATCTACTCAAAAGGCGTCATTCGGATCAGTTAATTGGTTTTGGTCGATGAGGATGGGAATGTGTACATGTCATGATGATAGATGAGAGTGACGAAGATTATACAAAAGACTTACTTTTGATCGTTGTATGTGGACCAGGGTTTCCCCGGTCCTCGGTCGATCAGTCGGTACGGTATGATGAAGTGGAAGCGAGCTCGGCAGTGGGGGTTTCCGTATCCAGATCTCTCTCGGGTATGTTTTGATGGCGTGACTTGCTTCTTGCCAAGTATCTCTATATCTACGTGATACAGTAGTTGCGTGGTGGGGATACGAATCGATACGAGCAGATGCTCTACTAGTTACTCGGGATTGATACGCGTTGGATGATGTTATAGAGGCGTGATGCGCCCCTTCCAGCCTTCGTCTAACCACTTGTATTCTCCGTATCCCAATCCCTTGTATCCGTGCTTCCTATCTTCCTTGATTCTCCTGAAAATCCTATCGTCCAATATTTTGGTTCTTGAGGGTTGGGTGAAATGATACACGACGTGTTGATGTTATGTGACAAACCGAGAAAAAATACAAGAAACACGCAAAACTGTCTTTGATTATCTCCCCACTCGCTTGATCCTTGAATATGATAGAATCGTTAACTGACCAGCAGTTCGCAATGTCGAAATCCCAAAGACAGTTCTTTTAACTTGATACAAATAGTAAAAGGAAGAAAGGTAGAAGGGAGCGGTTGAGATGATCCGGTACCGATGGGATTGGGATTGGATTGGGATTGTTCTTGATTCCTTGTGAAACACTCGGATGCTCGGACCTAAAAAAAGGCGATCAACATACGAAACAAAGAAAAAGATGCGATCGATCCAAAGGACCATGGGACCATTGACCAATGGATTATGAAGCCAAAAGAAGGTATACGTAGAAACTCACAAGTTATAGTTGTTTACAAATGTTAGTAATATCTTTCGATATTAAACCTCTTGTAATATGTGTACTGAGTGTGGCCCAGTCGGTGAAAGGGTAGACGCGATAAACACTACTCGGTTGACGTTAAGATTGAAAGATTTGTACACTAAAACAACTAAAGAGACGTACAAATATAACGAATCGAATGAATACACTGGTAGGGTTACAAAGCCGTTTTTGAATCATGAATGATACAGTGGAGTTGTCTGGGGTTAAAATGGGGTAAGAGACGAGTGAGTGGTAGTTGAGTGGAGGAAACTCGTCACAGCATATATCGCATGTCGCTCGGTTCGGGGACTTGGTGTTTTTTTCCCCGCTGTAACCTCCGGTCTCCGAGCCTTTTCACAAATGGTCAAAACGGGTTCCTGTCGATTCCCTACACTTTTACCCTTAGTCGGGCCTTGCATTTCTTATACCTACTCTAGCGTGGACTCCTCGGTGCTGCTGTGGCATTACCACTACCACTTCTACAACAACAAACCACCTTGGCGATACCCTCATTCGTCATCCCTACCCAATCGTGGCGCGTCGAGTACATAACGGACCGCGGAGGATTCCAAGTTTCGGATCTCGGATCTCATGCGGTTTGATACATTGACGCATGACGAACCTGAGACATTTACAAGACATGTGACCCTCCTTTTTCCATACATAAACGGGGTTTATCCCAATCATGACACACTTGGCATCGCGAACAGGTCGATGGATTAACAATGTCATTCATGCATCTATACACCCGGGTACCACTGACTATCAGGCCTGCTGAATGTCGTAATTGGGCTTTCCGGTGATAACTCTATAATCAAATCCTTTCTAGGTGGTTCTTCAAGATTTAATCCCATAGGTCTACCTCTCCCATAACCTCCCATTCCACCACTTCTCCTTCCACCTCTCTGTCCACCTTCACCTCCTCCGCCAGCCGAAGAAGCTCGTCCTCGTCCCGTAGCGGTAGAATTGTTTCTTGACAAAGGGAAGATTCCGCTATCTGGTCGAGCGGCAGCTTGTGGTAATGCAGGTGTATCGGGCATAGGGCTTGCTCCTGCTCCATGTAACAAACTAGAGAAGAAACTTCTCATCGTCTTGACGGATTTGATACTGACTCCTCTTCTCAAAGTGTGACGTTCGGAAGAAATAGGTGTGTAAGGAGTGATTGAACGAGAACCATCGTTCGGAGTTTGACGACCCATCATGGCCAAGTGAGCATTTGGATTCAGACTTCCTGCAGTCGTCACGGTTGGAAGGTAAGGATCGGATTCGTATGTGTAAGAAGAGGGTGGTTGAGTATATGTCGAAGATGGATCACTGTCCCCTCTCATAGGGAACAACCTAGCAACGGATCGGGTAGCTTTACCAGCTCGTACGGTGACGCCGTGTATCAGGGATTGAGGTGTGGTCGGTGTATGTACACTCGACGCTGAAATGTCAGTTCTTGGGGTAAATTGGTCGAGTGCGATGTCATCGTATCGTTCTTTACTATGTCGTCGAGCAAGTGGAGGAGGACGGAGAAGCCGACTGTTCCTACTAGATGACGTGGGAGAGGATGGGTTGACTCCGGCAACGGTTGCCGGGTTTCGTGCTAACCATCCAGCAGCAGTTGGATTGGCACCAACGATGGCGGGTAAGGTGACGGTGGTCGCTGCACTCCATCGAGACACATTACCACGTGGCGAAGAATGAGGAGGGGCATAAGGTATGTAGTCTGGATACGAGGGTGGTGGAGAATGTTCGGTTGGTTGAGGACCGTAGGCCGATGTCGAACCGCTGGAGGATGAAGGTGTGGATGGGGAACGTTTGACAAATGATTTCGATTGACCGGAACTGAGACCGTGGGCAAAGACATAGCTGACGGTCTCCGTAGATGACCTCGGAAGACGTTTGCGAGTGATATAGAGGTATAGAAGAACGGCAACTATGAGAAGGACAGCCACAGCTGAAGAGACGGCGGAGGCTATGATAGCGGGGTGAGATCTGAACGTCAGCTCTGCCCTCCGCCATTCATGTGACCAGCGAAGACTTCAGGTTAGGGTCCCCCGTTATGTCATACCCATGAAGAAGAGAACTACATGTAGTGGCATAAAGACAAAGAAGTGACCAATCAGTCACTCACCCAGAAGAAGTAGAAGAAGTAGGTCCAGTCAAAATAGCATAATCCACTACCAGCTCCTTCCCAGGAGTGTTATTGACCAGAGACAATTTGTGAGGCACAGAAGCATTCAGACCCATCTTAGTGTAGAGCAAAGAGGAACTTCCCATCCAAGGACTCTGTATCATCAGCTCAGGCCTACAATACGACCAGAAAGACTGACCCGCAAATCCAAAGTGTTCGATAATTGTCCGTCGAGATATACCTCAGCCTGACCGCCGTTGGGCGAGGAAACCCCATATAGGTATATACCCGTAGCCGAGAAGCTGAACTCCATGCTGGCGGTCGACGCCGTGGTCACGGCTGCCGAACCATTATATAGTGTCCCACGATCGAATTGCCCAGAGACGGAGGTGTTTGACACTTGGCCTGTAGTTCCCCCCGAGATAAGTTGTGTCCATCCCGCTGACCATGAGAAAGAAGAGTCGGTATTATCGATGGTGGAGTTCGAATAACTGGCAATCAGTCATCTGCTTTGCACCCCCTCCCTGATCAGCTCTCCCCCCTCCGGGGGAGACACACCGCTTGCCAATTATCGTATTATTCATCCCGTCGCCGACTGGCCGATCCGGATATGGACACTTCACTAAACTCACCTGCCTTTGGGCAAAGGAACCTGTCCTGCGATACCGTATAGCTCTACTCCTCCACTCGCCGCCAGTCGTAGGCTGAGCTGATGTTCTCCTAAAGGTAAATTATCGATGAGTCCTTGGGTTGAGCCTCCTGGGCAGGAAGATTGGAATGAAGAGCCGTTGATAGAATAGTCGAAGGAGCATGATGATGTGGTGGAAGATGATATTTGGAAGGTAGTGGCTGCTTCGTCAGCGAATCCGAAGCAAATACACCCTTCTCACGACTTGTCTTGCCCTGATGCTGTCACCTTAGACAGCTCTAGATCAGATGTAGTTCCACATAGCACTGTGGAAAGTTTGGAAGACTTACATGTCAGGTTGACGAATACTTGTGATCCGGAAGCTGTGGCCTGATGGAATGTCTGATCGTAGCCGTCCGCTCTCCTGGCATACGCTGGATTCCACCCGGCGCCATATGTCCACAAGGGTGAAGTGTCGGGCACGAAGAAGCTGGTCATTGCATCGTCCACTACCACTGTCTCTCTCCTCGTTCCCTCAGCTTGAAGGCCCGCCACGCCGCGTTTGTATAAATCCCCTGGAGCAGATTGAGGTAGGTTTCGACGTGCTCCGACAAGTCTCTTGCGTTATTTTCGTCGTAGAATCTGAAATGTGAGTAGTTGGACACAAAATGAGTGAGTTCAGAGAGAGTAAGAAGTAGAAGAAGGGAAGATTCCAAGGACGCCCATGTATCGAAGGACGACACCGCCGTTCAGTAACCTGTACTAGTTCGGCCTCGTCAGAAGGGATGTCAGCTGAATCAAGTCAATGGCAGACCCCATTGCCCCTTGAAGACCTTTGATGGACCGCCGTCAAAGGAAGCCAATGAGCGCACGCCTTTCAATCGAAATATCAGCGAGGATCCACATGCAGAGCAATTGCCTGTACCCGGACGGATGACAAAGGAAGACGGACATAGTAGAACCTTTGAAAGCGGATGATGTCAGGGGTCGGTGAACGAGGTTGGATCTGAAAGGAGTGACGGAAACATGAAACAATGAAACAAGAACTCACGATGCTGACCAGGGACCAAACCATGAAACGTAGCGATCAATCGAGTCAGTGACGATGAGAGGGAGGAGATCTGTAAATGCTTCCATACAACAAAGACAACGGCTATGGTAATGATGGATCAGAGGGAAGAAAGGAGTAGTGAGGCCCGAGTCAGATATGAGGCAGACATGAGGCATGAGATTGATGGAGACTGGAAAGATGTGATGGAAACAGTGGAAACCCCAAGTTCTTGACCGGCAGATGCCTCCCGATGCTGATTTATGCTCTGTATCTCCCAATTTTCCACTCTCAGTCATCCATTTCTCCCATGAACTCATCACCATCACTGAGCTCACCCATGTCACTCATCTTGTCATCTTCGTCTTCGTCCTCCTCTGGGTTGTGGTCTTTCGCGTGACCGTTGGTGTCGGCAGAAGTACCATTAAGGTGACCGTTCTGGCCGTTGACCGTTTTTGACTTGGACTTGAGCTTGCCGTTCATCTCCTCGTCGTCACCGTCCATCTCGTCTGTGTCGCCCGCCTGGTCGGCGTCTTCGGGAGTGGCAAAACGTGCCACGTAGGATTCAACTTTCTTGGCATACGCAGCTGGATCTCGCATCAGCAAGGCTGCAGCCTCACCGTTGAGAGGGTCGGCAGGATTAGGATAGCGAAGTAGCTGGGGAAGGAAGATCTCGAAGATATTGATGAGTTCTGACGTGTCAGTTCTGGCGACTCCCAGTTTCAATGCCACGATGAGTGATCGTTTTGCCAGCTCCATGTAAAACAGAGCTGCCGGGAAGACGTACCAAACATGGGTGACCAGGTCTGATTGATGACGTCCAAGCACACGCTCCCGCTCCTGAGATGTCAGCGTTAGACGGTAGGAGACAAAGGCTGACTCACAGCTCGTCGATGTTGGGGTGGAAGATCTTGTTGATGAAACCTATGCTTGGGGACTTGTAGGGGAATTGTTCCGGCAGTTCCACGTGGATCTTCCATACCCCCTTGGCGAATGGGGCTACAAAGTCAGCAAGAAGCACGCACCCACACCGTACAACCTAGGTTTTGCCACCAAACCCGCTCGCATGGCAATGTACCAGTCACAATGGTGGATGGACTTACTTTCCGGAGGACCGTAGAACTTGACGAAGAACTCGGACATCTTGTTGTTGACCAGCGTCACTTGGTAGTCCGACATCAAGCTGTTGATGCCAAGCGATAAGCGGGCAAAATGATAAGAGTACGGTATGGGTGGCGATACGGGGCGATAGATGTCGGAAGAACGTCGGTCAGCTCTACTCTACACTGCAAGTGTATATACGAACAGTTTCATCACGTCTGTATCGACGCGACGCTTCGGAGAACTGTACTGCAGTCAGTAAAGACCTCGGGGGCTATCACGGAGACTTATCATGGTGCCAGCGGTGGATGGTGGTCACGCGTGAGGAGAAAGTAGGGTTGCTCCAGCTGAGCAGACTTCGAGGTTCGAACGATAAGCGGCAAATAGATGATGAGAAGGTTGAATGATGAAGAGTGGAAGCAGAAGAGGAAGTAGCGAGGTGGGAAGGATACACAATAGTCGTACCGTTGTGGTCATTGGGAGGACTGGCGGAGAAGGGCGAGCCGGATCTCCACCTGGATTAATCTGACGTCAGTTTTTGATATCAAAGCAGCCGCGTGTGCCACATTCGCTTTCTCCGTCCGACATCTGGGCTCCTTTTCCACTTGTCACTGCACGATCACTGTATTTGGGCCAGGAATGAACAACATGAACCCCTCCGGGCCTTCTAGGTCCCCACTGCTTGCTCCTATACCTACTCAATCGACGTTTTTCATACCATCGCCATCCGAACACCACATGTTCCATCCGCATGCGACGTTGAACATTGCTTCAAGAGTGACCTTGCAATCGGCTGGAGTGGGTTTGTTGATCAGTGCGGTACAGAATGCTTTGGAAAAGTGAGTCAATCTTGACAATCCATCGTGTTCGCTCCATGGCGGAAGCCTGTGATCCGACGTGGGTTGCGTAAATCGATACCGTGCTGATAGCAGACATGACCAAGGCGCTTTGGGTATCTTCACTCGGACGGGTGGCACTATAGCATTTTTCGGTTCGTCTGCTTGCTCCTCACAAGATGTCCCAACTGATGAATCAGCTGCTATGGGATTTACCTTCTCTTTCACCCAGGCTGCAGTTTCCAATGCCAGAGAGGTGACTCTGCCTGTGATATATGACGGTCGGGAGGCTGATACGACAGACCGATGATGCTCTGAATGGAGTTGCTGGGGGATGCGCCGCGGGGTTCCTTGCTGGTGTGAGGGGTGCGACATTCCTCAGCTGTATCGATCACAGCTAATTGTAATAGCCAGGTCATTGCCTATGGCTGTGGGATCTTGTGCGGCTCTTGGCGCTGCTATCGGCACCTTTTCAGCTGCAGGAAATGTACGTCCGCCGCTGAGATGGTCCATCCTTACCCCTCTGATCTCGTACGGCTGCTCATAATATGTATACCACCTGTAACAGAGCTGACAATCAGGCCTTGACTGGGACGGACAGATTGTCTATGCCTCGACCTGAAAGGGAAGAGCGACGACTTCAATTTTTCAAACAACCAAAGATCAAGCAGGACGAGGCGACGGCTTGATCTGATCTCCGATCTCCGACTTGATTGATTCACATGATCACATAGCAGGCCCTAGGTGCCATCATATCGTGAGCGATGGGCATGAAATTGTTGAATCTCAAACCCAGACTATCTTGCATACAGGTCTGACGTCTGCCTTAGATCCCCTGACTTCGGGCACGCGATACAAGTGGGGAATTACGAACACGTCCCAGGGCCGTCGGCCGTCGATCCGTCGAGTGCCGACGGAAAGACACTCTGCTGAGCCAATGTGATGAGGACCTCTCTCATCTCTCAACGATCGACGTACACTATTCATGACGCCGACCCCGCAGTGGCCACATTAACCATCGAAGCTATTAAGAGATTGCTTCTTAGCCCACCCGCCCATTTCATTTTACCGATCCCACCAAGCCGCCGTGACCGCCGCGTAACTCAGCACGCCATATGAATGACGAAGTCAGCAACGTAGTCGACAATCCGTACAAACTCGGATCTTCCATCCTTGGAATCGTCACATTGCCATCTTCCATTCCACCTCCACGGTCTCGTCATCCGTGTACCTGGTCTACAACTACTTGACGCCACTGCGGATCACTCAGGTGTACTTTGGGTTCTCTCGACAAGCTTCTCGTACCTGATCAACTGATTCGGCACTTGGTCTGAATGTCACAGGCTGATCGGGGGATCGGACTCGATGGCGGAAGATTCTCTTCAAGAGCGGAACACTCGCAGTATCGAGCTGAAAGTCGACGACTAGGGAAAACGCGTAAAGCTGACAGCAGAGGATGGATTTGGAAAGCTACTATGAACGGCCTTCTGGCTGGCAGAATTTACTGACATGTGTGACACTCAATACGACCTTCGCTTCATTCGGAGGAATAGCTATAGCCAAACTTACGACGTTCTTTCACCAGAAGACGATTTGAAACGCGCTAGTCGACCTTGCCGACTCGGACCCCTCCTTTGTTCTACCGTATGTGCTTTAGCGTTCGCGCTTGGGGCTCTCGAAATTCACGGACATATGTACTGCGGTCAGAGCGCTCCTTGACCACATGTCTCTTCCTCCCACGATCCTGGATATGAGAGGTACGCACGGAAGATTCCTTCCTTTGCCATTCCTCACCTTCGTTTCTACTAACTTGACAGGTCATTGTACTCCATTCATCACACAAGAAGATGATCATTCTCGTCGACTCAGATTCCACACTCCCTTTGACTCCCAATGGGCCCAAAACTGAGTCAGAACTGTAAGTTAAGACCCACTCAATCGTCAAAGAGAAGATCGGACAGCTTCGATCATCATTAACTTACTTGACAAGAGTATGGCCGTGCGCGTTGCAATCCTCCGCGACCTCAATAACCCCGATGGGAACCGTTTCAAGGGGTTGGACCGGGCTATCCGTCCAGGGATGTCTGATCGGCGGTACGTGATCCACGATTGTCGACCTCACTAGAAACTTTTAGACTTTGTTCCCCTCGGACGTCCAATGGCCAATGGCCAATGAGATCACTCAAGGTCCGGATTCTCTTCGCTCAAACGCTTACCTCGTCCCCCATGTCCCTGTATGGCGGACGTGTCGCCGCAATCTAGGCACTCGGCTCCAGGTAGTCTACCTTCCTGCTCCACCGGTCCGCTCACCTGTCTAGCTATAAAATGCTTTCTCTTCATTTGTCCTCTCCACTTTCTTCTTTCTTCTCAACGATATTTTCCCAATATCCCCATCCCGACTAAAACGTTTCGACATCGCGCAGAAAGTAAAGTGGGGCATCTCCATCTTACCAGTGAGCTTTAGTTTACCTTCCTTCTCCTCTTTCTCCTTACCTCTCTTCGCTTCTCTCTTCCCTCTCCTCTCTTCTCTTCTCTCCTCTTCCCACTCTTCTCTTCTCTTCTCTTCGACCTTTGATCCACTCTGTCCCATGTCTTCTTGGACCACCGAAGTACGACGCTGATAGTAGAATATCCTATCAAAAATGACCGCCAACAACTCTCAGCCATTTCCCTCCAGCAGTCCTGCGCCGACCGAATCGTCAAAATCAACGACTTCGTCTTCTCATCCACACTATGCTACTTCAATTTCCTCCTTCATGACTGAAGAGGACTCTCGTCACAACGACATCAACGGCACACGTGCTCTCGGGAAAACCGACTCTGCAGCTACTGTGACCATCACACCGCCGAATCAAAAGAGTGGCTCCCGAGTCGCCTCTTGCTTCGGTCAAGGATGGCACTCAACCATGCTGTCTCCGTCTTCGGTGATCATGGAAGACACTTCTTTCCCTGGACCAATCGACGGTCCTCGCTCCAGATCTCCCAGTACTCCAAACCTCCCTTCCGATGCTCAGAGGGCCGCTGCGTTCAATCCGGCTCCCGGTGCTGATCGACGTCTCCTGAAGCAGCAACAGGCGTTCGTGCGATCTGGCATCATCACTGACACCCCTTCCTGCCGTGGTCCATCCAATCGTCTCGATTCGTTCTCCCCCGTCGAAGGGCGCAGTCTCGCACATTCACCTTCGGATTCTGTGCTTGTGACGGGCTTCCACGCGAAGAACGATGGGTTCGGACAGTATCTGGGGACCAAAGAGAGCCTGGTGGGTCTTGGCTCGATGGGTCAAGGAAGAAACGGTGTGTATGAATCATTCTGGAGTTAGTTGAAGCTTACGCTCCAGTGTACATTCCCCACTTTAACAAAAGCATGACGCAACACCAATTGCACGAGTTCGCTAGGAAATTCGGCACTGTCATGTCGGTCAAAATCAATAATGATCTGGGCCCGTGAGTGTTTTTCGATCGTCTCATGTGCGTCGCTGATCCATGCAGACACGCCTTTGTTCAGTATGTTCGAACGTATGGTACGTGAATGAGCTGCTCACCTGCAGATTCCTCTTCCACGAACACGCTTCTGCTTTCATGAGGTCACTGCTCGCTCTCGGGATCGACTGCGAATTCGGCAGAGTGGGTACATTACAACCTCCTGAGTGACTGAACTCATCTGCAGGAAGACTGGAATACAGAATACAGAGCATTAGAAGATCGTCAGTCATCCAACATGTATATCCAGGGGCTGGCCCCCGATGACACCGATGCCGTGAGTGAACCCTCACTCTTCCCTGTTCTCTCGTTGGACTGACATAGTAGGATGTACGAGAGCTCGTCAAGCCTGCTGTGATTGTCTCCTGCAAACGCCTGACCGACTGTCAGGGCAATCTTCGAGATATTTGCATGGCGAGGTGAGTCAAGCGTCTGGTAATCTGGGCAAAACTGACACTTCAGGGTACAGAGCCGAGAGCAAGCTGATCATGTGATTAGAAAGGTAAGCTTCGGTGCGGGAGACTGACGCTCACGCCAAGCTTGATGGGAAATCTCATCCTCGGACCGGGGCCAAACTGTCGTTGCGGATCGCAGACTCCGAAGTAAGCTAGGTTCCTTTATACAGTCGTTTGAGCTAACCTCAGGCTCAAAAAGAACTGAAAAAGGTCCGTAATCTGCACACGGGCAAGCCAGGATCCAATGAGCATCTTGGCTTCAGTCACTCGAAGTGAGTGTCTTCTGCGCTGATCCTAACACGGCTGACATCCACCAGCTCCTTCGAAGTTCTTCGTGAACCCGCATACGACTTTTACTCTGGCGATATGCAATCCTCACGATCGGACTTGGTACTTCGTCAACAACAATTATTCGCCGAACTCGAGGCGATAAGCGCTGCTCTGTCGAACATTCCCCTCCCCCCCTCGGACTTGCCCCTCACACCTGACACTCCAAGTGCTCCGGCCTATCACCATCGCCATACTTCTTCCAACGCATCATATGAAGTCAGTGGTGGAACATACACCCATCGATTCCCCAACAACCCTTTCACCCCCTGGCCTGCTACGCCCACGGTATCTCGCACAGTCTCGACTTCTTCCATGTCTGGCAACACGGCTCTGGGACATCGTCGCTCCACTGCCACCCTGGCCACCCAATCTCATAACCCTGCTCGGCTCCTGTGGGGCGAGGACCGTTGAACGGACGTCACCACGTTCGGCTGACAAAAGCCAATTGTTGGGGTGTACCCATCATGATATTTCAACCTTGCTGTGCTCATATCTTTTTCCAAACCTCATACCCGTATCCTCTTGTCTACACAAAACAAATTCCCAGTCATACCCATGCGCTGCTCCTCTTTGCTGGATCATCACAGTCATATTCATTCACATCCACTCATGTCTCTCAACTTCACTTGAGGTTATTTTATCTATTCGCATCATGTCGAAACATCACGCGTTCTTCTCTGCGCGGACAGGGAAATTGTTTTATCTTTGTACCGACTTTGATGCAATGCATTTCATGTCTCTTCATGGTCGTGTCGCGTAAGATAGATCTGGGCAAACCTCGAATGTATTGTAAGAGAACGGAGATTAATTCAGGTGGGGGACTGATGCCATGGCTGACCGAAGTAAAGCTGAAGGGTATGTCTAGCAATGTTGAAGCCAAGTAGACTGAGCAGATAACTGATGCGTCAGTGACGGTATTTTAGGTATGTAGATTTGATAGACTTACCCTCCAAAGATGGGCAAAAGTGGGGAGAGCAAGATCTGACTACGGGCCACAAATGGTAAAGCGGCGTAACCGAGATATGTGACGTAGACGTATTGTATTCCGGCGACGAGGAAGAGAGTGCTGCTGGGTCAGTGTTGTCTCCGTCATTCATCGGCCACCATCCATCGTCAATCACCCAACACCCGCGACTTATTGCTGTGACTCTTCTCAGCAAGCCATTCACTCCGTACGATATATATCATGATCCAGATAACTTGCGAATGGAAGATATACCGCCGGACCGTATCTTTAACGATTGAAGGTAGGGAAAGAAGTAAAAAAAGAACAAGAGATGAAACTCAAGAGACAGTAGAGTAGAGTACTCACTTTCCAAAAAACAAACAAACCCAATTATCTCTAACTACCACCCCAACCAGCGGTAACAAAGCCACATAAACAGCGAGAAAAGCTGGAAAAAAGGAATTAACAGCAACGTCAAAAGCGTATGTGAATTCTACTCGATTTTCGTTAGAGTATGAAGCGGCTGGAGATAAAAGAAGTCGGTTGGTGAGTATGTAAAGGATCAGAGCTATGATAAGTGATGAAAGAAGGAAGTCGCCTGTGAATTAGCATTGCTTTTACTTGTGGATTTGTGTATTTTCATCCCACTTCGTTTTGTTCTCAGTTTTAGACATGTTTTCGCTTGGATAAGACATTTCGGTGGATGTTCACCCGAAGTGCACTTTACACCGATTTGACTCGGGTTGGAAATTAAGGATCATGTATTTTCCGTAGATGGCCAAAAGATCCGATTTCAGTTGTTCCACATCACAGACCACTAAGGAATGACAAAATGGAAGGAGATGGGGGAGAAAGACACAAGATGTCGTATATGTTTGTGAGTGAGAAGGTTGATGATAGATGTGGAGGAAGAAACTTACGGAAAACCATTTTGAGAATCACCAACATCGTTTCTATCATAGATCTACGATAAACTAATGACCAAGCTAATCCGACTATTGCCAATGAAGCAGAGATGAGGAGTAACATTGCCGGGCTATGATATCAGCGTTATACTCTTTTGATTACTTAGAACATCTCTCCGTCCACAAGGAGATTCCTCTTATCTTTTAATAATTCTCTCGATCTTCTTCAGGTTCCTATGCTCCCAAATCTATTACATCCGACTCCTTCACAATATCCAAAGCATTCCCTGGTTCTAGCATCACGAGAGAATTGTTGTAGATCGATAGCATGAGTGACTCATATGACCTCATGTTTGGTCCACAAATCATCGATACCACTGACAAGGAGGAACCAGACACTTCGTGAGAGAAGTAGGAAGATAAGTTGTATGAGGTGAAAGTAACAACAACTCACTCGTCCCTTGCCCAGACATTTTTAGTCTGTTTACTATCCATCAGTCCATTTCAATAAGATTAAGATGATAACTCACTGATGATATGTCTGTTTATACACTCTTCTAGGAGCTACAACCAGATAAGTGAGTTGCCAAAAAGCTAATTCGAAGTCCTACTAATCAGTCTGTTGGTTTCCTCCTCAGCTACCACATCAGGAAATTCTGAGCTCAAGACATCTTTGCATTCACCCTGTCCCAAGCTGGTCATCTCTATCATCACGATCTCAAGAGATATGATCAACTCAGATCTGGATCAAGATTACATCTCATAACAGAATCTCAATAGACATCAGGGGGTTTCTTTCCACCGAGTTACCGTCCAGGACTTGATTGCAGTGTAAAACCGCATACAATCTCAATGAGAATATCAATAGTGAGATGAAAAGAGGGACAATCATGAAGGTATGACATGGTATGTTATCAAGGAGAGGTAAATCAGATAAGGAGAAAAGAAAAACTCACCATAGCTTTGAATTTTGTTAATCTCCTCAAAACCAAAGGTAAACTTCTATCTGATCTAGGGACATCAAATTCTGTTTCTAGATATCTCCCAGAGTTCGAAGATGGTCCTGGTCCTGAGAGAGGTAAGAGGGAAGACATGGTTTTAGGTCTGAGGCGGATGGAAGACAGTTTGAAGGATGGGTTCGGTCCGGGGGAGGATTAGTTGGGAAGATCGTTGAGATCGTTGTTTGGTGAGTGAGTGTAGGAATTCAGTCCCGATATTCAATGTAGAATAAATTGGCGAGATGGAAAGACAGCTTATAGTGTTCTAATTGAGGAATAAAGTAGATGACCTTTGAGTGAAGGAGGATATGATTGCGAGTCATAAGAAATATCAATGTGGAATGTGAGAGAAGTAGTTTGTCACTTTTATAAGTACCCTTTGTGGTTGTGGCAGTGGCATCGTAATGGGATTGCTGGTATCTGCCCTGGTCGGCATATTGCTTGCCTGTCGCCTGTACTGAATGTGCAAACCCACAATGTATAGTGGAGAATGAAGATGCATTCATGATCATATACTCATTTCTGCCATATCGTTTATATGTATCTATCGTGTGCGTCGTTTCTGAGCTATACCTTGCCCTTCCGTCTTGATTTTAACCACTTCCTCACTTTCGCCCATGAATACCAAACACTTTTACTCAATCCAGCGGTGAAAAGACCTTTTATAGATTGAGTCAAAGCTGGTCTTCGAACTATATGTCGTAGTTCTACTTATCAGCTTGAAGCCTTAGGAACAAGAAAGCTGGATGACACACCATTTTGCACCACCGCTTTATACCTCGGATCTTGAACTACTTGTTTCCAAAACTCACCATTTTCTGCAGATGTCACGTCAGAGATAGTCGAGATTGGGAACTGTCCTTGACGAAGGGACGGAGAGGAAAAGCGTAATGATTGTCTACCCTCGGAGGAGATGAGGGATCCGACTATGGTCGGTCGGAACTGTCGAGCTACCTTGGATCGGAGATTGGCGGGTAGGGAAGAGAGTAACGAGATGTAGTGTTCGGTAGAGTCAGGTTGCTATTGCTCAGCGCTGAAGTTGTTTTTTCGAGCTCTTATAACTCGGAAGTTCTTATCATGAGCAGCGTAGCTCGGACGAGGAACAAAAAGTTTCTGAATGCAAGGGGTATATGGTTTGAGTGACAGGAATCGCAACCGCACTCACCACCAATCCTTCCTCGCCCATCCCTCTCCAGCCCTTGTACGACTTCTCATTCTCCCACTCAAGCGACATCTTGGCCAAATGTCTCCCATACAGCTTTCTGAACCCATCCAGCACCCCTTCTCCACGGACGATATTCTTAACTTTCTCCGGATTTTCAGCTCCGGGCACAGACATCCTCGGATCACCAGAGTACGACAGCCCGGCTATTTGCTCCCATAGAGCGAGCTCGGAGAACGTGGGTCCTAGTCCCAACAAGGCAACACTCGCGGCTGAACGAAGGTTAGTCCGGAGAGCCGACTCGAGAGTTGGTGTAGATACAAGAGACAAAACCTGTGAGTGAGAACAGAACGGACGTATGGTAAATGTGCTCACGGGTTTATGCAGCCGACCGGCAACGTACAGGGTGGTCCATTCTTCTAGATCTCTTTTCAATGCAGAAGTTGATATAACACCATATTTGATGTTCTGACATCAGCTCTTGTTTACCATCAGAAAGAAGTACGTCCTTCCAACGTATACCCAAGCATTGAGAGATGAGGAAATGCGTGACACGATGAGAAACACTTACGACACCAGCCACAGTGACCATAGTGACATACCAGACCTCGGCTCCTAATCTCTCCTGTATAGCTGCTACCCATCTTGGTCCCATCCATCGGGCGTAGGCAGGATAATGAGAAGGGTTTTGACGCATGTTTATTTGATGAAAACGATATGGTTCTGGTGTGGATATCAATAAATCTGTTAATGGTGGCTGATGTATCAGCGACTTCTAATGAATAGCGAGGGTGTGGTACTCACTTCGTCTGAAGGAGACCGATTGGCCTGACGGATGACACCGGAACCATAAGCCACTGCCCAGTCGATAGGAGCTTCGAACGAGTCTATGACGGGTTTCAGGCGGTAATACGAGTTGTGTGCCTCTTCTGTGGTCGCCGAGGATGAGGAATTAGGACTCTTTGTGATATCGGATGAAGTAGACGAGTTCTTAGTGTGAGAGAGGGGCACAGTCGAGTGTAGTCTGACACATAGGGCCAGAGGGCGAGCGGTGGAATGCCACCATGTCGACGGCCCGGGACCGACAGGGAGGGGAGAGCGGGTAGGTAGCGACAACCTCAGCGAGGGAGATACGATCGATTTAGGGACTCTCCCAGACACAAGATGCCTGGCCATTTTACTATCCTAGATCATCAGCTGTCAGCATGCGACTAGCAGCAGAGATACACTCACCAGCCTAGACATGGTCAAGAGGAATTCTCAAGCGTTTTGAACCTAGCGAGTTCTGATAGCTCTTTCTTCACTCGGACATTTACATCTGCTGTGCCAGAGATCCAGAACGAGGGTTGAGGGACTGAGCACTGGAGAAACTGGGCTGGTGTGGGCGAGGATGAACACCCAGACTGCAGAGTGACGGTCGTGTGCCAACATTTCTCATAGAGGCCCGCCCGATCACCGGGGTCTATAGCTTTTTCGATCCCCCCGATTTGCACGCACGAAATGTCCTCTTCAATGCCTGGGTGCGTTTTGACGCAGAACTTTTGGCTTTCCTAGTACTGAGTGGTTCAATTCAGCTACACCATAAAATGCCCAGATCCCCTACATACTCCAGGTCGAGAACACATTCGCCAGTCGATGAGCGTAGTCCTTCCAGAGGGGAGAGCGTGAGTGACTCTTCTCTTCGGTGCGCTGACCCTTACTCGCGTTTTAGCACACCGTCTATTTGGGGAGGGAAGTGGACATAAGTAGTGGAGCAATCTGTGTCGTGAAGTGGTCACGTTTGCTAACTTTCACAGACATGCCCGTTCCTCATACGTATCTTTGTGACCAAAGGAAGACATACTCCGCTGGTGGATTTTGATGAAGGCAAGTTTCCACTGCGGGATGAATTTCCTGTGTACGGTTGGTGAGTGATTCTACCCTGCCCACTCTTCTTCTCCGTGTCTGACTCTCCCTCTTGTAGCCTTGTTTCACACGGAAGGCTATGCCGCTATCATTTCAACACCTGCTGATCGATGTAGGAAACACTCCACACCCACTTCCCTGATCCAAACCCTCCTTCCCTGTTTCCCCCCTCTCTATCGCTCCCCTCTAGCACGGTACGCTTTCAGACATGTTTATGTGGATGCATCTCAACGGGGTTTATATCGATCGCGCGACTTGGTAGCATTCACCGGACGGGATCTCATGACTTCCCTCGACCTACCAAAATCCGGAAAAATGGATATGGAATTAGACGAAGCTCCTCGTGGTGGTAAAGTGGAAGAGAAGACTTTGGAAGATTACGGATTTATCACCGGAGATCTTCTTTCTGTCTTTCTTTTCGTCCCTGAACCGAAAGTACCCGTTGGACAGAGGTTCGCCCCGGGTACAGGACCGAATGTTCCCTCTGTCGGATGGGGAGAGAGGGATAAGAATGGATCGTGGACCAAAGGTGTACCTTCACTTAGTATCAGAGGAAGAGGTAAGGATTTGGTGCCGGAGACTATACCTCAAGGGAATTGGCGTGGAGGGGCGCCAGGGTCAGGTGGGGAGAGAAATGGACATAGACGTTCGGAAGTCAAGGGGAGGAGTAGAAGTAGAAGTCCAACTCGGGAAGAAAGAAGAGAGAGCTGGAGTAGACGATGATGTAGGGTCTGATACTGGTTCACAGCTATAGCTACATGCCATCTTATTGCCAGTGCCTAGGCATATTGTGTTCACCAGTACTTACGAGCAATCATAGCACCAGAACTGGTTGACAGATATGCCACACTTGCGGAAAATTCTCGGCCGAGGGGTGGGATCACTTAACCGAAGCCATCCACCCATCCCCACCCACCCTCATTCATCTCTGCTTCACTACCCTCTCATCCCCCCTTCTTGCTTTTGAAAACTTGCTTCTCGTGAGGACGAACTGTCTCCCGGTATTGCTGACTGCTTCAAGGCATCAGGTCGAACATATACCAACTCTTCAGCCGTCATCTCATCCCCTCAATACTCGAAAACCTCCACATTCCTTCACGCGTTCCTGACGACGACGACGCCGTTTTGCCCATTCTCCCCCCATCAATTCTTATTGGTCATTTGAGATTGGAACAGCCCTTGCATCATGTCGTGGAAGTTAGGCAAGAGTGAGTACCCCGATGCTCCTTCTTCCATTCAATCATGTTTTGCCAGAATGCAAGGTCGTCTGCAACAATAATACAACGTGCTGACCAAGCTTTTTCGTTAACCCCTTCATCTTTGTCACTCGCCTGTCTTCCTTCCTCGAACAGAGATCAAAGAATCTTCCAATTTCCTCTCCTCGAAATCCTCTTCCATTGGTGTCCCAGACACTTCGAGATCTACCACACCTACACCTAGTAACCCGAACCCCGATGCACCGGCCAATCCCCCTGTTGCGAGAAGCGGAATGCTCAAGATTCGTGTGACCGCCGGCAAAGGTCTTAACTTACCACAAGGAGGTAAGTTATCTCACCCTTTCCTTTCAACTTTGATTGACTGACAAAAAGTCAATGTTCCCGCACCGGTACAAGCCGCTCTCAACGCCCATCCCCAGCCTTCCATATCTTCCTCTCTATCTTCCTCCCCCAGGGTCCTGACTCATCCATCAAAAGCCAATCGTGATTCCCTTCAACGCAAACAGCTCTGGTGGTTGCCTTATGTGGTTCTCGAATTCGACAAGAATGAAGTGCTCGTTGATGCTCTGGGAGGTGATCTGAGCGCACCGGTATGGATGTACAGTGCGACATTTGATGTGTCACGTATCAGTGAGATAAGTATCACGGCGTATTTGAGGACTACCCAACCGAGTTCCACTGTCCATGCGGAGGATGGCGAGTCTACGGGAGGGAAGGAAGGTGAAGATATGGGAAATTCGGATTTGTGCTTGGGAGGGATTCGCTTTACGCCTGACCTAGAGACAGGGGTGAGAACTTTCTTTTTCATGAGACCTGACTCCTTTTTCCCCCTCGGTCAAAGATAACCTTCGAGGCTTGACCCCTGTTGAGATCTTTGGCTGATCGACAGCGCTTGACCGACGAATGGGTTCCATTGCAGAGTGGATCCGGCTTGATTCACATACAAGTGTCGTTCAAACCGGCTCATGTGAGTATTCCTGATATATGAGTACCGGGGGCTGCTAATGTACAAGACTCCCCTTACGATCGACTCATTCGAGCTTCTGAAAGTCGTAGGAAAAGGATCATTCGGCAAAGTCATGCAGGTCCGAAAACGAGACACACTACGAATCTACGCTCTCAAGACTATCCGCAAAGCTCATATTGTATCTCGATCCGAAGTAACCCATACTTTGGCTGAGAGGACGGTTCTTGCCCAAGTCAACTGTCCTTTCATCGTCCCCCTCAAGTTTTCTTTCCAAACCAAGGAGAAGCTTTACCTCGTATTGGCCTTCATCAATGGTGGAGAGCTGTTTCATCACCTGCAACGAGAGGGCAAGTTCAACGAGACGCGTTCTCGATACTACGCTGCGGAGCTGCTCGTAGCTTTGGAACATCTGCATGGATTCAATGTAGTCTATAGGTGAGTCGATTACTTACGCCGTGTGCAAGGTATGACTGACTGATTTTAGGGATTTGAAACCTGAAAATATATTGCTGGACTACACTGGACACATCGCCCTGTGCGATTTCGGACTGTGCAAGTTGAACATGACGGAAAATGACACTACGAACAGTGAGTCTTTCGTACAGACGATGAAATCTTGCTGATGACAGCTTTTTGTGGTACACCAGAATAGTGAGTAAAGAGTTTGTGTGTAGATTGGGAGCTGACAGGTAGCCTTGCGCCCGAGTTGCTGTCGGGTCATGGATATACCAAATGTGTTGATTGGTGGACCCTCGGTGTATTGCTTTATGAGATGGTATGTTAGAAAAGCTCTCTCTTCTCACTCGTCTCCTCTCGCGCTATGGCTTGAGCTTTGACGTCAGCTCGAAAATGGGTACAGTGCTCATCTTACAGATGACCGGTCTACCTCCGTTCTACGACGAAAACACGAACGAAATGTATCGTAAAATTCTATCCGACCCTTTGCGTTTCCCCGAGGAATTCGGATCGGAAGCTAGGTCTCTTCTTACTCAGTTGCTCAACAGAGATCCGGCGAAGCGATTGGGCGTGAATGGAGCTCAGGAGATCAAGAACCATCCTTTTTTTGCCAGACACATTGATTTCAAGAAATTGTGGGCGAAAAAGATCCAACCTCCTTTCAAACCTGCTGTGGTGAGTCATTTGTTTCTGCATCATACCCCACCCTGTCCATTGTCATTTCTGTCACTGGCCCGCAACTGTGCGACGCTACTGTGATCGTGAATCGTTGTGCTGGACCTTGAGTGTCATGACAGGAGGATTCGAGCTGATTTTAGGCATCTGCAATCGACACTAGCAACTTTGACGAAGAGTTTACTTCTGAAGTTCCTCTCGATAGTGTGGTGGATGATTCTCACCTGTCTCAAACGGTGCAACAGCAATTGTGCGTTATTCATCCGGCATGAAGTGTGTGAAATCGCTAATGATACAGTGCTGGGTTTTCTTGGAGCGTATCACCACTTGGTGAAAGTGTAGGAAGGTATCAGTAGATTGTACATGTATGGTTTTTGATGTTTAAGATTGCACGAAATGTATATGATTGTGTGCATGTCGTGACCATCGTGGAACATCCGTCCATTGATCACCACTAGTAAACTGATTTAATGACACTTTCGAAAAGATTCAACTTGTTCCAGAATGACGTCAAAACATTTCTCTCTAACTTTCTTCGCTTTTCCTCCTAGTTTGCATAACTTATATCATTCCAGCCTCCACAACTCCCTCCACTGCAGCTCGCTCTCCACCATGATGCGTCGTTCAAGTCTGACAAAATCGATCCATCCTATCAAACACAATCTCTACATTCCCACTCGGTTCATCCAAGTCCGACCAACATCTCAACCCTCCAATCCTGGATCTTCTCTTCTAAGCCTATCTGAACCTCGAGTCTCCCCTAAAGAAATTCGACGATCGTACTTTCCTCCCTCTCCCTCTTTCAGCGTATCACCCTCTACTTATTCATCTCTGCGATCATATACCATCCAATCCAGATTCAAATCCATATCTACGTCGTCTCGCGATAATTATTCAACATCCATTCCGTCCCGCTTCGGACGTTCAACATCCACTACGGCTTGTTCTAGAAATCTCACAACCACTTCGGCTTACTCTAGAAGTCTCACAACTACCTCTTCCCGTCCTCTAACCAGACATTTCTCCGACCATACGGAATTCGATCCATCCAGAAATAAAAGAAAAACAGAAGTGAATAATAATGATAAAGAAGATACAAAAGGAAACAAAGATCCTAATCATCCTTATTTACATTATCATCCTCTACCCTTTTCGAACCCTACTAAAATAGCATTAACGTTTTTACCTTTTCCACCCAGAAACGAGAAGAGTATATTGGGTTGGATACCCGTATTGAACGATACGAATTTAGGTGATTTTAAAGAGAATCCAGATTTTTTGTGAGTATCTCGCTTTCCTCGACCAAATTACCATTAGTTTTCTTTCCAAGACCTTCAGAGGGTCTTCTCTCTTCTTATCTTCGCTTTTTCACATTGCTATCCCATCGACTTCTACCTTCCCTATTCGTGTCTCCTTCACTTACTTTCTAAAGTGACATCTTACATCCTTCGTCTCCCCGTGCGATGGTCTGAGGGAGAGAATGTCAAATATATAGATATCGAGACATGTCAACTTGACAATCTAGCAGCAAGAGAGAGATCAGTAATAGTGACTGTGAAATTGATGATGTATAGGAAAACTCTCCATTCATCAATACAATCAGCATTGAAAGAATCAAAAGCTCCAGAGGTGGAATATGAAGCTTCTATCCGACCTGGAGATGGGTATATACATATCACCGGTTAGTCCATACTAATCACTTTCTGTTATTTCTCATATATTACGAATTGTCTCCATAAATTCTGGTCTCTACATCGTCCCTTGCTGCATCTTTAAAACACATTTTGCTACTTTAATCTTCCTGGTCAGGAAGACGACGTGGGGAGTAGGGAAGCGTGGTGATGAAGTTCGAAAAACGGTCACCAAGGATCGTCTAGTTTGAGATCAGGAAGCTAGTGAGTCAAAGTTGGATCAGTAAGGAATGGTAGGTTGAAGTGGAAATTGTGACAGAATGAAAGTAGGAAAGTTGGAAAGTTGGCAAAGGGTTTTGTGCAAAGAGTGAACGGTGAAGTTCAGAAGTGATAGTCAAGAGTTGAGATTCGATATTGACGTTAGACCAAAGAGCGACTCCTCCAGCAGGAAGAATAGGAGATATAGAAGATATCATAGCGACTATTTTCGTAAAAGATGGAAAGGTTATTCCTTCTCTTTTTCACTTATGTTATCTTTCCACTTTCACTTAGAAACTCATTTCGAAGAAAACCTTTTTCAAGGTATCCCGACTTCATTTTCTTTTTTCCGCCGGTGGTCGTAGAAGAAGGATTTGTATCGAGCAAAAACTGATACTGATACATAGATCGTACCATCAACATACACACCCATGCCCACATATAGATTAATTACCTCTAATGGTCCTCTTGTCTTACCTCCCGGACTGGCAGAACATCTTATTGAGGTACTTCGATCTATAGAAGATCAATCTTCGTAGTCCGCGTTAAATCATCATGAACAAAGATACAAGTAGACGATTTAACATTTATGGTATTTATCGGGTGGTGATGGAATGGTTAGAGATTGTTACCCAATTGACAATTATGCATCAAGTCATTCATTGTACCATTTGTCATCCTCGGAAAGAAGAAAATTACATCGAGTATGTTCTAGGAGATGATAACATTTTTTCGATGGAACCATCGAGGTGATCCAGGTGCTATTTCTTCATCTCCCATACGATACTCTTATTTGATGTCTGATCCACTTGTAGATCCAGCTACAACCCGGGGGACCGAGAGAGACGACATTCACTTCGGTAGGATGTATGGTGATATTTTGACGTAAAACATTTGTGTCGTCCCATTTGAGCTGGTTAGAACAAAGACGAGTGGAGAAATGGTAGTTGCGATGTGCGTGAAGATCATCATCAAGAAAAGTACAGGTCGTGGGGAAAACGTAATAATTCGAGGGGAAAGAATGGGCCAAGTCGTCTCAACGATAAGAGATTTAGGATGTAGATCAATGTTGAGGTGATGTTGATCAAACCAACGTCAATTGACTACCGATGTAAAGGTAAATCCGGTTGAAGAGTAAAACTCTTTCCCAACGTAGCTACCTTTACTTGATCTTCACTCGCTCTTCTTCTTCTTTCCTGCATTTCCCTATCCAATTCCCTCAATTCCGGACCTAAAGAAGGAACAGGTTTTCTTCTTGTACTTGAAGTTCTAACCATTGGAACTCCTACTTTTCCTTCTCCAACACCAGTCGAAGGTCTTCTAACATCTTGTCTACCTCTCAAAACTTCCATACCTTTCAATCCCTCATTTCTCCCATGTACGACGGGAGGTCCAGAAGAACGTCTTCGATCGAGTTGTGGATCTAATGATGGTGAACCGAATGGATCACGTAATCTAGGTGTTGAAGGTGCAGTAGCGAATGGATCTCCTATTCTTTGTCCTATTCCCATACCTAATTCTGATCCTAAACTTGAACCTTCACCTCTTCCTGATCCTGATCCTGAGTCAAATACCGGTCCAGAACCAGATCTAGAATTCCTACCCATAGAATCAGGTTGATTATGATCATTTTGAACATGAGAAGGACCGAGTTGTGAAAGAACAGCTTCGGTAGGTGGTGAATTAGATAATGATCCTTCTGATTCTTCTAATTCGCCGATACTTTTTCGAGAAGAATATGAATGTTCAGAATCACTTTTCATATCTCCTAATGCTATTGGTTGCGACCCGGATAAACGTGGAGGAGATTTATTTGATCTACCCATACCTAAATTCGTTGGGGGTACCCTAACTTGAGATTCACTCATGGTTCTAAAAGGTTCGATGAAATCTCCTTGTGATTTCCTACGGTTTTGACGACGACGGCGTATGAAGAAACATCCTAATAGACTCAAAGCGAGTAGACCGAGTATGACACCGGCTACTATACCTCCTATTGCTCCTCCTGACAAACCTTTCGATTCGGATTGAGAAGCAGCACCGATTGGGACGGTGGCGATGCTGCTCGTTGTATGAGAGATGGTGGGGTCGGAACTGATAGTTGAATCGGGACTGGTGTTTGGAGTAGTAGCTGTGAGAAGACATGAAGTAGAACCATTATTGATAACGCTGAAAATACCGGTTTTCCCAATCGTCCCAACTGAATCATTCACGTATCCTGCAATGTACCATCTACCAGCTTCGACAGGAAGAGCTTCAAAAGACCATGCGACATTAGCTGGACCGATATGAAGAGTTTTGTTCGTGTTGCCGATGACCGAAGCTCGGTTGACTATTTTGGCCAATGCTGCTGTGGTGGTAGCAGAGGCAGAACGGGATGAAGTTGTACTGGTACCAGGGCTGGAGCTGGAAGTGCTGGAAGTAGTAGATGTGATAGTTGAAGATGGAGCAGGAGGGATGGATTGATCGATTCCCACGTTAATAGCTCGAAGCGTGATCTGATACTTTGAAGCATCTTCATTATTTAAACTCCAAGTAAATCTGTCATGTCAGTCCCATCATCCGCCTCCAATCTCTCGTCCAGTTTGAAAAACTCACTTGCCAGGACTACACACTCCAAGAGTGGGTGCAGAGAAAACGACCAGGTTTGGGGTCCCGCTAGCTGAAGGTGTGGCTGTGACAGATGATGATTGTGCTAGAAGAAGGGGGAGATAGGGAAGGATGAACAATATCGACTGAAGGCCGAATAACCACATGATTATCTGAATCTCACTTGACCAGAAGGATAAGATAGAGGGTGGGGGATATGTCGTTGTGAGACCGGAGTGTCAAAAGTGTGACGATTTAAAGACAAAGGATGATTATCTTAGCGATACTGCTTCGTCAGTGATCAGTGAGTCATCGAGACCGACAAGCCGACGTACGACCAACGAAGGTGATGAAGACAAAGCTCACCTTATTGCTTAGATTTCAAGAGCAGGTGGTGAAGAATCTCAACGTCATTCGACGTGGATAACGCGTGAAGGAAGATTCGTGTGTGACCAGAGGAGAGATAAGAGGAAGAGATTTAGCGCGTGTGAGTTGATGAAGGATGATGATACCAAGAGGAGGAGTCGAAGATTGATGTGAAAAAAGGATGGTCGTGTATATTATTCTTTCCTTTCCTTCCTTCCTTCCCTACGTAAGTTTAAACTACGACGTGGGTCCCCAACCCCGAGATGACCGAATGGGAGCAAGTTTATATAAATTGATACTCGCGATCACTTTAACGTTTCATGATTTGAGACCGAATAGACGAATTTGTCGACGATGACAATACCGTTTGTACAGAGCTTGAGAGATCAGAGATGAACATGTGTCAAAAGTGACAACGGCAACAAGGGGTCAATTGTCAACTTTTGGAAGTAAAACTCTTCCCGATTGCACTGCATGCCGCGGCGAGCCATGTCCTTGTTCCCGTCCCCAGGCACGACGCGTGCGAAAAGGTGACACCCCCAATTATTCGTGTGTTCAGATTGAGGGCGAGGAGTCTTTGAACAACGACCCACATACATACACTCAGAGGCTCAAGAGCATACAGTTCACTATCCAAGGTAGTAGTTTCTCTAAATGTTACTTTGGTGTAGTCAGTCTTCGTTCGATCGTTCACCCTTGAAGATTTCAAGGAGGACATCATACTCGTATCTGGTGCCACTCGGAATGGCGCCGCGATCGCCGCGCGCTGCGGCTCCAGAGTTTCAGGAGAGCCCCAAATTCCCAGAAGAATGAATGAGTTGTATTGAAAAGACCCCTCTGTCAACAGTTGAGTATCCGCTGGCCGCTGGGTCATCCGCAGACTATTAGAGGCCTCCATCGTCCCTCCGACATCTGAAACCGGTACTTTATCACGAATTCGGACAAGTCTCCATGACATTGGGACAAGGCACGGTCACTCCAAGAACTCTTGACGTGAACACAAACTTGATAAAGGTCTTTACCATAGAATCTTTGATTGAGCAAGGGAGTGACTCTACGTACGGTAACTATCCCCTTTTACTACTCTGTCTTCAGATTTTGACTTCAAGGTCAAAAGGAAGTCTCTCTCACGCTACTGATGGTAGATCTTCTAACGGACGTCCTTTTCCTTTTCCCTCCTCCCTGTTCCCTTCACCCTCTCTCTTACCCCTTGATTCCTTTACCTCACTCACTTCTACCAACTCCGCCATTCCTCCCCTCTCCTCTATGCCATCCTGTCATTGAGTCCGAGCACTCTCGGCGTTCCTTCTCACTTAGAATTCATCTTTCATGAGATGTTTCAAGGTCCGCCCTTTGTCTGTCTTACCATAAACACCCGGATAGATCCACGAGCCCACGAGCTGATGCAAGCAGTGATACTAGGAAAGATGAACGTCTAATCCTTTGTGTCACACACCTCTGGTTCCCTTCATCATGGACGCGAAGGGGATCATCAAATCCTTTCTACACCTCCTGACCGTGTCAAAGTGTGGTACCCAACGCGTCTTACAGTGCTCGAGTTACTCGTGCTTTTTAGCTTTCATCCTCTACTCACAATCCCTTCCTCTCTCCCTTCCCGCTATCCCGCTCGGTCTTTCTACGCTTTTGTTAACAAATCAAATACCTTCAGTGGTCGATCTTCCATTCTTAATCTTCTGATCTCAAACCAAACACTCTTCGAATATCCGGACCATTGGAACAAAAGAGACTTTCACTGATGCCGAACTCAAATGAGAATCGTAAACTACTTCACCGTCGTCGACCATCTCGAGATTCCCCACGTCGACCTATCACCCCTTTCACCCCTTCCATTTCTAGGACGATAGATCTTCCCGAAACTCCCGTGTCTGAAGAAAAGACAATCCCTCAATTGAAATTCGTACTCGTCGACCCACTCGCAGCTTCACCATGGTCCATCACTCGAGGAAATCAACTTCTCTCACCTCGTCCTCCTCCGTCTCCCCCTACCACACCCATCTCAGGACCATTGTCGACCCTCACTTCCACCCCGTTCTCAGCAGTACTTCCCGCAACACCTTTGACAACAACTGAAACGCCTGGTACCCGACTGTCTGGCCGCTCGGACATCTTTCAACCTTCTTGGACGACACCGAGACCGGCACCTTCTCCCCCGCAAGTCAGTGCTAGTAGGGGCACATCGGATATGTGTCCGTTAACCGTGGGTGGCTGGGGGAGAGAATGGGAAACGGTATTCCTAGATCGACTTCATAATACTTCAAGCTCCTCTTCCTCCTCTGGTCAGCCGTCAGCCTCTGCGCCACCGACTTTCTCATCAGGTGTAATTAGAGATGTCTTTTCAGCAGGGGAAGATGAAGGTGTTCTCGCTTCTTTTCCTATGCCACCGAATAGAGGAACATTAGTACCATCGACTAAGGGCCCATTGACACCACCCGCTTCACCCGAATCTCCAGATGGAGCCGCTCCATCACGACCATATAGAAGACCCACGGTACCGCCACCTTCACCTTCGCCTCACACTACTTCCTCCTATGCCGCCTTATACAAGTCCCCTCCGTCCTCTTCTCCATACCATCACTCTTCTCATGATTTCTCCCGCAATTCTCCCTCTCCTTCTCACAACTCATTGGCGTCTTCCTCAAGCCATGACAACATCAGATCACGTATAAGTTCACCAACCTGGGATCTAACGTGTAATTACGAAGACTCGGGGGATCAACGAATCAGCTGTGTGGATATGGAGGTCGATGATGATGAAGAGAGGGAAGAGGTGGAACATTTAGAAAAGAGCGTATGGCAATGGAATTCCGACTCGGACGAAGATGATTCGGATGATGATAGTCGAACTATCACAGCTTCTACACCTGCGAGTGAGATGAGTAGATGGAGTGGGTGTTTTGAGGTGGGTCGACTGTTCTGCTTACTTACTTTCTCGACCCCTTCTCTCTGCATGTCCGTCTTTGGACCAGGTCTTGTACACTACACCTTTCGGCTATGAATCTTCTCTGAGACAGCTTGCAACATGCCTCTTTCACTCCTACAGAAAGTCAGAAGATAATTTCTTGTGTTGGACGAAGTGAAAAATGTGCCTCGGAAGAGAGGTCGAACAAAGAAATAGTGCTGATCTCAAGGCCCAACAAGCAACGCCGATGAAGATCGAAGGACCAAGTGCGGCTGATCTGATACGTGATGCTTATTTGGTGAGTGTCCGTCGTCTTCCTCTGATACGATATTGACAAACAGAAACAAAGCTTCAGGATCATGTGAACATCTTGACATTGTTTGTACTGTATATCACTAGTATTGTATATACACAAAGCTTGTATTAGCATTTCATCATCATCTTGGGAATCTGATTTCATCCCCTGGAGGGTGAATTTACATTTTGTACAACATGCATACCTCAATTGACTTTCTGTATGCGACATGCCCAATGCAACGTTTCCCAATGTACTAATTCTTGGCAATATGCTTTTCACCCATTTTTAATCGTATGAAATTCCCTCTTCTCAAGTCATCTTCATCTCAACTCCATGTCTGTCTCCGTCTTCGTCGAACTTGAAAGACTTGAAGAGGATTCGTAAAGGATCAATGAACAGAAGTCAATCCAAAGGTCTATCCCACCATCTCAATCGCCAAGCGAGATTATTCAAAAACCATCCGCTCAATCCCCAAATTTCCAAATCGTCATTCTGAGGAGTCAGATCTCCTATTTGAATCTTGTAATATGGACGATGGACATTCAAACGGAAATGATGTATTGTATGTCTGTTTGGGTCCGATATTGTGGATAAGGGTATACAAAGGATTTGAGATACTTCCGATGGAGAAGGATGTAAGTTGAGAGGATGAGATATTGGGATTTCGAGATTGGGTGTAGGGGTATGAGAATGGATGAATCCCTAAATATTATGAGCTCCCTGATTATTGTCGACATGACAACAGGGATCTTTGATACTAGTGAAAAAAGGGATGTGGTGCGAGACATGATCATGTCCATTGAACGTCATGTTCTTCATGATGTGTATCATGTGTGATACAGTACGAGTATCGTCTAAAACACACACTCAAGCAAGAAATGTCAGAAGAGTAGACGGGAAGAAAGATAGAAGAAATGAGTATGATGATTGGGTGATAAGTATGAAATCAATTCGGTAAATAGGGACCAAGATGAAAAAGTCATGAAATGTAAACTGAAAGAAATACTACTCACGATAATGGGCCAAACACGAGTTTTATTTCCTAAACTATATTCTGGTCCCATGGAACCCAAAATCTCAACATTGGAAGGAGATAATGATAATTCTTCTTCAGCTTCACGAAGAGCTGTGGAGATTAATGATGAGTCGGTCTTAAATTAGCTCTTTGTATCTCGAAAGAAGGGGGATACTGACAGGATCGGATTTCCCACCTGGAAAGCTGGACGTCAGTGGAGGGGACTCATAAGTCAATTTGGACTGAGAGTCAGGTCATGTACGATGCCGTGACATTAGCCAACTGAACTGTACTGAAATTGGGGAGGGGGCAGATAGTGGATTGTAGATATATGAATAATATAACTGGAGATGAGTCTAGGAAATTGTATCTGAAGACTATCGGACAAGGGTAAAGCAATTTAAACGAAGTTTCAAAGAAAGGAGAGAAGTATAGTTTGGTTCAGAGAGGCAAATCAGGTGCAAGACAAAGAGGTTAGGCCAAGGGGAGAGAAATGAGGGAAAGGGTACTTATAGACACTTCGAGCGAGGATAGCGTATATAGTGATAAAGATTGAGGATATAAAAAACCGGATGAAGACAAACCTACCTCACCTCACTTCACCAGCATGAGACCTCATACCACTCGACCTGACTTCAAAAAGAATATGAGGCCGGTTATCGACGTTCATGAGCGGTATCAACACCGCCGCTTCTATTGGTTCTCCATGAGGGTTGCGAGCTGTATGAGGTGGTAGAACGAACCCTTCTGTCGGTGCGGGAAGCAGGAGAGAACGTATTCGAGACAACTCTATCCGGGTGAATGGTGCTTGAGATAGAATAATTGAAGATGTGTAGAAGTTTCTGTTCATGGGCCTCATCAATCGAAAGATATGGCGGAGGGTGAACATCTTGTATAAATGACTACTGCTCGTACAATCTTTCTGTTGCATGCATGGTTCCTTGGGCGGACTCTTCTATGTCATTCGAGTTGAGTAAGTCGACAATTGAGAGTTAATCGGTATTCAGTATGACAAGGATGTAAAGGAATGTATATATGTAATAGCTTAGGAGTGAGTTGGATGGACAGAAAACCAAGAAGGATACAGTGTACGGGAAGTCCCAGGTCGGATCTTCCCCTCCGGCACCTCCCTTTCCCAACCTCCATTTCTCGAAAATTGCTGATTACACACCTCACAGGCTACTTAGAGCTCTGAAAACACCTGTTGCAAGTAGAGAAAGTCTGTAGGCGTCATGTGGGTGAATTTCATGCATGCAGCTGCCATGGCTGGTTCTCAAAACAACATTAGGTTGTTTTTTTCCGTGAATTGAAGAGAAATTCAAAATTTATGACTCAAACCTAGTCCCATCTATGCATTGGAAACCTGCATGATATACAGGAATCTCTCCTGCTTCATCCACAAAAGAGATCTCTTTCATATCTGAAGAAATGGTGGAGATAGGGGGAGAAGAAGAAAGGCCTCAGATGCGGCGGCTATGGCGGCTCAACTCGTGTAAGACGGTCCCGAAAACGTCTCCAATGTAGAGAATCAATTGAAGAGAAAGAGAATGCATACTGTCAATCTATCTACCTATTTATCATACTGACATCTATCCTGCTGAATCATCTACTTAACAATTAATGAATAAGCAGATGAGTCATCCATCTAAACGCTTACGAGTCGTGTACAGTAAGTATCACAAGTCGTGTAAGACGCGATCAGTACCGAAAACGTCTCCAATATTAATGTGGAAAGTCAATTGAAGAGAAAGAAAGAGATGCATTCTACCATTCTAGCTAGCTATTTATCTCTCTGATAATCTATCCTGCTGATTCTTCTGCTTAGCAAGGCACTGAGAAGCCATGAATCAGCTATCTACTAAGCTTACGAGTTGTCTCCTCTCCACCTCTCCACACATACGGACTATCTCGCGCAATTGGAATTGGAAAGACAAATGAGGGATAAGAGGATGCATAATGGAAGTAGAGCAGTCTATCCAACCTCGTTTCAGATCTAGGTAGACAGGAGAACTGAGAAGAGGTGAGTGGAAGGAATGCGACCAGCAACGACATACTTAGTGATCCCTTCCGTGATCCGTGAATGTAGATATACCCTTCTTAAGCAGCAAGCAGCACACTTTCAGAAGCGTGCCAGGAGCCTCTCTAGCACCTCTATGCAGCTTAGAACAGGTCTAGTTGAGATAGTGAGACACAAGAATGAATAAAGTGGATCCCACGGATGAAGAGGGAAGGGGTACTCCGGAAAGTTCAGCCTGGGACTTCCCGGACACCGTAGAAGGAACAAGAAAGATCCATCTCTTCGTTTCCTTTCATCATCCCAATGATCCAAACCGTCGTACTTGTTTCCCCAATCCTTCTCCCTCTCTTCTCTCAATTATCAAACAGTCCTCGTATCTTATCTACGTTAACAGACCGATATATCCGACATACGAAAAACATATTCATAACACATTATGTCATTGCAAGCCAGTACCTCAAACACACCATTGTCAGAACAAAGAATGGCAGCTCGATCAGCTGCAAACCTTCGAACTGTAGCGAGGAACGATACCGCCGTAGTGGAGATTTTAGAGACGAGTACTTATTGTGTTATTTATCATTGGGATGAGGGTACTGAAAAATGGGATAAACAGAAAATGGAGGGACCTATGTTTATCGTTCGTCGGTGGGTTTTGAGTGTTATCTTTTCCCCCCCCTCACATGAATTTTCATATCCTCTATCTCATAAAGTCATGATTTACTCAACATGAATAACATGTCCTAAATCAGACATGACCAATTTTGTGTCTGAAGCGAATAATCATTGGCTCACTCCATGGCTCCAAGCACATTTCAGTTGAAATTCACATGGATTGGAAATGCTCAAGATAAGGATTTGCGTGGGAAAGAACGTGGATTTGGCTAACACCAATAGAGACAAAGCTCCACAATATGCTTTATACCTACTCAATAGACAAGCAGTCAAGAACGTTTTAATTCCTCTCACACCAGGAGATATGCGAGTATCTGTCGTCGACCAGAATAACATGCACATTGCCAGACGAGGTGAAAGTGGGTTTACTGTTTTTCCTACTTTTCATCGGTAAAGTCGCATCGTCTGAGATCCTGGACATGAAGTGTGTTGGCGTCAGACTGATGTTCAGGACTGAGACGAAGTATCTGGTTCAGTGAAGGAGAAAAAGCAGCTCAAGCGTTCATGAGTGGTATAATCCGGTACGTTCTCTTCTCATACATTCCAAATAAGAGAACAATTGATCAAATTCAGAATATGTGGTGAAAATTCCAGACGACCGATAGGAGATAACACATCTCCTCCTTCAGCTCAATCTACTCTTACACCAGAACCAGATGGACTTGCTAAATTATTTTCAAACCTTCATTCTAAACCTACACCATCACCTACTCCTGCTTCCAAAACTACTTCCTCTTCGAATCTTCTCTCAAGTAGTCCAACTCTACCTTCAATACCTCCTCCGGCTTTTGCTCAAGTACAAGACGTCACAAGACCCGTACCTACCATTCGACCCGAAACACCTTCTCCACCCAATGCATCTCCGGCGATAATCTCATCTTCGTTTCCTGGACAAAGTGCAGATGATTTATTACAATCAATGTTGGCTCGTCCCTCTAAAACAATAACAAATAATGGTATGTTTGATACTGGACAAAATGTCACATCTTCACCAACGAAACGGATGGTGAAACATTTATCTGATATGTTACCTCAAAATAAACAACGATCGACATTTCGTGACGAACCAACAACTTCAACCGTGACTCCATCAACTGTCACGGCTCTCGATCCTTTCCTCTTACCGACTACAAATACTTCCATGGACAATACTCGTGTGCCCTCAACTTCAGAAACAATGTCTCAACCTTCTCAATCGTCACAACCATTGACAGCTGATGCTTTACTATCTTCCATCATGGCATATACTAAAAATCCCGTATTACCTGTTTCGGTACCTCTACCTCCCCCAGCTTCTATACCGACAAAGAAACCATCTCCTATTCCTATTACCAGAGAACAACTGCTTTCCACCTCGAACACCTCTGCCATACAGCAAGACATCACCAACGCCGTTTTATCAAATGGTCTCCCTTCCCATCTGCACCCAGATGACAAAACGGGATATATCAATCATATCATATTTCTCCTTCGGGCAAGTCGTTCATTATTCCATGAGCTTTGCTGATGAATGAGAATGATCCGAACTTTGCCGATGAACTTTGGATGGCGTATCGGGCGAAAGTGGCGACGAGTCGGAGTTCGTAGAAGTGAGGATGTGAATGTGGTGCCCTTGTCAAGAAATATACTGATGAATGCATGAATTTCAGCAAGGCCTTATAGCCAGTAGCCAGTAGCTACAACTATTTAATGTGCATCTGCCATCAAATTCGCCCTTGTATTCCTCCCTTGTCATGCTATGGTAGCGCTTGCACCCTATGTACGAGAAAGCTCAGAAGGCGAGGCCGGCGGCGATGTCCGAATTCCACCTCGGTCCTCCTCACCTTGGTCCACCGCTTACTCGTCCAATTCGCTTTACATAGTCACTTGATAACCCCTACAACCTCCCTAACAGGCATACACAGATCGACATGAGCAAAAGACAGATATCTGACATATTCGATGCTCCTTACAACCGTGTAAATCTCTCCACTTCGACCGCTACTTCCTCTTCCACCCTCCTCTCCAACGTCCGAGCCGAACGCGCCGCTCGAGAGCATCGGAGAAGGGAAGCAGACGCCGCTCTCAAGATTCAGAAACTATGGAGAGGCGGTGTATTCAGGAAACAGCTGCAAGAGCAACTTCTAGATGATTATGAAGCCGGTCGGTTGGGACCTATGGGGGGACGAATGCAGACCAGAGCTGTATGGTTCTTATTACGTACTAAGGTGTATGATGAGGAGAGAGTGGCGAGGTTTGTCGGATCGTGGCTGGCCGAAGGAATAAAACCTGACGGTTGGTAATCTTCACTCTTCTCTTTGAGATACATGACTGACATGGGTAGAAAAGGGTTTGCCATTGATACTGCAACCCTTGAGGAATGGTCTTGAATACCTTTTCATTATAGGCGCAATTTCTTCTGGGGTTGTGAGACTCTGCTTCGGCACACCCACGTCAGTAATTCCACATGAGATCATTGAGTCGAAGCTTATCGTCAGAAAAGCATGGGTGGGGGTTTTGTTGACTAATTTGGAGTCGTTGATCAGTCCAATTGCCTACGCCCCGTTGCAATTTCCGGTCCAAACCAAGAAAGTGCTGGTCTGCGTTTTAGCGTTAACGAAATACATAGAATGGTTAGTGAGATTAATGGAAAAACTGATTGATGTTACTGTAAGATTCCATCATTATCAGTTTGAGGTCTTGCTGACGTTTCAGCTTCCCAAAAAGAAACATCCGTTTTTACTTCCCGTCGTTCGCCTTATAACTGTTCCATTCACTTTAAACCTTTTCTTCGAAGATTTTCCTCTTTGCCAACCTGTTCTCGCGTGGCTTTTAACCATTCCCGCCCTCCCAGCTGCCTTACCTTTATCGGCTCTGACTTATCTCTCTCAGAAACTCCCACTCTTCCAAGCTATCATCCCTACGACAGTCACGAGACAATCCTGGCTTTCCTCTGGTCGACTTGCTACCGAGATAGGCAAGACACATTTTCTGGCAAACCTCGCTCTCTTTGGTATTTCTGGCACTCTTCTCAACCGTCTAGGCCCTCGTCAGTTCATGGCTTGGATGATTATTTCCGGTGAGGTCCTCGGCTCGCTTGGGGAGGGTTGGGGTCCTTGGGTTGAGGGACAAGTCGAAGATAAGATAATCAAGACCTATCGACCTATCGTGAGTGTAGACAGTGATGACGAAGACGAGTCTGCAGACATCAAAACTGCAGCTAGAACCTTTAAAGCTCCCATACCGGTCAGAAGACGACGCCCGAATCGTAGTCCACTTCCAGCGAGTATATCAACCCGACTTGCCCTTCTCGCTTCACCTCAACATCTCTCACTCGTATTTGATAAAGCTATAGCGGTGAATATGACCACACCGCCTGGATTAATGGCTAAAATATCACCATTCTTCTTGGGACTACTACATGCCTTCAGAGGGACGGCCAAATGGGAGCTCATCCTTGACACCTTTCTCGCAGGAAATAGAGGACGTGTGATTGTCAAACGTTTGTGGTTTGAGGCTGTTCAGGGACGTTGGTCGGACAGTGCGGATTATAAATGCTGGGACAAGTTTGCCGAAAGTGAGCCTTTCTCTAATTCATCTCATATTTCAATATTATGTGATGTGAGAGCTTAATACGCAGATCGCGATAGAAACCCATTGATACTCTTGACTCAACTATACTCTCGATATCTTGTTCTCACTCCGGACGATGAATTTTTCTCCACTGCAAATCTTCTTTCGATTCCCGAGGTTATGGAATTGTCGGCTGTATGGCGCAATCTGGCTTACTGGGGTTATATGAGCGGTGTCGCCTATCCCTCCAATCCTAGTAGTATCGGAAGAGGTACCGAACACCATCGATCTCTTTTCACCAAAATAGTCACTCAACTGGCTGAAAGAAAGTGGGTCGGAACTATCCCTTGTTCTGCGCTAATCTCGTAGTGCTCGGAGGAAATTTACGGCGGATAATTTCTGGGACATGCCAGGGGCCCGCGATCTACCAGCGTTCGTGGTTGCTGCGGTGTGAGTCATTTCATTCTCAAATTGTAAAGACTTACTGAGGGAAATAGAATCGAAGACTCTCAGTTGGCCGAATTTGATCCAGCAAATCAAGAACCACAAGGTCGTCCCGTACCAGACGTGAGACATCATTTCAGCAGACGACAAATGGCATGGGTTTCTCCACGATTGGGACTACTGAACAATCTACCCATGGCGGTCCCTTTTATAATTCGGTTGCAAGTGTTCCGAGAATTTATCATGTAAGCCATCACTTGTGTTCATACTCAATCCCCGTCCTCAAGACCACATCGAATTTCGCAGTATGGCTGATACTTAGAACTGACGCGCACGAGTTTGGACATGACAGATATTCACGTCGATCAGGCAAGGCCACCATCCGTAGAGATCATCTCGCTCAAGACGGGTTCGATCAACTAAACGAGCTTGGTTCCGCTCTCAAAGGTACCATCGTTATCAAATTCGTTGATCAGTGAGATGTCCTCCTTTCTTTAAAGTTCCCGATCTGACGAATAGGTTCGGACAAAGAGAGGCAGGTGTAGATGGTGGTGGTCTTTTCAAAGAATTCCTTACCAAGTCAGTCGAGCTTGTTTTGATTTGACTGAGCTGACTCGCAGCCTTTCTAAGGAAGTCTTTGACACTGAAAGAGGATTATGGCTGGCCACGGATCAAAATGCTTTGTATCCGAATCCTCATTCTTACGCTGTGGAACGTGAGTGGCGTCAACGTCACCGTACCTGCCGGAGCTAATGTTAAACAGCACACCAATTACAATGGTATGGTTTCGTGAGTGTCTACAACAACCATAGGAAAACGCACTGATGGAAAGATCGGCCGCATGCTAGGGAAGGCAATCTACGAAGGTATTCTTGTGGATGTTTCATTCGCCCCGTTCTTCCGTACGTTCTGTGTGTCATCTAAGTGTAAATCGTGCTGATGGGAAGTGGCGAAATGGCTAGGTAAACAAAGTTACTTGGACGACTTAAGTTCGTTAGATCCAGAATTGTATAAGGGTTTGATCAGTAAGCGCCTCACCCTTCTTCCTTCCGACTATCCTTCACATACGCAATCTCAATCAAGGGGAGAATGTGGATGAAAGATACTCTTGCTGATTCGTGCAGTCCTCAAAAATTATCCCAAGCCAGAAGATCTCGCTCTCAACTTCACCGTCACTCAACAAGGTTAGTCCACGCTACGTAAAACGTGATACTCGCTAATGCTTAGAGTTTGGAACTACACAAACGGTCGACCTCGTTCCGGGCGGCTCAGAGATTCCCGTCACTGCTGAGAACCGACATGAATGTGAGATTTCTCTCTTCGATTCACACCGGAGATCGCTCGGTCCATGAGGGAAACAACTGAGTGATAGATATCCAACTGGTCTGCAAGTACAAACTTGACCAGCAGATCTCAGCGCAGAGTAAGGCGTTCTTCAATGGTCTTGCTGAGGTCATCGACCAAAAGTGTGAGCCTTTCTCACTCTCTCATTCTCATGCTCTATCAATTGACTGACTTACGTAGGGCTCAGGATGTTCGATCAGCATGAACTGCAACAGCTCATTGGAGGCGAGGAGACACCGATTGACATAGATGATCTTCGAGAGAACAGTAACATCACCGGATTCATACATAACGAGACTGTCCCATTATTCTGGAAGGTGGTCAGGCAATTCAACGAGGAGGAACGGAGAGCTCTGTTGAAGTTTGTGACCAGTTGCGAGAGACCCCCACTGTCAGTTTCCTTCTTATCATCCTCTCCGCAAAGTCGCGCACATGAAAGATTCTTGCTGATTGGATCATAGGCTTGGTTTCGCTAATCTCAATCCGAAATTTGGTATTCATTCCAGCGGAACCAATACTGATCGTCTGCCATCTGCCTGTAAGTGACATATCTCTTCATCGACGATCTATCTCTCGGATATCAAAGACTTGTGCTTATCTCAGCTTCATGCTTCAACCTCCTCAAGTTACCGGAATACACCGACGAGAGGGTGCTCCGACAAAAACTGCTGCAGGCCATCACATCCGGCGCCGGATTCGACTTATCATAAATCCTCTTCTCATGTCCCCCTCTTCTGATTTGCTTTCATGCCCTTAGATTATGCGAAATTCCACCCCACGATCGGTACTCTGCTCCACCTGAATTGTTCCACCTGGTTGAAAATGAAATGTTGTTCATACATCGTGCATGCATTTCGGTTTTAAAGAAGGCAAAGATAATGGAAGGCGTGTGAGAACACGACTGATACGACTCCGTTCTCAGACAAAACTCACGAACAGGTGTCGCATCCTCCAAGGTCTTCCATCATTTCGTACGACTCTCTAGTTCTCTTCGACTGGGACTCAGCTCACGCTGAGTGGAAGTCTAAACAAGATCCGGACCGGGTGATGTATCCCCCACTCGTTTTCCAATCCCCGCCGTTCTCTGGAAGGCCTAGACCCTTCAGCACCACGAGATGGACCCAAACCATATATAAGAGACTCCCTCCATATTGACCATTCTCTAACCTTCATCGCACAATCAATCTACCGAGAAGGTATCACCCTCGACTGAAAGTTTCTAAATACAAGAACATGTCTCGCATCCCATCCAATATCGATTCTCCCACCCGTAGCAGAGTTCGGACCGAGAAGTGTGTCGGGATCTCTGACACTTGTACAGGTATCGGAATCCGTCGAGGTCCTCATTATAAGGCAAAACCGTTCTGTGATTCATGCGTCAGTCACTTTTTCCATATGTGACAGAGCTTGCACGTGTAGTTCGAAGTTGTTCAAGAGAAACGTCATAGACGTAAGATGACCGAATACAGAAAGAGACCATGCCGACTTGATACCGAAGATTCTAACCAATCTTCTTCTCTCCAACTGACCAAAACAAGTACGCGAGCGAAATCTTCAAAAACGTCGGTTCGTACGAGAAAGAAACGAACTTATCTACCGTATATGACCTTGGCCGATATATTGAACCCCACACCCTTCAGTGGTAGCGAGCCTCAATCGGAAGTGGAAAAATTTCCTGCTATCAGCGAGGGCAAAGGAGGAAGTTCACAAATGTCATATGAACTCATTATTGACGGGAAGGTGGATTCTGAACATGAACAAACTAACAACCTAAACCAACAAACACAACCTCAAATAGTCCCAAGTACGGTCTTTACCCATGGTACGAACGATCTATCGCCTGAATTCCAAAGATGGATGAACGAAAAGTTCCCAAGGAATGATACGAGTGAAATGTCGTTTTAGTCTCCTTGACGACGCGCTTTTAGTTTCAAGGAGTCAAGAAAGAATCCTTTGGTCCCAATGTGGGATAATGGGGATTTAGAAGGAACTTGTGATCGTTCCTGGTAACTCACAATAACGATTGTTGTGATCTGCATTCTTTCCTCACGATCGATATTGACCACCTTTCTCATTGGAGTTCACACGGACTCTCAAGATGTACGTATGATATTCTCACATCTTGGTCAGATTATGACGTGTAGGAAGGCGTACCGTTCCCACGAGGTGGAGGCGACGAGTGGTTACGAGTGGTTCTAGGGAGGGAATAGAGAGACGGATATTTTTTATCCTTCCTGCATCGCCATCTTCCACGAAGGCCTCATCAGTAGGTTAAAAGATAATTGACATTCTCATCCTACTTGTAAACTACTCGCTGATACACTAAAAACTTGGTATGTCTCCTGTCAACACATACATCTCCTACTGACCCTTTAGAGAGATTATCATGGCTCGCTGGACTGAGGCTACAAGTGCAACGTCGCTGAAATCGTCGAAACCGTCGAAGAGCTCCCAAAGAAGGGGCGGCTGCGTCACAACATGGGCTAGACACCACGGCCTATCCAAATCGAGAGGGAGGCCTTATGGCAACGAAAGCTTTTGCAACCGTTGTGTATGTCATCACTCATGAGCTCTGATTGGGCCTGCTAAATGTGCAGATAAGACAATGCAGGTCTTCCGTACAAGAATGATTGATGACGGAGTTGCTAGCGCATCGGAGGCTTTCACGTTTGCGAAGGTGGAAAAATACCGTTCCAGTCGGCCACCACCACCACTACAGGGACCGCCCCCCTCCACTTCTCCACACACGGGACTTCTGCTTCCTTCTGTCTGCTTCCTTCTGCTGGACCGTCAAACCCTTCACTGTCTGCTGGCGCAGAGCCGGACTGTAACTCGGATTCATCTGCCGACAATGATGTAGATCCCACAGATGATCATAGGCCATTGCCGGAGTCTACTTAGCTCTCAGGACCTTCAGCTTGGTTGACGGAGTGAGCCGTAGGTGAAGGGTTTAGGACTGATTACAGAGATGCAGAGGTTTTGAGAGATGATCCGCACATACTGTACAATCAATATCCTTGTGCTCAGTCGTGGTGACAAGAGGGTCACAGCATGGGCAATGTACATACTTATGTTTCCTGATGATGTGTCTTCCCACTCACAAACAATGCTTGTCACAGTGATTGATCTTTCCAAAGATCTCTTTTTACCTCTCCTCTTGTCCCTCATTGTTTTTGTCACTGTTCCCCCGGGTACTACGCATGCTTTCTCCATATGTTCATCTACTTCCAAAACGGCAGGATACAGGCATAGTATGAGTTGTTAATAAACCCAAATTTTAGTTCTTGCTTGATTGACATTGACTGAAAAAAATAGCCAGGACCTGGAGTTTGAACTGTCTAGTGCTTATCTCATCATTTTCCTACCTTCTCACCCTGACAATATACGCACAGCTCTAGGAGTTCCTAAACGTACACACTTGTTCGTACAAGACATGCGTACTGAGCCTAACTTCAAGACAGCACGGCGTTCTAAGATCTAGAGAACAGGTCCATTGTAATAACTGCAGCGTGTTGGACGCAACAAGGAGTAAAGTTTTCGGAAACTCTTGTTCGAAATGTGTACGTTCCATTCTGCTTATACAAGCTTGATGTGATTGATGACAAAGAGGGCTGCAACCATTCAGGCTTGTTGTGAACGCTCAAATACAAGGTGTGACACTTGTCAAAACAACCCCTGACAGTGGTGACAGCAGGCAGACCAAGCGATGACGTCTATGATCATGGTGTGGACCACCGCTCCTGAGACATCCACCGAATCCGTACCTCGTGGTCCGCCACTCCTCACCCTCCATGAAGGTGTTTACTCTGTTTCCCTAGGGATGGTGACTCTTTGGAACATTATGAATAGTCATTGTCACAGGGCCAGAATGAACAAGACCACTCAGACGGTCGGAAACATTCGGAGAGCGAGGGCTGAAAATATGCAGACCGAGTCACGGAATGGTACGAAGGCCAGAATATCATTCTTGTTTTGTTGGAAGGAAATAGTGTGGTCGTCGGACCGAGCAGTTTAGCGAAATCGTCCAATCACTGCAGGATGCTACACTCATCGCATGTACTTGGATAGCTTCAGACTAGGCAGTCTCTTGTGTCCGACCATCTTCCTCAACATCGGGTTCGAACGACCCGTCATCTTGACGAGAACTCAATACGTGTCTTATAGGACGGACGGGGACCGTTGGAGGAATGAACCCAAGGTGGAAACCCCTGAAATCTCTCACCTATCAGCCTTTCCCATGAATATCAATCTAGAGTAAGTTCTGGGTCTGAAATCGTCCCCAAAGTGGAGATATTGTATGCTCCACATGCACAGCTTTGGAGATGAAATTCCTTCCTTCCTTTCTCCTCCTCCACTCTCAGGAAAACGAAATTTCATAGCAAGTCACACAGGCATGGATCATCCCTGCAAGAGGTGAGAATCAAATCATTCAGTCAAGAAGGGTCAGGAAGAGTCTGTGTGAAATTTGACTTAGTGGAAGACCTTCATGGGGATCTTAAATATCTGATTCTTCATCTTTCTCTCTTCACTCCCCATCATTTCCTGACGATTCAAGGATCGTGATCCTCCCACTCGGTTTATTCTACGTTATGGGCCGTTCCAGCACAGCGCATCTCACCAAGTTCAAGGGAGAGAAATCCAGCCGAAAGCACAATCAACCTCTACCTCCAACTTTCAGAAGGATTGTAAAGTGCTCTGGTATGTCTACCAACTGCCAGGAACGTGGTTACCGCAGAGGACCGTGGGGGAGTTTCTGTACTCCTTGCGTGAGAGAATCTTCCATGATTTGAGGTAAAGAACTGATGTGCAGTTTTCGGAGCGCCGACGTCCCAATGGCACGGATTTATCTAGCCACACCTTGGACCATCACATCACAACCCGTGGTGTCCATACTTCTAACGAGGGAAGTGTTGGGCAAGCACTCGTCTCGGGAGTGACAGAGAGGCCCGGGATGTCATCTGTTTCCCGGCAACCAGTAGGTTCCGAGCCAAAAGTCAGCAAAGCATACGATTTTCCCACCCACTTGGGTACCGTCATGCCACTGCCGGAGACAGAGCACTGGACACTGTTCTTGAACCACGATGGTGGTAGGATAGACCCTACGGATCTCTTAGATTGGAGAACAGACTCTACACAGGCAAACAATCCTCATGATGGGAATGGGCCTACAGGTTCATCTCAAGAGTGAGTTTGATGGTTGGCTTGAACTAGGTCATCATCCAAACGCATCTTGATAGTTAGAACGAGCCTGGAATGAAGGAATGCAACCGTTGCATTGGGAGTGCTTACCTTGACTCCCATTGTAGCTATTCTTATGTATTCGCCACATCCGAAGGAGTGCCACTTTGAGCCGCACCCTCACCACCACTTTGGTCGTTAACCCATAAGTACGGGTATAGCTCACCCTTACATCTTGCTCATTGCTTCCCACCGTGGGATCTCTATAACAATATCATCTCCATCCATCCCATCATGTCCCCGATTCTGAAGAGAGACTTCAGCGAGCACGCCCGTCAAGCACGTCGACTGGCAGCCCTCATCACGGGTGATCCCCCGCACTTGGACCCACTCGATCAGGCCTCCAACTCGTTATCCACCCATTCCCAAGACATAGAGCTTGAGCCTACTCGAGCGTACGTCACATCAGCCAGTCCTAGACCTATGGAAGAGGATGATCCTGGTCCTTCGAAGCTCCTACATGTCAGTCGTGAGGGAAGGAGGGATAAGGGGAAATGGAGAGCCTCAGATGAGATACCGCCTCATGTGGGATTGGGCATAAGAGTATCACATGGATTGGGAAATGAGGACGTTGATGATGATGGAGAGACTGATCATATGCTCAGTAATGGACATAGCATGGAGGGAACCGTTGACAAGGGTTCTGGGGTGACGAAACTACGGGATCTCTCATCACTCCTTTTTGAAGTAAGTCCTCCCCTACATCAAAATATCAACTTCCACATATGCCTGATAGCTTCTTAGGTCTGTCAAGAAAGAAGTGTATGATCTCGAGGAGGATTATGAGGTTCTGAGAGAAAATCATTGATCATCAGGCTACACCTTCACTTCTCATAAGTCTAGTCGGTCTTGTTTTCACCGGTGAACTTTTAGAACATCTAGCCAGATGGACAGTCTTTCGAAGAGTTGACGAACTCTTCATCCTAGTACCTATGGTCGGCAATCTGAATGGAAATATCGAAATGTGTTTGTCCGCCCGATTAGGTACTTCAGCCAATATCGGTGAATTGGACAAACGACATACCCGACGTGGACTTTTATTGGCCAATCTCACTCTTTTATGTTTACAAGCATTACTCATTTCGGCCATAGCTGGATTCCTGAGTTTTCTTCTTGGTTTAGCGACTGTTCATAGATTGGGTGATACACCACCTGTAGGTACATCTGGAAATGGGACGTTGGTGGAGGGTGATCCTGGTTTAGCGGTTGGAGAGCAAGATTTTCGAGAAGGATACACAAGACCGGGATGGCAACAATTGACCATGGTTTTAGCTACTGGAATGTGTTCAGCAGGTATAAGCGCTGCTGTTCTTGGATCATTTATGAGTAGCGTTGTTGTTATTTCTCGTTGGGCGGGTGTAGATCCAGGTAAATCTCATTCACCATGCAATGGTGAACAGTTTTATGTGCTGATATTTTAGATAACATAACTCCACCTGTAGCATCTTGTGGTGGAGATCTCTTGACTTTATTCATTCTTGCTCTTCTGGGATCTGCGTTGGTGGGAACGATGAATACACCATTACCATTGATAGCTGTGGTGGTGATGGTAGTAGCAGCTGCGTGGTTTACGAAAAGGGTGATGAGAAATGAATGGGTAAAGAATGTCGCTAAAGGGGGTTGGGCACCTCTGGTAAATTATCAACTGTCCAATTCACTTCAATCTTCCCTTCCCGAGATACTTTGATGATGGCTGATGATAGATCGGAGCTATGCTCATATCAAGTGGAACGGGTATGGTGTTGGATAGAGGAGTCAGTAAATATCGTGGTTTTGCTCTTCTTGCAATATCCATGACCGGTCAGTCCCCTCACTCCCCTCTCTTCTCCCTCGCCTCGAAGTTTGAGACAACTATTGACAAACCTCATGCTGACAAAAAGGATTGACAGGTTCCATCGGTGCCATTCACGCTAATCGTCTTTCCACATCTCTTCATACCCGTCTCCATCCTCATCATCCTTCTGCATCATCACATTCACCTCCAAGAGGTTTATCAGCTTTACAAGGTGGTACAACCCTTTTCTTCCTCGCTTTTCCATGTTTAGCTTGTTTCCTCTTTTTTGTAGATTGGGCAGGATGGATTGATCTTAGTCTTGGTTGGGCAGGTTGGGTTTCTTATGCACTCACCGTGAGTTTACTCATTCTCCTCAGGTTCGTCAGTAAAATCACAAGCTAATAGTTCAGACTGGTATATCACTTTGTATTGCTCATGGTCTTACTTTGTATTTCTGGTCTAGAGATCTTGATCCTGAGTGAGTCATATTTATCCCACTCATCTCACTCATCAACAATATCGTATTGCAAGAATCGTCACCGCTTCGCCCAGGTCTCAAATCCGATGTTTGGTTCAGGACCCTTTGTCTTCCTCAGGAATTCTGCGGATGGCCATTTTGACGCAAAGCTGACGTAAAGTTCGTACACTTTACCAATCCAGAGTGCTGCGGTCGACTTTATCGGACAACTCTTGCTTATGTTAGCATACGAAATATGTATTCTTCAAGGAAAAGATGTTTTAGTACATGATATCCCTCTTCCTGGAACATGATTCCTTCTCCATACCTTATCATTATCACTCATACGACATACGACTAGAATGATCATTGCACATATGCATACATTATTGCATCTTGCACTTTTGCTTTTTAGCAAAACTCAACACGTCATAGAAAGACTACACATCTTATGAGATCTACAAAGATGACAAAGAGGGAGATGAAAATGAATAATCAATCAATATCGATACTTTCCGAAGGTGTTTCATCCGTCAACGTATCTTGTAATTGACTTTCCTCCAATACCCCAGCCGTCAGAGTGGTCGGTAATGGTAATCGAGGAGTATCAGACATCAAACTTTCTGATTCTGTCGATGATGTTTTATGTGGTAGAGCGGGACGTTTTTCCATGCCGGTATTGAATAAAGTGGTTTGTTTACCCTGACCATGAGGTTTGACGTTTTCCTTTGCTTTTTTAGGTTTTGCTGGAATGTCAGCGATGCTTTATGTTCTGGTATCGTTCAGGAGAGGTAAGGACCGTGCGACACAGACCGACTGCGGAGATAATGAATATGTAGGAGGCATGACAGAACTAATTTCAGAAGAACCTTTGAGAGAGGAGGACAGATAGGGGTAGAATTCGAAGAATGCAGAGATGGTGTGGAGGATCTGCCCCCAGAAGTAGGCAAGGTATAAAAGAACAAAGAAAGTAGAGTAAGAACAAGAAGTAAAACAATTACCCTTCGTCATTCCCGATGCCTCGATATCATCCACTCTGTCAAAGAACGAAGTACTCTTTATCGCATCGAGCGGTCTGGCCGTTGCGGCTTTAGCGAATGGATTACCATGTGTTTTCTTCGCAAAGGGATTTTTCGGTGCTTCTCGTCAGTCCCACTTTTCATTCATTCACCAAGACACCACTTTCGATGACCGCTCTCCCATCACATTATCTAACATTCAACTTTTGGTTCGAGATAAGGGTGATTCACCCAGTCAGAAATTGGGAACGATGACTGACCTGAGGAAAATGACAATTCCTCCACTTTCTTAGCAGGAGCCGTGAATTCATCTTCCTCCATTCCAACTTTTCTCTTTCTCTTCTCACCTGGAGATCCCATATCCATATCCAGACTCATTGTCGGAGGGGGCACAGGTTGAGGTGTATCCTCCATCTGTCCAGGAGTTTCAGGAACATAACTATCCCCTCTCATTTGAGCAGGTGTAGAATCTCTATTAACTCCTCCGAACGTTCGTCTGGAAGTTGCTCGAGGTACGAATTCTGAAAATTTCCCATTTACCATTCCATTGTTGGGAGAAACATGATGTTCAGAAGGTGGTATCAAACTTTTCCTGGTTCGTTTCACACCTGTTCTTTTACGTTCTTTTTCCAATCGTACGGATTGAATTCGTTCTTGTAATCCTGGTAAATGATAGAATGCGGCGACTTTAGCAGCGGCATCGATGGTTCCTGGAAGATACATAAGTCGAGATAGATCTAAAGCTCTTTGAAGATTATCAGCTTTACAAGCTCCTTGGACGAGTTGAAGAAGTTCTTTATCAAGAGCGACGGAACGTGTTTTGATATCGTATTCGATTTCACCGTCTGGTGTTTCTTCCACTGCGTCACGTAAGAGAGAGAGATGGACTTCTCCTCTGATGATACTGCTTGTCAGCTTGACACGAGTCACACTCAAGATGACTGAGTTTAACTTTGTTAGAGGAATCTGCGAGAGACACCCAAACTTCGTGGATGAGTAGAGGTGGAGGGGAGGGAGAGAGGGATGGGAAATTGCTACTAGCCTTTCTTCCAATCTCCCCTGTTGGTTGTCCATGCCTAATAAAGGCATTTGAAGCTCTATCTCCTGAATCAACGGTCGAGGGAACCATGGTTCTTTTTCATTTCCCTATATCTTCAGCTGATGACGTATCGATCGTGAGTGAGCTCACCTTAAGAATCACACATGACATGTGAGTCGCAGAAACCCCAACTGGCCAATACGATTCTTTCCTACCTTCTTTCCTTAATAATGTCGTATCTAACAATGGCACCCATCTTGCTTGACCAGGCCGTCGAAACCGATCAAGAACAGATAACAAACCGGTTGAGTCGAACATAGTTGGAGCCTGATCTCATTCAACGTACTTCCCCGTTGGGCAAGAAATTTACTCACATCGTTCGAGGTGAATCCAATCCATGTTAAAGTGGTTTTCTTCGGTAAAGGCACTCGACCTTCTTGTATGATTTCAAAGTTGTTCAGATCCATCAATGTATATCTAAGATTCTGACAACCTATCCATCAGCTGATTGATACATAGGTTCAAGGTGACCGTAAGACTTACCATCCAAACTTGTCCCTCCTTCCCGGTGTATCACAATCACAGAATCTTTTCCAGCTACCATACTGACCACATCCTCCCCTAATCTCCACATATACCTTTGTATCCCACTACTACTCATGAACCTCACAAACCCCCTGCTCGTAGCTACTATGATACTCCCCATACTTTCTTGCCCTAGAGATCCTGCCGGTCCGCCGGCAGCGACACATACGGCCTCTTCGCCGAGAGGTAACCCCATGGACCAATCCCCTTGCGACGCCCAAGAATCATATGGTCTATAGTATATTTGAGACGGTTGATCTCCGTCAGCGGGACAGGCGTATATAACTCCTTGCTCTCCAATGGATGCCATGGAATATTTGTGATGATCTTGAAAATGGTACCCTCGTCTAGAAGATTTATCATGGAATTCGACATTGACAACATGATGAGTTTCCAAGTCGGTAGCATCGACAACACCAATCATGTTGAACCCTTTGCGTCAATTCGAGTTCAGTAGGATTTACGAACACATACCAAGATAACGTTTCTTGTTCTTCATGACGGTACTACCTGGAGTGAAAGCTGCTTGAGCTTTTGTGACATTGACTGAAAACTCAGCAAGCTGGACATGGAGTGCCAAATAGGAGACAGCTTACCGACTTCTGTTCTACCCTTCCCCCACTTTTCATCTTCTTCCTTAGCATACGTCTCATCATCGTCCACTATCCAATCGTCCACCAAATCATCCCCTAGATCCTCCCCTTTGTCCTCAAGATCATCCATGTCATCCCCGAAATCATCGTCTAATAGTCTATCCACTTTTTTGGCGTGTGCAGCCTCCGTTACGACCGGAGAGGGAAAATTACTCGGGATAGGCTCATTCCATCTGTGGAAAGTCCCGTCTAAGGAAGTGAAGACGATCAGATTGGTCTTAGGTGAGAACGCCAGTCCTGAGATCGCCCCGACGGGATTGGTATATCTCGCCACGACTTGTCTCGACTCTTCCGCCCACACAAGGATTTGCTCGCCTGCAGAGGAGGCTAGGTATCTGCCATTGGGTGACCAGGCGAGTTCAGATATGGGCGTTTTGTGTCCGTCGGAAGAGGAAAAGGCAGGCTGCTTAGACCATCCATTTTTGGAGATGACACCAATGTCGTGGGTTCGTAGAGGTATGGCGAAATATGCTCCAGAGGGATGCCAAGCGGCGTAGGCTGACACGGCAGAGCTGTCAATTAGCATACAACTTCTAACCCATTTCATGCAATGAGAGAAGGACGGAGAAAACCCTTGGACTCACTCTGGCTCGGAGGACGAGATGACATTATCCACTATCTTGATACATGCCGGTGTGGATAGAACAGTGTCATAGATCCTCAATTTACCATCACAAGAGACTGCTGTCTACGCGGTCATTCCTCCATCCATAACAGGTTTGGTGGACTCACCAGATACTGTCCGGACGGATCCCAAGTGGCAGACCTGACAGGTTTGGTATTGTCGGATAACAATTGCACTCTTGTCGTGTCTTTCACATGCACAATCTTGACCAATAAATCACTATGATCAGTGATTTACCTACTTTACGTTTCTGTTCGCTGACGATGTAGTCAAAAATGGACTCACTCGCTACAAACGGCCACACGTTCACCTGCTTTGTCCATAGCGACCCATCTTATTGCCACGCCGGATGAGCGAGTGATGTATCCTTGAAATTCATTCTGTGGATATGAGAAGTACCTCGCGATGTTATCCACACTCCCAGTGACGAGGTAAGAGTTCTGACCGTTAGTGAATGAGGGTGAAGTGCACGAAATAGCTGACAGAGCACGAGAGCGAGGTAACGGCGTCTGTATGATCATCATGGAACCCAGGCTCAGCGTCGGGGTCATCCGCGCGGTGTATACGGACTAGACAGTCGGCACCACCAGTGAAGATGGTCCTGCAAATCAGCCCGTGTCATGGAACCAGTTGAGACGAAGCAGAAGGAGGGCCATGTCAGCGATAGGAACCCAAGAGTAACTCACGAGCCATCGGGGGAGAAACAGACTCTGGTGATACCTTCCAGATGACAAGGGTAGGAGGATACGTTTGAGGAGGATGCTTCTGCCATGTCGCTATAGGTCGCTATCTGCTATGATTCACAGTGGTATGACCTGAAAAGCAAGACGATGACAGTGATTTTACATGCGCGCTGGACGCGTCTTCTTATTGTCATTATCAGTCCTTTCAGGCACAAGAAAGTAGTGGTGAAATCCCACGTCACCATCTCCTTCCCCAGGTTCAAAAGTTGCTCGTGAGATGCAGTCGAGTGTCTATTGAAACAACCGTTATCATGAGCACAAGATCGATACTAACACCTCTCCTCCGACCCCACCACATCCTCATTGTGCCTCGGATCAGATTCCTATTCTCAACTTCTCCCCACGCTTCCTCTTCTTCCGCCACCACATCTCCGACCGCTAAACCCAAATCACCCAAAAGGCGTCAGTCGCTTGCCTCATGGTCAGATCTGGCTGACAGTCACAGCTGTCTCTTCCTGTAAAGCGGGCACCAAACTCACAGGGCTGGCAGTACTGAAAGACCAACCGGATCCCGTAGCTTTGCCCGATGACCAATACCCCGACTGGTTGTGGACGGTTCTAGACAAAGACGAATCTCGGTCTCAGCCACTCAACGTCACATCTACTTCGGGAGAGCCCGTGGACTTCGCAAAGGAGAAGAGGAAGCTACGAGCCATGTGAGTCTATGTAGGGCTAAAGAGGGACTGAAAGCTGAATGATAGGAATCGACAGAATATCAAAGCCTCGAATTACTTCAAATCAACATGACAGTTTGAACAACTCAATGTATGTATCATATATGCAGTCAGGATGCCGAATAGGACGATGTCAGGTCCGGATGCAAAATGGTTGAATTCATGTCCGCCATGAACCACCCGGAATACCTATGCGAGCCGCTAACTGTCTATACTGTGCAGTTGCCAATGCCGATGTTCGAGCCCAAAGGATGGTGAGAGCTACGATGAGGAAGAGCAGATTGGTGGTCTGCAAGTCAACATCAAAACCGTTTAGTCATCCTGATACATTCTGGTATGGTCGGATGTCTCTATGTGATAGCTTTATGATACCGGAAACACCGAGGGACGTGGAATGAGGAGCCGACTTACGACAAATTCCCAAAAGTCTCGTTGCTCCTTCTTCACCACCTTTCCACATGCTTCCCAAGCAGGTACCTCTCCCGCAGGCTGTGATCCATCTGTCGTCCCTTGTGCTCGATGCTGGTCGTCTTTAGGAATACAATGAAGTAAGCGGCGATTGCCGAAAGGCATGCAGAAGGGTTGGGAGAGCTATATTTCAGCACATCCCCAAACGAAACCATTATTGAGATAAGCTCCCCAAGTTTCTCTAAGGAGACTTGGGATCTTGGGACTTGGGGATGAGGTGATAAGGAGTGAGAGACGGATGGGGACATATACTGACCTGATCTTTGGGGCAGGGTTCGCACTCTCCAAACGGTCTACATACAAGTTGACTAGCCGGGTGAGCGACATAAGCAGGTCTTTTGGCACGGGATGAGGGAGGTTCTGATGAGCGTTGACTTGTATGCCTCCCTTCGAGAGTGTATACGGTGTGAAGTCGGCCGTGAGGAAGGGTGAAGAATGCCATAGTGGGATGAAGGAAGGTGAGTATCAACACGAGTACGATTATTGGCCTATCTGGTCAGTTCTTTGGTATCGCTGATATATGAAGAGTAGACTCGCCATATTGGATGTCGTTGATACCATGGGGAATGCCGGATGATCATGCTACATATGCTATAGGTTGAAGGAGACGTCAGACATCCTTCTTGTCCGAGGTGTCATAGGCGACCCGTGCATTTTAAATGGAGGGATCCAATAAAGGTACCAGACATGCGCGCCGTCAGCGTCTCCTAAGCCTGCAACTCTCCCCTCTCAGGTCTCCTCTTCTCTGTCCCTACTGTAGAGTCATAACAACATGTCCGTGGCAACTCAGAGAATGCCCAAAGGGCACCACATTCCGGGAAGTACCATCAAGGTATGCCCTTTCTACTTCTGTCACCTGACGTTGAGCCGGAAACCAGATCGTTGGATGAGTGGAGAGCTGATGTGTCAGACATACTATCAGAATAAGATCGAAGCTGCAGAATTGGAGATTACCAAGAAAACTCAGAACCTGCGTCGTCTAGAGGCTCAGAGAAATGCGCTGAATACAAGGGGTAAGTTTACTCGTGTGTAAACATGAGGAAAGCTAACGAGCAGTACGGTTGTTGAGAGAAGAATTGCAACTTTTGCAAGAACCCGGAAGTTACGTTGGGGAGGTCGTCAAGGTTATGAGTAAGAAAAAGGTTTTGGTCAAGGTTTCTCCAGAAGGGAAATTTGGTGAGTTCCGGTAGTTGTAATCCACTCTTGACACACTCTGCGCCGCTTTCGTCTTCGATGCGATGTCGTCTATCGTCCATACCAAATTCAGAGAGAGAGTACATCCTGATGTCCTAGTGGTTGACCTCTCCCCCGACATCCCCGCTTCTTCTCTAACTCCCAACCTACGTGTGTCCCTCCGAGCAGATTCATACACTCTCCAATCTATTCTTCCTAGCAAGGTCGATCCTCTAGTCAGTCTGATGATGGTGGAGAAAGTCCCCGACAGCACCTACGAAATGGTCGGTGGATTAGACAAACAGATCAAAGAAATCAAAGAGGTCATCGAACTTCCTGTCAAACATCCGGAATTATTCGAAGCTCTCGGTATCGCTCAACCCAAGGGTGTATTGTTATACGGTCCACCAGGTACTGGAAAAACCCTCCTCGCTCGAGCTGTGGCACATCACACAGATTGTCGATTCATTCGTGTGTCAGGTAGTGAACTTGTACAGAAGTATATAGGAGAAGGAAGTAGGATGGTGAGAGAATTGTTCGTCATGGCTAGGGAACATGCGCCAAGTATCATCTTCATGGATGAGATAGATAGTATTGGAAGCTCGCGAGGTGATGGAAAGGGGGATTCAGAGGTTCAAAGAACGATGATGGAATTGTTAAATCAGCTTGATGGGTTCGAGCCTACTAAGAATATCAAAGTAAGTAAGATGATTCGCGTTCGGATCATTTGCTGATACGTAGGTTATCATGGCGACAAACCGAATTGGTCAGTCAGAATGATTTAGTCGATCTGCGGTGCTAATCTTCAGACATCTTGGATGCTGCTCTTTTGAGGCCAGGAAGAATCGACAGGAAAATCGAATTTCCCCCTCCTAATCCTGAAGCGAGGATTACCATTCTCAAAATTCATTCTCGTAAGGTAAGCTTTGCTCCTTGACCTCCTTTGTGCGCCACACGTATCAATCTCATCATCTCTTTGAAACGTATCGCAAGTCCATATGAATTACAAGTAGGCCACGATGGGAGACGACTGACACACAGATGTCTCTGCAAAGAGGTATCAACTTCCGCTCCCTGGCCGAGAAGATGGGTAATTGTTCCGGTGCTGAAGTCCGAGGTATCTGTACCGAAGCCGGTATGTATGCGTTGAGGGAGAGAAGACAATATGTCGGACAGGAAGATTTCGAAATGGCAGTGGCGAAGGTTTTGAAGAAGAATGCGGAGGGAAATATGAGTGTGAACAAGTTGTTCTCGTAATCGGTTCCCTACAAGACATATGCATCATGATCGTTCATATATGAATAAACATTTGTAGACTTCATCTGGTCAGTGTACATCCGATACTTGCCTCTCTATTTAGTCGATAGCTCAATGTGGTCTCATCACAGCTCGGCCAGTGGACGGGACATGATCATCGTTACCAAGTTATATTTACCCTCAAGTACCGGAGGTTTCCTGAGAAGGCAGGTTTGAAATGTTCAAGACGGGTTGGTAAGATGGTCAAATATGAGGATCCAGACGCCATGTAGCGGAAAGAAAAGAAAGAGAAGGAGAGAGAGAGAGGGTATATATAATCTTCATGTCACTTCTTGACCACTACCAGCTCCCACACCATCACCCCTCAATTCTATCCCACCAGAATTACCTTTATTCGCTTCCAAACGTATTCTCTCCAACTCATCATCTGTCACTCGAGGAAGGGTAGGATCAGGAGCGAACTCTGACATGGCGCGTGAGATTAACTCTGCGGATGATAAGAAAGAATTTGTCGCTAATCGAAGTAATCTGACTGTAGCAGTTTTGTATGTTCTCCAAAATCAGCTTTCTTCCCCCCCCCCCCTCTCTCTCTAGCAACCCCCAGCGCATTTTACCTTTCAGAGTATATGAACTTCTCAGCTTTGCTCGTTCATCTATTCGGATCTCAGTCAGAGCTACATGTATACCAGGATAGAATAGGATAGGGAGTGGAATGAGATCAGATGGAGAGATACAAGGAGATGCAGATATTAGACTTACACGACCAATATATTTTCTTCAACTTCCAATTGTCTTTCTACTAATTGAGCATTCTGTTCTTTATCCACTTGTAATACCTTTTTGGCTATTTGGGCATGTTGAGAAGTATAAAATGGGATTTTGAGAGTTCTATGTAGTCAGTATCATCTTCTAATTTTGGCCCGATACATCTGTGAAGCTTTACCATTCAACGACATTGAACGCCTTTGGAATGATGGAAAAATGTACTATCCGACATTTGAGTGGTCGAAAGGAGGGAAGACCTACACCGTATGCCATGTACTAGGTCCTGAATCTTGTGACATTCCGCGTTTACGTTACCTCGCCTGACTACCAGCCATTAGCTAGTAGCTAGTAGTCTTTCAGATAAAATAGAGAAAGGTAAGTTAAGTGAAGGTGGACAGAATGATAACGGGAAAGGGAAGTTCCTCAAAGTTGAGGAGAAAAGAGGTGGAGGTGAATCCGATTTTATGTTATCTTTCTTGATATTACACTTCTCTCACTACATCTCCTCACACTACATATTCAACATTCAGCATGATCAAAGTAAGCTCTCCTCCCTAGATTCACTGTTCATGAGATACATACAGACGAAGGGCGTCTGGTTGTTTCAGTGAAAAGGGCTGATGAAAGATATGGTCTGTCAAGAAAGATCAAGAGGCAGCGGCGAGGAAAAAACCTAGAATGACAGCTGCTCAATTGAGAGTACAAAAAGGTAAGTTTCGATATCTTTCTCCAACTTGCACTCCTTCCCCTCTCTCTGTACTTCTCCTCTTCACTGATATGCTTTTCACCCCCTAATCAATTGTTGATAAGGAGGTGTGTGGGATAGTCTGAAGGTCGTGTGACGAAGTTGGTTTGTCAGCCTTTCTCCTGGAGCTCGAAGCTGGGGAGAACGTGAGGGAACAAGTATGAGTGTGAGGATTGTGGAGGGTTGTATAGGTGGTTTCAAGATGGAAGCATGTGTGACGTAGGTGGTCATACAGTCATACTACGCTTTCGGGCTGCATGACGAGAGTGATAAAGGAACCGAAGGTCAACGACGGGAATCACTTAGAGGGTAGAAAGAGGATCTGGAGTATCTATCGAAGTCAGATGTTCCACTCAGACCATGGGATCAAAGAAGCTAAATGGACACTTCATAAGAACAGCAGACAAGACAAGGGAGACTTGGGGTGGCGAGAGACGAGCCCTCTCATTTGACTAGCTGACACGATAGATCTCACCGAATTGGAATTACCATCAACCATGAAGACTAATTTCCCCGATCCTGCCGATGTACTCAATTTTGAACTTACTATCATTCCTGATGAGGGTGAGTGTTCATCTGTTTACTCTTTCCCCACTACCTTCGTCTGGTATATATCCTTGTTCATCAGAACGGGATATCTCAACCATTCAACCCTGTGCTCTAATCCTATGCCTAAATCTTGAAATACTCCACACCCTCTCCCCCTCTGTATCTAGGGAGTCTCTCCGATGATTCGCGATATTTGTGCGACTCTAAATAACTGAGAAGAGAGAAAGCTGTTGAGGTTGGGGTAGCACAAACGAGGATATTCATTATCTTTCCAAATGCAACCAAGACAGATCGACATCTTTGAGGAAAAGGAGAGGAGAAAAGGACAAATGATCAGAAGAAAATGGATCAGCTAATATTTAAGGAATGTATAAAGGCGGTCAATTTCATTTCACTTTCGTCATTAACCCAAACTATCCACATGATCCTCCTAAAGTCCGTTGTACTCAGAAAATCTATCATCCGAATTTAGATCTTGAAGGGAATGTCTGTTTGTGAGTTGTCAACTTCTCAATCCTTATCCCCTGTCCACTCATCAGCCGATCAACGCACCTTGTCAACCTTACAAAGCTTATCATCTATCGTGCCCACCCATGACTTCCATCATCTACGTTGTCATGCTCACGACTCCCATCATCTTTCGTGCTCATTGACCCCCTCGTTGATGCAACACTACATGAGTATTTGCGAGGAAGAGGCGAAGACTGGAGCTGATAAGTAGAAATATCTTAAGGGAAGATTGGAAACCTGTCAGTTCATCAACTGAGGTACTAAACAAGAACTGAGAGTTAGGTATTGAATTTGTCTTCGGTCATGATAGGTTTACAATATCTTTTCTTGGAACCGTAAGTTTCCGTCCGTTCTCCTTTTCCCCTCCCTTTCCTGTACGTCCTCTGTCCCTCCCCCCCATCTCTAGTCTTCTTTCTTTCACACCCTTTTAACCTTCTTTGTATGTGTACCCGCAGAAGTGTCCGAGGGAAAATTTAACGTTTTCTCATTTTGAGGTGATTTGACGTACTTTTTTCACCTTGTATGTGTACCGGCGTGAGTGTCTAAAGAAGAGTTTGACGTTTTCTCCATTGACATTGTTCCACACATGAGGATTGTCACGGTATACAACATGAGCAGTTCCACAGCTGAACTTTTAGAAACCCCGATGACCCATTGAACAAAGGTCAGTCTTTTCACTGATCACTAAAATACACTATGAACTAAAGTGAAATGCTGATTGAGTAGAAGCGGCGGAAGACTTGCGGAGAAGTCGAGATGCTTTCATTCAGAATGTTAAGGTTTCCATGAGAGGAGGTTCTGTCCGAGGGGAGACCTTTGACAAAGTCCTTCAGACTTGATCCCCCACCTAAGTCCTGAACGTCTCACTCCATATAGTCTAGATCACCTCATCTGCTTTAACATGCACCTCCATGTCGCTTTACACGGATACTCAAGATGACTCTCATGGCCGTCCACATATTCATGTGATCCTTCTTTCCTTATACCGCTCTGCAATGTTATAATCAAAGAAGACCAGAGCAAGTCGTATAAACTAAGTGCATGTGTATGAAACAGGTTCCGTCAAAGTCGTACAGACGTCTATGATGAGTCTTTGTTCTACTTGGTTTGTTTTTCTAATTTAACACATATCTTCTTCTCTCCTTTCGAATAAAACCCAAAGCCTTTCCTAGTCCCTACCTAACAGCGCGTCCACCTCGTGAGTCACGTCCGCCCTCGACTCCTCCAATGGGCTACCCGTGCGAGTTCGTCTAAGCAAGCCTGGTCGTATTTCGGGTACCGTCAAAGAAATGTGTAGTCTCTCGCTTGGTGGTACAGACAACGTGAACCGATCTGCCACCGCAGCTTGCGGTTGTCCAAACGGCGCTTTAGGGTGGCGGCCTTGTGACTGGATTTGCAATTGATCGTATCGTGCATCCTCGGCGAGAGAGACGAGATCGTTCGAGGATGAAGAGGGGGAAGAACTGAGCGAAGGTGTAGAGGCGACCGAGACGGCATCTTGATTTTGTTTCAAAGCTTCCACCTCCATACCCCCGTCGAGAACACCGACACGCATCATGGCGAGAAGATTGTGAGCGGCATTTGAATGATCATACACTCCTCCAAAAAATGCCGTCGTGGCATCTGTCCCAATCGCACGTTTGATAAGATGAGCGCCACCGGGATGATCGTTCGCAAAGCTCGAACAGTCGTGAATGAAACCATGAACAGCGATGAGTGACCTTTCTTTCGAAGCCGCTTTGAATTCTTCCCACGAAATGACGGGAAGATCGTTGCTCGATGTGGGCCATTTGAGCTGTTGTCCCTCGTCATATAATGTCTGCAGTTTCATCGTATATTGACCTTTCTTGATTTCGTTATCGGGAAAACGTTTGAGATGTGTCGCTAAACCGAGCTTGGACATGGTCCAGATGAACCACTTGGTAGGGTCATATTGGAACCATTTGATCGCGTTACGGAAATCCATGGGGAATTGATGGTGAAAGTTGTGGTAGCCTTCACCGATGGTGCATAGTGCGGTGATGAAGTGATCGCAAGGAGTGTGCTTGTTATCGAAAGGCTTCTCACCCAGCCAGTGGGCCAACGAGTTGACACAGAACGTGGACTGCAGATGTCAGCTGTTGAAACCCCAAGTGACATGAATGACTCACGTGATGGACAAAGCAAAGACGAGCAGCTCCGGCGAAGACAAATCCACCCCACCAATCACCCCATCCAAGTCCGGCGACCATTGTAGGGAGGATCATCCCCATGAAGAAAATCAAAGGAATGTAAAATTTATGTTGCCAACGGACAACCTTGTTGCGAGTGAGATCGGACACATCGGCCACTCCGATCTTGCCCCGAGGCTTGATGATCATCCATCCCATGTGAGACCACCAGAAACCCTCGTGGGCAGAGTACGGATCGAGTTTCGTATCAGTGTACCGATGATGCGCTCTATGACCGCGAGACCACCATTTGATCGAGCCTTCGACGGCACCTGCTCCTGCGATAGCGTAGAAGTATTGAAGAGGTACAGAGGCATTGTATGACCTATGGGCCCATAGACGATGGTAGCCAGCAGTGATGCCGAGACCAGTGATGTAGTAGTAGATGACGCTACCCGCGTTAGCCGGATCACCCTTGTACGCCTGATAATTCGGACTCACCTCCAGATAAGCGTGTTGCGGTTGTAGGGGACTGTGAAGAATCCATATATGGCCAGAGAGGGGGTGACAGTCAACGCCAAAAAGGAGATCCATTGGATGTTCCAGATAAGGTTCTTCCAAGTGACCGGCGGGAGGTATTTTGTCCGGGCGATCGTGTCGGATACGTAATTGTCCGGAATGTTGGCATCTGAAGGAATGAAGGTGGGTTGGATGGGACGTATACCGGGAAGAGCGTTCAGACCTGTCTACATCAGCTTTTCGGCGCACGTCGTTAAGAGAGCGTCACTCACCCTTTGGCTCTATCGGCTTTTGCTCAGGCGTTTGGGGAGGTGAATACGCGGGATCAGAGATGTCGGCGACATGAGGGAACATGACCTCTTTCTCTGACGTCGGCGTCAACGGGTACGATGGTGAGTGTGACATGATGACTGAGGGTAGAGCAGGTGGCGACGACTGCGCGTGTCGAGAAACAAGACGGAGGTGGGTGTGAAAGGATCAAGCCTGGTCGTCGATTTGACCGTCGAAAGCGGATCGTCAACGGGGGATCGACGATAGGGGAGAAAGATGTTTAATGGGTGAGGCCGTCTGCCTTGCACGACCCGAGTTGTTGAGAGAAGAGATAGAGATGAAGAAGGTGAAGAGATGGGAGGAGGAGCAGGGGTTTAAGTGCGTTGCAAGGGGTTGAGAAGGGATTGCATACGGTCAACCCTCTGCCCACCGGAAATCCATGATGTTCTCCCCAAAAAATCGGAATGGAGCCCCGCATTCCACTCCCATCAATGACAATGACGCGTGCGAAGCACAAGTATCTTCCTGTAATACGACACACCGTAGGACCTGACTGTCCCGTGCATCATTTCTCGCCTATTCCTGTGTTGTAGACTAGGGATCCCGGTTTACCCCATTAATTTTTGAAATTCTCCACTTTGTATCCATGACTTGTCCATCTGTATACCGGGTTCTTTGTCTTGGGTACTAGGGTGCCACTTTGCGTCCTACATCACCGGCTTGTCTACTAATCTCCCCGTTTCTTTACTAGACTGCCGTTTCATGTACCATGCTCTCGTGATATACACCAGACTTCAGTTCTCTATATCGTGTCGTCTGTTTCACATACCAGCTTTTCGGCTTTGTAGACGACGCATCTGGTAGTCATACTGCCTCTTCGTTTCCGTTTTGCAACTTAGCGAGAATCAGAGCTCGCACTTCTCCGCACTATTTGTGTCATTCGGCCCGCATTGTGGAACCATTCATCACGGTATAAATGGTGAGTGTTTGTTCGAGGTATTTGGGAGAGGAATTGTATATTACCACGGTGAAGGCGCCTAACAGACAAAAGGCACTAGTGATTGGCATGCCTAGTTCTCGGCTCAAAATGACGACACGACACGTTACTCTGCATCTGTGGCTTCCTTGTCCGCACTACTACACAGACAATTGACATCCTGTACGGGCTCACTTTCTTGTGAGACATGAAAGGTGAGAGGGTACTCGTACTCGACTATCTCCCATCAGGGGCTTGGTCGCTGGTCAGTATCTGATGCTGCGTACTCAGCCGTGTACTTACTGATCATCAAGATCGAACCTCTCTTCTCCTCACGGGCTAAAGGCACCCTCAACACACTCATCTCCTTCGTCGAGGATGATTGCCTACCCGCGGAAGCTCTCTTTCACTCACAAATCCCTACTGATCCAGTACAAAGATGGAAGACAATCCCACCTATCGTCCACACCCTTCAGACTCGGGCCAAACAGCTTGGCTTGTGGAACCTTGGGTTACCCCAAGGTGACTCTGGACCTGACGGACAAGGAGAGGGTCTGACCAATCTGGAGGTAAGCGATATTTTACGGATACGCTAAAGAAGCTGAAGGATCAGTATGCAGTTATGGCTGAGATCATGGGACACTGCTTAGAGCTTGCACCTCAGGCGACAAACTGCATGGCGCCGGATAGTGGAAACATGGGTGAGGGGTGTGGTCCCGTCATCACTACTGCTGCCCATCGATCTTTGCACAGCTCTGTTCCATGCTGATAATTCAGAGGTCTTGGCGATGTATGGGACACCACAACAGAAAGACAAGTACCTACGACCTCTGCTCCAAGGAGAGATCCGAAGTAGTTTCTCCATGACCGAATTTGGAGGTTTGTATACAGTTGTACCCTCTACGATATTGTTTTGACGGACAGTCGCCTCATCCGACGCTACAAACCTCCACAACACTATTGCTACACAATCCAGTTCTACACTCATGTTGTCGGGTCACAAGTGGGTAAGCTATCGTCTCACATTCTCTGACGATGTCGCTGATAGACTAGTGGATCTCAGGTGCAGGTAATCCGCAAAACAGATTGCACATTGTCTTAGCCGTGACCCATCCTCAGAATCCTCCTCATCAACGACATTCCCTCCTTTTAGTAGACCCAGGTCAACGAGGGGTCAATGTAGTCAGACCGATGACGATTCTGGGGTATGATGATGCTCCCGAGGGACACTGCGAGGTGATATATGATAACGTTTCCTTGGACCCGGACACCTCCGTCTTAGGTGGGAGGCAAGGATTAGGAAGGGGTTTTGAAATGCTCCAAGCGAGATTGGGGTGAGTCTCAGATTTCATCACTCTATAAACGGTTCGAGACTCAGACTTGAAGTGGGAAAAACAAGGGTCAAGCTGATCTATAAGACCCGGACGGTTACACCATTGTATGCGAGCGTTGGGCGTCGCGGAAAGAGCTCTGGGATTGATGATACAAAGAGTATCCGATCCTCAGAGGAAGACCTTTGGGAAACAACTCAAAGATCATGGTACGTATCACACGTATTACTCCGTAAGCTGACGGGAAGGTACGATCTTATCAGACATCGCAAATAGTCGAGCGGAGATCAATCAAGCTAGAATGCTGGTACTGACCGCTGCCAGAGAGATTGATCTACTTGGAGCCAAGGCTGCGAGGAAGGAAATTGGGGTTGCAAAGGTGAGCGTTCACAATTCTCGTCACCTTCACCTTCACGGGTTTGACTGCCTTGCAGACTCTTGTTACTCATCTGAGCCCTGCAGAATCTCATGCGCAACTGCAAGAAATGCACTCACACGCAGTTTATAGTACCCAACATGGCTCTTCGAATCATCGATCGAGCTATGCAGATCCACGGAGCTGAGGGAATCTCACAGGACACCCCGCTGGCTTATCTATACGCTCAGATACGAACACTCAAATATGCGGACGTGAGTCGGTCTTTCTCCTTCCGTCTCCCAGCATTGCTTACCCATATACAAACTCGACGACAAGTGAAGAATATCAACTAAACAGAGGAAACCGCCCATATCTGCCTACCGCTTCAGTAGTTGTGAAGCTGAAAGTGGTCAAAGCTGACGGAAAGGGGCCCGACGAAGTACATATTCAGCAGGTGGGAAAGCAAGAACTCAACCGGGTAACAGAACTTCGAGAGAGACATCGTAGAGTGCGTGAAAAAGAAGCCGTCACCGGTCCTCGGACCAAAGCGAAGTTATAGCGAGATAGGAAGTGCGTTACGAACACAACTACGATCATTCATGTCAACATCTGCTTTTGACTCGTCCGCACTTCATACGTTCTCTGTTCTAATATATCCTCCTCTGCTTCTCACCGATGTCACCCACCGAAATATACGGTCTTACGAGAATCTCCTCATCCTGACTCGCACCAGAATATGACGAGTCATGCGACCCCCAAAGATTTCCTTATCAACGGCGCCAAGACTCTCCTGGAAAAGTCAGCGGTGTCATCCTTGAAAAGTGACAATACCCCATAGAGTGATGAAACATCTCTGGACTTACACCCATTGATCTCGACACTATCTCGTCAGCCATCTCAGCTACACAACAAACTCCGTCATCAAAACATAGACCAATATGAGATCAATCCCCGAAAGATTATTCCTTCATTCTAAGTCTGACGAACAGCTAAGATGCGCTCTTCAAGCAGTATGATCCTTCAGGATTACTCGTGTATGGTAATAGGGCAACTGGATAGAACATACCTGTTTGGACGTTTTACTCGGGACATGTAACCCAGCTTGGGTCCAACTTCCCGCTCCGTACTTTTCAACATAGGCGAATAATAAACCTCTTTCTTCTGCTGTCCAAGCTGTCGGCATTGTTGGTTGTTCAGTACGAGTAATGATGTTGTTGTCAAACACTTGAAATTACTTATATAAAGGAGTCTTCCAAGTCACTGGTCGATACGGTATCAAAGGACAAGGATCAATCGACGTCACTAGATCTGCGTAACTATGTACGACTGAAACAGGTAAACCTCAAGAATAACCGAAAGGATTACTGATGATGGTCGTCAAGTAAATTCAGCCACCTTGACGACTATCTTCCCTTGGGTTTCATTCCAGTATCAGTTTCATTCTAAGATTCCCATACCCATAAATCCTACTCTTTGGCTCCATCTTACCAGTCTTGACAAATAACATCAAAGAGTACCGTACTGTGTGATTACACAAAAAAACGATGCCAAGCGTCAAATCGGAATCACCGCGTACACCTAAAAAAGAGAAGAAACCATATGACCATCCAAACTCTAGTAGTGGAAGTAAAGGTAGTGGAGGAGGAGCAGGAGGAGGGGGTGGGGGTTCAGCTGTGAAATGGAGTCAGGAAGATAAAGCTATGGTATTTGATCATGTTAGACAAAATGGGGAGAAAGATTGGGATAAAGCTTGTCCAGGTAAAACTTCACAACAGGTTAATTTGATTTTTTTTCACTTTGAACCTTGACCTTATACCTTATACCCTCTTCCTCTTCTGCACCTGATCGTTGACAGTTCATTTCTCTTTCTATTCCTATCCCTGGCAATGTTCTAAATCTTCTTACTACCCTTATTCTCAATTAGAATTCACTTCGCACTCTCACCTGAGAAAGTGACGGATATACCAAAAGTGAACTAATCAAAATGGAAGATGATAGGCTGACGAGATAGTGTCGCGAACAATGGAAGTGAGCTCACTCTATGTTCCATCTTCGTATAAATCACCCCATATTCCATCTTCGTATATACTAGTACTCGAATTATAGTCAGAAATGAGGACTCTGGATTGACGCACAGAAAAACTTTGCTCCCATTTATCAAAAGACAATGTAATCTTTGATCCAAATGTGTCAATCCAATGCATGCAATCAACCAAGCCTGAAAACCGAACACTGTCCAAGATCACCTCACCATCTGAAGGGATACCCTAGACCAGACAATTTAATGCTTGGTCATGTAACCTCCATCGATAGGGATAAGAGTACCAGTTTGGTATGTGTTCTATTTGTCAGCTCCTAACTCCACATCTTGCACCACGACACTTCTAAACAGTCGAGAAATCCAGGAGTTGAAATGACGATCTGACCAATAATGACCTTCCGGAGTGTTGTAGGAGATGAGGGGATTATGAAGATAATGGGAAGGAGAAGGACGGAAAAATAATACCAAAGACTCACAGTTGCGATACTAAGTACCAATCTGACATATTCCGGTGCAGCACCAGGACGACCGAAAGGAATTTCCATCTCTTTACGAGCGAACTGGTATTTCGTCTCTGGGGATTCATCCAGGTTAGTGGTGTTGATACCCTTTTTCGTCAGTATTTGTCTCACTTCCTAATGGGAATTCACAATCTCTCAAGCTTGAATTGACTGAAGGTAGCATCACCGCTCAGACGAGATGACACGGGTGCGCACAACGATCTAGTCGAAAGAATATGACAACATGGGATTTCGTGACTTGGTAATGAACTTTGGTGGAGTGATAGGGAGAAGGGGAGGAAGGGGGGACAAACGTACACTGGGGAAATGACCAGGACAGATAGTGTTGACCCTAACGCCAAGTTCACGTTCGGCGAATTCTGCAGCCATCATGCTGGAAAGGTGGTTGACAGCGGCCCTGTTGATCAGTCTTCGAAACTCATTTTCTTACCGCCCTGGGACAATGGTGAGACGCGGGATATAAGACATCTCATTGCTGGGTGCAACGATCAGGATCGCAAGGAGAGAACTTACTTAGAAGCGTTGTAGTTGAATTGACCACCCTGAGAATCGTTACACAAACCAGAGATACTGCTAACGTTGATCACGCTACCAGGTTGTTTCTTCCCTCCAACTTCGGCCTTGGCCAAAAGGGGAAGAAGAGCCATGGTGGTGAAGAAGTAAGAAGCGCAGTTGATACGGTACATCTCAGTCCTGTAATGTCAGTACTATATACCTTTCATAGTCCTATCACTAGCTCTTGGCATACATGGTGTGATTATGTGATTGAGAGCTTGAGGAGATATCGTCGTCAATGACTGATGTTTCACCGAAAACGACTGAGATGGCAGGCTGTGTTGGGTGGGAAATGAAGGGTGAAGGACAAGTTGGCTCACCACTTCTCAAAGCTCTCAACGGCATCAACGGCGGCGGAGATACCCTCAGCAGTTCCATCTGTCTCGTGGAATTTCAAACCGATGACTTGGATAGCGTGATTGTTGATGAGGACGTTGACGTATTTCTCGTTCTTGACAAGTACGGCTCTAAGGGCTGATTATCAGTACGGAGTTGCGTATCACTGACATGACCTTGGAGGCGCTGACATTTCGAGCTCCGGAATTATCGGACGATTGGAAAAAGACTCACCATCTACACCCTCTTTAGAGCTCATATCGCCAACAACGGGGACGATGCTACCGGTTCCCTTCTTGGGGCTGTATTTCTCCGCAGCAGCATTAACCACATCGGCCCTTCGACCGGTGATGTACACTTTGGCACCGTTCTCAGCGAGACCGAGGGCAGTGATGAGACCGATACCGGTACCACCTCCGGTGACTGAATTATCAGCAAGCTGCCATCGAGCCGATTGCCACCCTGTCCATCGCTTTCCTCTCCCTCTTCCTTTCGAGAAATCCTATTACATGGGGGGACGGAGTAGAGGAGCAAGGCGCAGTGGACTACCACAAGCTATGCGCAAAGCAAACAGGGAATTCAAGTGACTCACCAACAGCGACTTGACCAGAGACGTCAAAGAGGTTGGAAGAACTCAATTGACCCGGGGTAAGAGAGTCGGCGAGAACGTTCCCATATTCCGTGCGGTAAGATTCAACGACCATTTTGATATTGTTGTTACTACAGTTGTTGGATGAAGAAAGAAATGATTGATGAAGAAAAGACGATGAAGAGAGAGAAAGATTTGTAGACGCAGAAAGTGGTGATCTAGTCCGTGTCTGGTAGACTTTGTATAGTCCGGCAAACCGCCGGCGCGGGGCTCTGAACATGTAGGGGATCTCTTGAGCTGAGAAAAGTTGTATAACCGGGTGCCGACAGACGACTGCCGCGAGTTTTTATAGCGTTTGGGGGTTAGCACGAAAGACATGAGGGACAGAATGGCAGGAAAAGAGGGGCAAGAGATCGAAGGGGTATGAGTGAGATGGAGTAAATGCGGAATCTCGGCCCGATAACACCCGGGGTCCCCATTGCCGCCGGTAATTTGAATCTCAACCATTCATCTACCATGTTCATGGTTTCTCCCAAACTACAATTCTTTCTTAGACTTTAAGATTTCGGTCTTGGTACGAGTGTATGATGAACCCAACATACTTCTCCAGGCTTCCTTCGAGGGCCCGAGGTTGACCAAAGCGCGAGCGATACCCAGCGTAGCTAGTAACATCATGCAAACGATCGTCCCTTCGTCTTCTCTCATTCCTAGTCCATAATTCCACCCTTGTACAGGTCCAATAAGAAATAGGAAGACAGTAGGAATGAGAATCGCACCCCACATATCCATGATCATCCATCCTTTCGGTCGTAATTCGACAGGGGCGGTCCAAGTGGGAGTTGGAGAGAAAAAGTTTAGACCGGTGAATACAATCGCTGCGAAGGGTACGGCGAGTATGAACGGTACGAGCAGTAAGGTAGTTGGTGTGGCAGGTAGAGGGTGAGAATGTAAAAGGGGAACGATGGAAAATCGCGTGAGGAGAAGGGTACGACTCATAGCGTCAGGTATGGCGATAGGTAATTCCCAAGTGAGAGAAGGTGTCGGGGGCAGGAGTCGTCGGAGAGGTGTACGTGTTTGTAAGATGTGTATCAAGCTAAAGAGAAGAGGGATTTTGGGTGAAAGAAGCCAAGAAGGTGGGGTACCGGTACAGAGACCTGTCCATCAGCAATCAATCTTGTAGGACAATCAACGTCAGGGGAAACGAATGTGACTTACCTAGAAAAGTCTCACCGCCAAATACAATCACCATGATCCCTGTCAGCTCTTGTAAGAGACTTGCTCTCGACTTTTGTTCTCTTTTGAAACTTTGATTGGTCTTTTCACCATCATTGGGAGTGGCATCGAATACTCCTCTGGCATACCAGTCCACGACGGAAGACAGACGCATCGCTCCGAAGATGTCGAGGGGGGCGATGGGAAAGTATGGATGGATTGGCTGTGCTAATGACCTCACATAGCTGTCTAAAGTGTTCAAGATGGACATGATGTCTCTCCCACCCCTCGCGATCGCCAGAAGTCGAGGCATCAACAAAAGCATACTGTAGAGGGGTTGGGTGATGGTGGGGGGAGGAGGCGGAGATGTATCTGATGTCCGTGTCCGGCTGAAAGGCAGATCGGCCATCTTCGGCTCTGACCGAATTTTCTTTTTCAACAAAAATCCACCGCTTACAACTCCGCTCCTACGACTTCTACAATACTTCATCTCAACATTGTGTCTGGGAATATCAGACGTCATTGTTCACTGCTGACGACGACTTAATAGACGAGGCGATAGGGCCTCTTCTGTGTTTCTACGAGTTGAGAAAAAAATTCGACTCAAATATATTGGAAAGACCATGTCAAGCTCTCCAAAATATCCCTTCTGGTGAGTCCTTCATTCCTCTCGTCATTCGAAATACTTATGCGACTAGGCTTGGAGGTGGGTCTTTGAATTATGACATAGGATTTTATCATTGACGCCATGCTTTCAAAATCTTCTCTACGCTTATGCCCCCCCACTGATCATCCTCCCCCACGTTCGTCTTACTGCTCCATATGCTTGTCGTTCTCGGCCATCCCGGTCCGGCCGTTCGGTAACAGGTGCTGCTGCCTCTAGTGAGTATCTCTTTCTGGTCACCATCCACTACACATTCATAGAAGTCCTGTCATCTCTATCCGACTTTGAGGTCGGTCTTTGCTGAGATGTCACCGGCTTCGGGGATGTCATAACGGGGAGAGAAATTAGATGATCAAACCGGGCCGAAAAAAGTGACTGATCCGATCAGTGGCTGCATGTTGTACTCACCCCTTGGACGTTTTGAGAGTGTAAGTTGTACTTTTTCCTCATAGCAATTTGATGACTGATAGCTCAGTCGGATGCAAACTACAACTGCTCGAACAGGAGTTCTCACAGCTGCTCGGGAAGTCGTACATCAAGCAGGTGAGCTCTGATTCAATTCGCCTGTACCTTTGCCTTATACCTAGCTGATTGGAAGGTCCTAGAGGATTGTACATAGGTCTAACAGCGAGCATCTTCCGACAGATGACATATAGCGTCACACGTTTGGGGGCGTATGAAGCTCTGAAATCGTCCGTGTCAAATGGAGGTAAGCTCTTTCCTGGAATCAGACCAAGTGCTGAGACTTCAGGTCGGAGGAAATTGAGGACTAGCGAGTTGGTTTTGTGTGCAAGTGGTGCTGGAGCGTTAGGAGGGATAGCGGGTAATCCAGCAGGTGAGTGAGGTGCAAAGTAATGTTGGGAGTGGAACTGATAAGGAGATATCATATTAGTGAGAATGGTGGCGGATCCTACCAAACCGCCAGAGCAGAGGGTGCACTACAGAAATGCGTTACATGGATTATGGCGGATGGTGTCGGAAGGCGGGGTGGGTAGTTTGGCTCGTGGTTTGGTCCCTAATACAGTGAGTTGTTTCTGGTGTCTTTCTCACCGCATTCTACACTTCAATATCTTATAACATCCACTCTCTCTATCCTGCGATGATGAACCTTGATCCGGATTGAAGAAAGTCCATATCCTGTGTCGGGAAGTTCATATAACACCAACCGACGTCTTTCTGTGTCCGCCCATTCGATTCATAGGTGTATGTATATCTTGAGGTGAAAGGGGGTGGGATGGAGGTCATTTCGTCAAAAGTATAGAAAAAACTGTCTCTTTGCTAAATGAAAGATCCGTGCAACGTTAATGAACGCATCCCAACTCGTTTCATACGATTTCTTCAAGGATCTTCTCCTATCACAATCCCTCATGACCAACGGTATCCCACTTCACTTTGTCGCCTCCGCTTTCTCAGGAACAGTAGCAACTACTATCTGTGCTCCCGCCGATGTTCTCCGGAGTAGGGTTATGAATGCTCATTGTGGTCGAGGTCCAGTGGCTTTGTTAGTGGAAGCTTTGACACATGAAGGTCCGAGAGTAATGTTTAAGGGCTGGTTACCAGCGTGGAGTGAGTACAAGTCACACCTCTTTTCCTCTCCATCTTCATGTCATACCCCATGCCACAATCGAACGATATTCGTCCAAAGCACATGCTCTGTGATTGACGGCTGTGACTCTAACGTGAGGGGGCAGGCAAAAGGTGAAAGATAGGTAAGTGTGGGCTAATGAACAGTTCGTCTGACTCCAAATACAATTTGCATGTTCATCTTCCTCGAACAACTTCGCAATGCCGTTGATTTTGTCCGGACCCGACCGGCAATTCAAGCTTCACATTCTGTCTGATTACATTTTCTCTTTCTCATCTCCCCTAGAAAAGAACTTTCCCCCACCTCACTGGTAATTTGAAAAGTTCATTATTTATTGGTCGGCAAGAACTATCAAAATTATCTATAGCTGTGAATTGTCATTTTGGGTATTGGGTTGCTCAGCTGTATTTTTCGTAGATGATAGATTGTAGATCTGTAGACATTAATGATTTCTTTTTCGTTAATACTAGCGTGCCAACCTGTCAAATTGACAGGCCCGGTCTCTCGCCTCTCGAGCTGACTTTGTGGACCCTTGGATTCTCTTCCTCTCTTCTCTCTCACCCGCACTTTTCACTTGTGCAACTGTGAACATCTAGTCTCTCTCTCTCTAGTCTCTCTCTCTCTCTCTCTCTCTCTCTCTCTCTCTCTCTCCCCCTCCCCCTATCGTCTCGCTTTGACCCTGCGGGCCTCGCCGCACCCCACGTGGTTTGTCTCCACGTGGTTTATCTCGAGGGTAAATCTGTTATTGTAAGTAGACTAGTGTTCCAACCCGTGAAATTCACGGGAGCAACTGCAGATGGTTAAGATGAATTTAGTGTATGCCCCAGTTCTCTAGTTGAACCATGCAGATCGAATTTCTCTAAGTTCATGCATAGCATACGCCCCAGTTCCCCCCCACCCAGACACTACAATTCACCCCTCTACGCCCCAGTTCCCCACATGTGGGGGCTACTTACACTTTATACACTACACACTATAAGTCTAATCTAAACTGCAAACCTATACACATTACATATTAAGCAGCCCTGGCTGCCAAGAGCACATCCTTATACACAATATTCTTTGTCTCACCTCTTCTCCCCTCCTCTGAATCCTCCAGCAAAACCTTGAGACCGTTCTTGAAGCGTGCCCGAGAGAGACCAACATACAGCTGACCATGGGTAAATACCGGCTTTGAGAGACATAAGCCGACTGTTGCGAGAGATTGCCCTTGTGCCTTGTTAATTGTGAGAGCAAGACCGACTCGTATGGGAAATTGACTACGACGCAAGGTGAAAGGTAGGTTAGAGGATTTTGCTGTGTTGAGTTTGATACGCGGGATGAAACACTTATTCGAATGGAAGTCGCCCCCAAGAATGCACCCCTCAATAACATTTGGTAGAAGACGTGTCACATAGATCCGAGTACCGTTGCAAAGACCTGCAGCTGGATCCAAGTTACGCAGTAGAAGAACTGTTCCCCCAACTTTTACAACTGTCTTGTGAAGAGGGAATCCGCCAATTGTGATTGAGTTGAGATATTCAATTGGCCAGAGTTGCTGATTCAAGGGTTGAGCACGCGGGTTCGAAATACCGTCATTCTCCACGATCCAATCTGCACTGAGGTACGTCCGAGATTCCCCACTAAGCTGGCCAAGGAGGGTCTTGTTCAACTCATCAACTTCGGTGTTGGTTGGAGCAAGAACTGCACGGTCTGCAAAGTACTGAAGAGCAGCTTCTGTTGTCGGAAAGCTCTGAGCCAGGTTGGGATAGACATGCTGCAGCAACTCATTTGTTGACTCCACCTGCAATTCCAGAGGTATTCTCAAAGCGTCTGACTGTTCCCCATCTACCAAACCATCCTCTACCCTGAGAAGCCACTCTGCAAACCCACTTGCTTCCTCCCTCTCAATATCAGACATCTCTGCACTCTGAAGCCGCATGTTGATAGTAAGTTTGAGCCGTTTTACCTTCTGCCACAGACGTGAGCTGGTCAAACATGCGCTCTTGATCTGTGCTTGACTCCCTTTTGGCACCACCGGCAAACATTGTCGAAAGTCTCCTGCAAATACCACTACCACCCCTCCAAATGGCTCTTCAGATCCCCGCACATCCCGAAGCATGCGTTCTACTGCCTCTGCACAGTGTCGATGCTGCATGGGCGCCTCATCCCATATGATCAGCCTGGTACGCAAGAATAGCTTTGCAAGTTCACTCTGTTTTGAGATGCTGCACTGGGAGTCGCCATGAATGTCGATTGGAATTTTGAACCGGGAATGGGCTGTGTGTCAACTCTGCACTCAAGGAAATCAACACGGCTCACCTGTACGGCCACCCTTTAGAAGGATTGCACATATACCTGAAGATCCAACCATCAAGACAATGTCACCTTCCCCTCGCAAAACCGCTGCTACCGTATTCTCCACAAATGTCTTGCCACAACCACCTGGACCATCAAGGAAAAAGCACACGGATGTCCGAGCCCTGGTTGCCTGAACTACATCGTTGATGACTGCCTGTTGTTCTGGATTTGCAAGGGCCATGTTGAGGGTGCTGGTCTGCTGCAATTCTCGCATGTTGTAAGCTAATTCCTCGTTTATGATGCGGCTATCATTGTCTTCCGGAAACACAATTGTTGGTTCAGGTAGATAACACCCAGCCAGACTCTTCCCCCTCTCTTCAAGCAAACCCCCCAGGAGATGTAACGCGTAGGAGAGCCGCTCCTCCACACTTGGGTTCTCCATCCATCCCTTCTGCCGAAGCATGTGAACACAATCATCACTCAACGCCATTGAGTGTGTCTCCCACAGGTCCGCCGGGCTGGAGGGTTGATTTTCTACCAAAATGATCACAAATAGTCGACGTAGCTGAGATCCAGAGGCATATGTTGCAGCTTGGGTAAGGCATTCATCAAGATCACGGTCGTCATCAAGTAGGCCAAGGGCAACACAGGCGGCTCGAAAGGTCGGATGCAGAGTATGATCAACGGAACGGAGACTTTCAAAAGATGTTGGGCAGGGAACATGATAGAGCAGAAGTCGCAGATAATAGAGCTCCCCAGATTGAGGACCGGCAAAATACACTCTCCCGATAGCTGTTCCACGTTTCCGAGGCTTCCAAGCACGTTCCTTGGTGTGCCAACAGAGTAACTCGGGTACATCGGCATATATCTTGTCACGGAGTAACTCTGAATAGGTCTCGCAAGCTTTGAAATACCCCAATAACCGGCTGTTGCGCTGAAGTTCCTCTGGTAGATTTGCACGTTCGTCTTCAGGTACAAACTGCACTTGATCTTCGTCTGGAAGATGGAGCTGAAGACGCTCCACCGGAGGGAAGTGGCCATGCATGGGATTACCACTTAGTCGCCAAACAGCTGTTAAAACATTAGCTGAGCAGTAAAATTCTATTATGACTCACCTTCAGACTGTCACGACCGTCGAACAACTATTTCTTAATAGACCGACGGTCGACGAACCTCGGCTAACTTCACGCTCTGAGTCGATGTCTCACCCAACCAGGAGGGCGCAGACGTCGAAAGGGGTGTAACTACGGCGTACTTCGGCGTAGTTACTCTAACTAGGGTTTTGTTCTACTGATGGCGATGTATCTTGATTTATAGCTATCTCTATCTGTCTTTCACTACTGACAACAATCAAGGATCGCTGAAGAACTTCAGCGATCTTCTCAGCTAATATTATCTACTCCTCCTAGACGTTCATCCAACCCTCTCGCGCTTTGACGTACTTCAACGCACTTCGTCCAACTTCCCCGAGCCCTCGGCCATCCTCTTCCTCCTTCGACTAACTCCGCCTAACATCGCCGCACTTCTGCTCCCATTGTCCCTACTTAGCCTAACTCCGCCTAACATCGCCGCACTTCTGCTTCCATTGTTCCTACTTAGCCTAACTCCGTCTAACTTCGCCGTACTTCTGCTCCCATTGTCCCTACTTAGCCTAACTCCGTCTAACTTCGCCGTACTTGGTGTCAGAAGTCCTGAGTTACGTGTAGAGTAAAGAGGTTAAGGCGTGATGGGGTTTTGATGGCCAAAGGAGGGTCATTGTTGGTGGAGTAATCGAGGTGTCACGACGTAGTTCGTGACAGTCGCCCCCTTCTTTAGCCGTGAACGTCCTCGTGAGCGATTACACCTCTGTCGTGGCAAGAGAACTTAGCAGCGTAGTACCCCCATTCTCTCCCTCCCCACGACCAACCTTCACTCTTCTGCTCTTTGCGCCGCACTTCGTAGTTGGGCCTCCTTTCACTCCAGAACCCGACAATGAGACTCCCCTAACTTCGTCGAGGTTTGCCGTAAGAAGCCCTGTGTCTTTTGTAGGTGAGACACGCTTCCTGAATGGCAGCCGAACAACACCGTTGTTTGTCGAAGTAACCCTCGCTTATATTGAGATGAGACACTATAGCGTGGGAATTTTGATCGTCCCTGCGATGCCTTTTGTTGATGAAACGCGAAGTTTGCTGCATGTTGACGACGAGGGGTTAGGTTTGATTATACTAAATACTGAGCAGTTCGTCGAGCTTCTCTCTTTTTCCCATCTGCTTTCAAAACTTTCTATCTCTCTTACCTAGAAAACAGATTTGTTACCTTGAATCATCGCCTCGAGTTTTATTCTCTTTTAAATATCTTAACGTCATGGCCCCTTCTACTCCTACACCCAGCCCTTTCGCCGCCATGAGGAACTTTGGTGGTATGGTGTCATCTGCTCGTGAGTTTTCATCGAGTTTTCATCGATACTCACCCTACCTCGCCGAACTTGGCTGATGTTCAGTTTCTTTCGGCGACAGATCTCGCCAAGTCTCCTCCCTCGGCCTCGGCACTCTCTCTCTGGGGGAGCCGTCTGGCGCTGCCCCGCCCCCTCGCTCCGCCTCTCCCTCCGCTGGTTCTCCCGTCCCCGTAACGGGTTCTCCTGGAGGGCCTCCTCCTGCCGCCACTCCTCGCCGTAGGACGCCCGCCTTTCGTCCTGGTGAGTCTCCGTCCTCCTCCGACCAGGACTCGCTCAGTGGGGGCTCGGAGTCGGGTGATCGACCCGACACCGAAGAAAGTGAGGATGATGATGATGGGGAGGGTAGGATCGATAGTGAGGGTGAAAGCGAGTTAGAAGAATACCCGGATGATGATGTGGAGGTGATTAGTGTAGAGGACAACAACGTAGATAGTCCTGAGCGTGAGTTCTTCGTCCAACCTCTCACACCTTCGCCGAACTTGGCCTTGTTTATCTGTTCTTTAGCTCTCCAAGACATTGCTAACTCGCAGCCGCTCCTGCCCCTCCCCCTGCTCAAATTGTGGGCCAGAAACGACGCCGTTCCCTCTCCTCTTCTTCTTCTTCCTCTTCTTCTTCCTCTTCCGGGCTTCTCCCCCCCCCCAACGCCATCGCCGCTGCCGCCGCTGCTGCCCCCGCCCGCCCTGCCGCCGCCATCGCCCGCTCTGCCGCCCCCGCCGCCGCCGCCGCCGGTCCTGCTGCCGCCGCCCCCGTCGCTGCTCCCCCCCCTTCTCCCAGAGGGGAGCCTTCGCCCAAACGGGTGAAGAGATCACTGCGGGAAGAAGAGTACTTGTGGGAGAAGATGAAGTCTGAGCCTGGTCGTTGGATCGCGGTTGGTGTTGACGAAGCGTGTGATCGTTGCCGGTGAGTCCACCTATTCGTTCTACGCCGAAGTTACTCCTGCTAATTAGTAGACGTGAGATTATCACGTATAATCGTCCAAACTGGCCCTGTCTCAAGGCAGTCAGGCCACACAACAAAGCCCTCCGTTGTGCTTCATGCACGTCTGGCCCCTGCTCCTTCTGTCCCGTCTCCTCTGCTCGGGACATCCCGCCCCGTCCCTCCGACTCTTCGCCTTTCCCCCCTCCTCAGACTCCAGCGTCTGTCCCCCGTTCGCGGGTACCTCCTTCGTCTCTCCGGTCGGTTCGCCGTACTTCGCCGGACCTCCGCCCGTCGCCTCCGTCGCCGTCGTCCTTCGGCCTCTGCTCCTTCGGCCTCTGCTCCTTCGGCCTCTGCTCCTTCGGCCTCCCGTCCTTCGGCCTCTCGTCCTTCGGCGCCACGTCCGTCCTCTCCAGTGGTAGCTTCTCCTCCGGCTCACAGCACCCGAAGTCGGCGTCCTTCTGTTCCTCCGGCCGCTTCGGCGGCCCCTCCCGTCACCCCTCCCTCTGCTTCCCAGAAGACACCGAAGTCTTCTTTAAAGAAATCAAAAGGGAAATCTAAAGAGAAGGAGGTTGCCTTCAATGATGGTGATGTGGAAGGTGAAGATACTCAGCGTGCTGGTCCCTCTGCTCCCCGGTTGTCCCTCGTCCACCCTCGTATCTCCCTGGACGTCCGTATTCCTGAGGACGAAAAGGAATTCGCCACTTATCGTTCTCTCGTCCTCGGTCTCACTACTCAGCTCGAGGCCGCCCGAAATGATACATCTCTCCTGCTTGACTTCTCTTCTCGTCAAGCTAACGCTTTAAACAATCTTACTGCGGCGTTAGTAGATGTAGTCAACACTGGGGCTCTGGACGACGAAGCAAGGACGAGGTTAGCGGACGTCTCTCGCCGAAGCCTTACTGAGATAGCCGATGTTCGCCGAAGATTGTTCGACACCCCCTTCCTAGTCACTCCTATGGCGTATGAGCCACCACCGTCCCTTGACTGGTTAGGTCGCCGTAGTAGTTCTCGTGTCCCAGCTTCCGCCCAGGCTGCTCTCGACCTCCTCAGTCTTCCCTTCGAGTGTCTACGGACCATACGTTCTCTGTGGAGGACTCCGAGCATGCAAGCTGCTCGAGATGTCCAGGACTTCGGTGACTTCTTCGGGGCTATGAATCGGGCATGGAATGCTTCTCTCTCTACTGCGTTCCCGTCTGAGACTCTCGATCTACCTTCGGTCATCGGTAGCCTCCACACCAATCCCGCGGGACCGAGTAGTTCGAAGGAGAAAGGAAAAGGAAAAGGTAAGGGTAAGAGTAAGGACAAGTGAGCGGTACGTAGCTGTAATCCTATGTTGTATGCAGTACGTTCTATCTCCTAGCCCTTCGCAGTCGCCCTTCTTTCGGCTTAGTAGGGTGAAGTTCGTGGAACTTCGCCAATATGTCATCAGCTCCATCGACGTTCTCCACTGGTTCCCATGATACTGAATCGTCTGTTCCTTCGTAACCTAACCACTCCACCAAGTACTCTAACTTTCCTGACCTCTTATTTACTCTAGAGTCCACAATATCCTTTACCTCCCAAGACTCTCCCACATTGTCTACTTCTACTGGCCCAGGTGGCTCAGCTTGCTGACCAGGAAATATTGGAGGGTGATAAGGACGGAGCAAGGAGACATGGAATACATCATGGATACCTGCCATCGTTCCTGGTAATTCCAATTTACAAGCATGAGAACCTACCTGCCGTACTACCTTGTACGGCCCACTTTGCTTAACATCTAACTTCTTCATTGGTCTCTTCGTCTTAATATTCTCTAACGACAGCATCACTAGGTCTCCTTCCGCGAAGTTCGGCGTAGTCCGGTGTTTCCTATTGTATCCTTCGGCGTACTTCTCATTAGCTTTCTCAATTCCTTCGATACAATCTTTGTGTATTTCAGTCAAGTCTTTTACCACCACCGTAGCAGCGGGCACTTCGACCTCGCTAGCCTTTATCTCTTCAGCCCAACGAGGGTGATATCCATAGTTCGCATAGAATGGGGTTTTGTTTATCGCAGAGTGCTGGGTGTTGTTGTAAGCAAAGCTAGCTCGAGCGAGTAGCTTTGACCAGTCGTTCTGCTGATAGGAGGTGAAGATTCGAAGATACAGTTCCAAAGACTGGTTGGTTCGTTCGGTCTGTCCGTCAGTCTGTGGATGATATGCAGTAGAGAGATGTAGTCTTATTCCGAGACTATCGGTCAAATTCTTCCAGAACTTGGAGGTAAACTTCGATCCCCTGTCCGATACTATATTCTCTGGCAACCCATGCTGGGCCACCACATAGTCCAATATCAACTCTGATAGGCCGGCTGCGGTTAACTTCGTCGTAGTCGGGATAAAAATGGCCCATTTGGTCAACCGATCCACCACTACCAGGATGGAGTTATATCCATGGGAATTTGGCAGCTCCTCGATAAAATCCATCGAGATGCTAGACCAAGGTTTCGTAGCTACCTCCAGTGGTTTAAGCTCTCCATGGGGTTTCTGTCTGTTAGTCTTTGCCCTCTGACATACCGCGCATCCAGCGATGTAGTCCTCAACATCCTTCCTTACTCCAATCCAGACATAGTCCCTTAGAACTAGCTCAAGGGTCTTCGCTGAACCTGGGTGACCAGCTAAGGCCGAGTCATGTCGCATTTTCATGATCTTCAGCCGAGCATCGGCGTAGTTCGGCACATAAATGCGATCGTCGAATGTGAGGAAACCTCTTGAGTTCCACCCCCCACGAAGGATTAGAGGAGACCGCGAACTACGGCGTAGTTCGGTGATTGATCCTGGTTCCTGCACGTTATCGTTACACGTAGGATGAGAACACTCAGCGCAAACGACTCCTAATAATTCTTCTCTGACCCCTTCTATGTCTTCGTCCTCCTGAACTCCAAGTACTAGATCCATAGGGTCCACAAGATCATTTTCCTTTACCTCCCTTGTCCCTTGCAATGCTCGAAGGAGGTGACGCAACTCCGACGTGGTGGCGTCAACTTCGTCGAACTTCGGCAGACCTTGGATAAGGTTGCTCTCTTGTACCATGGTACTTCCTTTCCCGGAATGATAGTCCGCCCGTCTAGATAATCCATCTGGAAGACTTGCCTGGGTTCCTGGCCGATAAACCATTTTAAACCTGAAGTTAGCTAGCTCCTCTACCCACCTACCTTGCCGAGGACTGAGTTGTTTCGGCTCCATCCAGTAGGTAAGGTTTAGATGGTCGGTAAGTACTGTGGTTTCTACCTGCAATAATAAGTGTCTCCTTCTTCTGAAACCCTCCACTACAGCGAGGAACTCCTTTTCTCCTACCGTATAATTCAGCTGAGCTGTGTTGAAAGCACCAGACTCAATAGCTACCGGGTGTTCTTGACCAGCCGTGTTGATCTGCGAAATTATGAACCCCCAGCCGAAGAACGACGCATCTGTCTGTAATATCGTCTTCAATGTAGGGTCAAAATGGGCTAATACCGGCGCAGTACACATCCTAGCCTTCAACTCTTTGAAGGCTGACTCCTGTTCGACTCCCCATACAAATGGTACCTCCTTCCTTGTCAAGTCATTGATAGGTCTAGCAATCTTCGAGAAGTTGGGGACAAAGCGCCTGTAATAGCTTACAACTCCAATGAATCCCCTTGACTCTCGTAGATTCTTAGGACGTGGGAAGGAAGTGATGGCATCAATGTATTCTGGGTTCACCGATACACCTTTAGAGGATACCACGAAACCCAGAAACACCACCGAATCTCTTTCGAACTCGCACTTACTAGCTTTCACGTACAGGCTCGCCTTCCGCAGTACCTCAAAGACCTTCGCCGTAGTTCCTCGTAATTCCTCCAACGTATTCCCATAAATGAGGATATCGTCAATGTAGACCACGACTCCATTCCCTAGTAGCTCTCTAAACACCTCATTTAGGAAGTGTTGGAAGACCGCGGGGGCGTTTCGCAGCCCATCACGAACAACCAGAGATTCAAACATACCATACTGTGTCCTGAACGCCGTCAGGTGTTCATGTCCCTCTGTCACCCTCAACAATTGGTATGCTCCAATTAGATCTAGTTTGCTGAAATACCTTGCTTTTCCAAGTTCTTCGGTAATTTGACCTATTAGAGGGAGAGGGTAGGCATCTGGTATGGTCGCTTCGTTCAGTTTTCGATAGTCGATGACCATTCGCCATTGTCCTTCGGCTTTCTTCGGTATCATAAACATTGGTGAGCCGTATGGCGAGTTACTTGCCCGAATTCGGCCAGCGGCGATTTCGCGATCTAGTATGTCTCTCAGCGCGCGTCTCTGATCTTCTCCTTGAGCATAGAGGGAGGCGACCTTAAGGTTCGCCCCCTCCTTAAGCTCAAACTTCAAATCGTAGGACCTTGAAGGGGGAAGGGTCTCTCCTCCCTTCTTCGGATTAAAAACGTCAATGTACTGGTGGTATTGTTCAGGAACTACCTGGAACAACTCGTCTTGTTCCTCCGGGCTCAGCTCTTCAAGCTCATCTTTGCCGCGGAGGTCTATCGCGTCCGTCAGAGTCGGCAGCCCTATGGCCGCTAACTTCGCCGCACTTGGTGGGGTTGGGATGGGAAATTTCACCGAGTTGTCTCTTCCATCAAGGACAACCCCTTCCTTCCTCATCCAATCCCACCCTATCACAACATCTGCGTCGCAGAGCGTTGTTACATCGAGACAAACAGATCGCACTTCGGCGTCCTTCGTCAAACTAAATCCGACTTCGACAAACTCGGTGATGGGTCCAGCGACACTCACCGAGCCGTCGAACATGTGAACGGGTACGCTCACCTGATATCGCCTCTTTTCTACACCTATCTTCGCTGCTGCCTTAGGGCTTATATATGAACAAGTAGCTCCAGTGTCCCAGAGCGTAGTTAGCTTTATTCCATTAATGAAAATGTCCGATTTAGGTTGATCTCTGGAAACGGAAGGGATGAGGAGATGATTATCGACATTGCATGAACAAGGGGTACTGAGTGGTGTATTTTTGTATTCACAATCCTCTGGCTCCATCAGCTGTGTTTCTTTTATGGGTTTGGGAATGGTGGCCGAGAGAATATGGCGGACCCGCCGAGCCTCGCCTACTGCGACAGGTCCTCTTCTTTTCCCTGGTCCTCTTCCAAATCTACTTCTCCTCCAACCGCATTCAAGTTCCTCCTCTGTCCGAGAGGTACTGCGTTCCCTCCCGATCCTCCACCACGTTCTCCGAACTTCTCCCCCCATGGAGGCAACAGTCCAACCTTAACCTTAGCCTCCCTTACAGGGCATTCCTTCAGCCAATGTCCTGCTTCACCACACTCGGTACACTTCCCCTCCTTCCTCCTTGTCTCCCTCAGATCGGAGCTCGGCCTAGGCCATCTTCGGCGAACTTCGTCGATGTTTGGTGGTGTACTCTTTACCACCGTCGACATCATAGCCGCCTGGACACCACCCTGCGCCGAAGGTTGCCCCTTTTCCCATTTCTTCTCTTCTTTCTTCTCCGTCCTCTGACTTTCCACCACTGTCGTTGTCCTTATCCCTCCTTCCCTTTTCCTCTCTGCCTCCTTCTCCACTTGTCTCCTCCACAGGCGGTTGTCCAAGGGAATCACAAACTCCAATAGCTCTTTCACAGTCCCAAACGATCTACCGTGTCTTGCAATTTCATCTAGAAGGTGCGATTTTAGTCCTTTCTTGGCTCGGTCAACTAGGTTTCCATCATCAGACCACTTAAGAATCGCAACATGTCGCTGGAAGGCGGAGAAGTAGTCCGAAGCAGACCCGGTTTGCTTGAGGTCGTTAAGTTGTCGGGCCGCAGTTCCTTCTTCGTCTGGATCACCAAAGTTAGTCTTGAGGTACTTAACGAACTGATCGTGTGTCGTGAGGTACTCAGGAAGAGGTCTTTTGGATAGATCGGGCTGCACTGCAAGAAGAGGTGTTTCGCGTAGATGAGAGATCATGAAAAAGACTTTCTTAGTGTCGTCGGGGAAAAGATGAGAGTTCAATTCGAAATGTACGTCGCACTCAGACAGAAAGGCGGTTAACTTGTTCCGATCTCCTCTCCAGAGGTCTGGGTTAGGTAGCTTTATCCCCTTCCGTTGTTCGCCCACTACGCTTGGGGTCGCCGAAGTTTGCCGTCCCATGGCGTACCTCACTCCTTCTGATATCCCTTCTGCAATCCCGCCCACTGTATCCCTTTCTCTTCTCTGTTCCCATTCCTCCCTACGCCTTCTCTCCTCCATCATGTCTTTGTTCATATTCGCCACCATCTGCATCAAGGCCAACACCACCCCTTGTGTTCCTTCTTCTCCCAAGTTCGCCGTACTTCCAGTGTTTTCTCTTGGGCGTGGGGTTTGGTCTGATCCAAGTGGGGATCCCGCAGGTGGGAGAGCATTAGACGGAGGAGAAGGAGGGTTAGAAGGCACCGGTGGAACGAACTCATCTCCTTGAATTGATCCCCCCACACTATCCTCCACTCCAAGGTCCTGCCCCATTGCTCTGCTAAGCTCCTCCAATGCTCTCCTCTCGTTCTCCTCCATCCTGTCTCCATCCCTACTCATCCCTCGTGTAATTCTTCTTTCTGGTTCCATATTATCTTTGTACTTCTCCGAGGTTCGCACGGGTCGTCGGTAAGAGCGATCCTTGATACTGTCACGACCGTCGAACAACTATTTCTTAATAGACCGACGGTCGACGAACCTCGGCTAACTTCACGCTCTGAGTCGATGTCTCACCCAACCAGGAGGGCGCAGACGTCGAAAGGGGTGTAACTACGGCGTACTTCGGCGTAGTTACTCTAACTAGGGTTTTGTTCTACTGATGGCGATGTATCTTGATTTATAGCTATCTCTATCTGTCTTTCACTACTGACAACAATCAAGGATCGCTGAAGAACTTCAGCGATCTTCTCAGCTAATATTATCTACTCCTCCTAGACGTTCATCCAACCCTCTCGCGCTTTGACGTACTTCAACGCACTTCGTCCAACTTCCCCGAGCCCTCGGCCATCCTCTTCCTCCTTCGACTAACTCCGCCTAACATCGCCGCACTTCTGCTCCCATTGTCCCTACTTAGCCTAACTCCGCCTAACATCGCCGCACTTCTGCTTCCATTGTTCCTACTTAGCCTAACTCCGTCTAACTTCGCCGTACTTCTGCTCCCATTGTCCCTACTTAGCCTAACTCCGTCTAACTTCGCCGTACTTGGTGTCAGAAGTCCTGAGTTACGTGTAGAGTAAAGAGGTTAAGGCGTGATGGGGTTTTGATGGCCAAAGGAGGGTCATTGTTGGTGGAGTAATCGAGGTGTCACGACGTAGTTCGTGACACAGACGCAGAAACCCAGCGTGCATCAATGTAACGGTTGATCTCATCAAGATCCACTTGATTGGGAACAACCGCCACGTTTGCTCGATCATGTCCCTTGTAAACATATTTGAACATATACTTCACTGCACTGATTGAAGTGCAAACCTCTACATTGATGTGTGCATTGAATCGAGCTGATAAATACGGATTGTAAGGAACCACATGCTGATTGGTATATGTAATGCGGTTCTTGGTCCATGACCGCCCATTGTCTCGTCTTCGGTAAACAGGGTAACCATCTTGCTCCATTGTTGTCTCCGGTTGAAAAGCCCAGGGGAACTTCTTTGAACATCGGCCATCACGACGCATCTGGGCTTGGCATCGATCACTGCATGTATGCAGCATACAGGATGTTACAACCTTGAAAAGCACAGGCTGAGTCTCCTCACAGGGGAGTTTAGCACATACAATCTTGTCAACATCGGCCGGTGTGCGTGGTTTGTCATCTGGGGCAAGGCACATGAGCAGATGACAGTGTGGAAGCCCCCGTTTCTGAAACTCAATAACCCAAATCCTTGCGACCACCTTCTCATCAGCAATTTCACCTTTAGCAGATACTATTAACGTACCTTTCCCAATACTCCCAACTTAAAAAACTCGTGCAGCATGGCGTCAAGCTTGAGTGCAAAGACTCTTGAGACCAAGTCAGGGCGGTCTTGAGCGGTCTGTCCTGGTTCCAACTCTTGAGTGATCTCCGTCCAGGTGGGATTGCATGTGATCGTTACAAATAGGTCAGGCTTTGTCACGTGTGAGACAATAGCCATGGCGTCCTGGTACAGGGCGTGCATCTGACGCGGTGAACCGGCAAATGTTGAGGGGAGCACCACCTTTTTGCCTACATCAACCAAAGGAATCCCAGCATCAACTGCATCCACCAATCCCTTGTAAGATTCAGCTCGGAGAGTGGTTTGATTCTCTCGGATCCATCGCAGACGGTTTGATTCGGTCTGGGCCCACTGATCCACCAATAGCTCCTGAAAGAGTCGTCCACAATAGAGTGCGGTGTTGAAATTGCCCGATCGTTTGAAGAGATAATAGGTTGCAAATTGTGCTTGAGTCACTCGCTTAGATCCTCCACGCCCATAGCGTCTTACTTCAGCTACCAATCCACCATCTCCAGCATTTCCATCCTCAATATCTTCCCCCTCACCAATCTCGTCATCATCTCCCAGTGGTTGCCCAGCCAAAGGGATCCTTGGATGCCATCCCGGCTCTCCGTGTGGGTATATAAGAGTGAAGTGCAGGGGAAGATATGCTGAGTGGAGTTCACTAATGTTGCGAACCCCACCGCCTCGCAAATAAACTTGAATGTGACGACCCGGGGACGGTTCATTTTCATCAGCAACATATACACATGCAACTTCATCTGACGTAGGTCGGTTATATCTGCGAGGGTCGTTTCGCAGAGGATTCAGAATCGTAAGATACAGAATTGGTGTGTCCTCTTCAGATTCCCTGTCACGGTCACGAAAAGTCTTGAAAGCAGCATAGTATGGGTTCACCCTTTCTATCATCTGAGCCAGGCGGGTTAGAACACCCTCTTCACCTCTCCCTCGGATGTGAATGTTTCGCTGAGCAGCCTGTTCTGCTTCAGACAGACCCACCAGGAAAACTTGAGCAAATCGGGGATGTTCTCCAGCTTCAGGAAGTAATGCCCCGATTTGGTGGTATGCTCGTCCGCCAATACGAAAGGTGTATATCCCTTGAGGTCCCCAAACTTGCATGTCTTGCTTATCAACACCCATTGAGGTGAAAGCAAGAGAATTATTATTATTTCGGAGCTGCTCCCGTCGCAGCTTACCTTCTGATGACAGTCAGCATTTCATCCATTGAATTAAATAATGCCAGCTTACGATGTGTTTGATCCGTTAAGAGATCTCGAAGTTCAAGTGGAGGGTCCAATGGAAGTGGGAGCTGCACCGCCCCATTTGAGCAACAGCCAGAGAACAGGGGATTAGCCAAGGATGAGCGTTCCCCTCCAGCTGCAATGTTGATAGCACGTTCCTCAAGCCAGTGTAACGCACCACATTTTGGGCATGGGACCTCACAGCGGCCCAATTGATGAGCAGAGGTCCCATCAGTGTATTCCTGTCAAGCACGGCAGTGTGAGAGAGCACGTTCCCGGTCTTGCCTGGATTGCTGTCCAGCTTCTCGTCGAGAAACGCCTGTGTTTGCACCGGTTGGAGGTGGATCCATGTCCGTGTCCTCATCATGTCCAACATCTGTCAATTGTCGAGTGCCCCGCTTGTCACAAAGTGTGTGACAAGTCGAGCGAAAGTCGGGGAAGGGTATTTAACCAGCGATTGGCGGTAGAGTTAACCGCCGATTAATAGGCCTTTTCGTCACAGTGGTTTAGATCACTGTTCCGTTGGGCACTGTTATATCGTGCATATGCTGGTCAGTATGTCTCGTGACAGATTAATCGGCGGTTCCTTCTTCGTCAGGATCTCCAAAATTGGTTTTGAGATATTGGATGAACTTCTTATAGTCTAGAAGGTGTTCGGGGGGATCGTCCTTAGGTAAGTCCGGTTGGACAGCAAGAAGAGGAGTTTCACGTAGATGGGAGATCATGAAAAAGATTTTTACTCGGTCGGTGGGGAACTTCCGGGCGTTGATTTCGAAATGGACTTCACATTCTGAGATGAATGCTGTGAGCTTTGACCTCTCGCCCCTCCACAGGTCTGGGAGGGGAAGCTTTATCCCTCCACTCATCTCAGCAACTCCTGGGGTCGCCGAAGCTTGCCTTCCAATGGCGAGCCGTACCCCCTCCGAGATCCCCTCGACTATTCCCCCAACCGTCTCCTGCTCCTTCTTCTTCTCCTGCTCCTCTCGACGCTTCCTCTCTGCTATCATATCCTTATTCATCTCCATCATCATGTTCATTATTGCCAGCATCATCTTCTGTGTTGTGACCTCCTCCTCAGTTCCTCCTACTACTTCGCTCCCGGCCGAACTTAGCCTACCTCCTGTGTTCCCTTCCCTTGGTCGTGGGGTCTGTCCCGAATCTTCGGAACCTGTCCTCACCGCTGGTGGTTCTGGTAGTCCGGTTTGTTGGGGAGGTGGTTCAAAAGGCAGGGGTGGATAGAAATCATCGCCTTGAGTTGATCCTTCGGGGGTATCAATTGCACCAGGCAATGGTCCCAAGCTTTGTCTTAATTCCTCCAACATCCTCCTCTCCGTCTCCTCTACTGTTTCTCCTGGTCTACTCATACTTCTTGTAACTCTCCTCTCTGGCTGCATACAATCTCGAACTTCTCCGAGGTTTGCACGGGTCGTCGGTAAGAGTGATCCTTGATACTGTCACAATCGTCGTTTCTTCTTCTCGACTGACCGACGGTCGACAAACCTCGGCTAACTACGTCGTAGTGGGGCGTCGATGTCTCACTAAGACAGGGTACTCGTCGAGGAACTACGGCTAACTTCGCCGTAGTAATACGTCGAGTGGTGAATGATAAGATGATCGTCGATGAACTACGGCTAACTTCGCCGTAGTACGTTGAACTGCTCGGTGGTAGCTCTCCTTAACTCGAAGGTTGTAGCTACTGAATATATCTCTCGCTACTGACAACAATCAAGGATCGCTGAAGAAGTTCAGCGATCTGTAAACTATCTATACTACTCCTCTCTTCTCGTAGAATGTCCCTCAACTCCTGCACTGCCTCACGCTCAGTCCTCTTCGTTCAACTTCGCCGTACCTTCCCCTGTTCTGCTCTCCCTCAGTTCCCTTCCCCTAACTTCGCCGTAGTTCCCCGCTAGGCGGGGTTATCGTGACAAATCCCCTCTTGGTTCTCGTAACTTAGCCGTAGTTGGTCTCAGTGGTTCGAGTGGAGGTTGGTAGTGGTGAAAAGGAAGGTCGGTGATGGTGAAAGGAGGGTCGGTGATGGTGGTTGTCAGGGATGTTACGACGTAGTTCGTGACAGTCGCCCCCTCCTTAGGCGCGAACGTCCTCGTGAGCTTCGTATGCATGTAATGAAGAAAAAGACACTCAGCAGGTTGCAGGAAACACAATTTGTCATATAACGGTTGTTGGTAGATGATACCATGGTTTGTTGTTAATCGGACAGTAAACTTCGTCAAAGTTCATCGTGGTTGCTTGTTGTTACCCTGTGGTAGTTACATTGTAAGTGAGACAGAGGATTTGGGGTACAACAAACCTCGTCGAAGTTCGTCAGCGTATCCCTAACTTATATGAATGTGAGACACGTAGCGTGGGAATTCTGATCGTCGCCATGGTGTTTGTTGTCGCTGAGACAACTTGTTATGCGAAGTTACCAGCGCCCTGACGACGAGTAGTCGTATCAGTCATACTAAATACTCAGTACTTCGGCCCACTTCTTCTTCTTTCCCAGTACCAATCCTAAATCGTACTATCATCGTCTATCGATTCTCAGCCTTTACCATACCAAACATTCAATTTGATATATCTCAACAAAATGTCTTCTCGTCCGGAGCTCAACGCCCATAAATTTTTCGCAGATCGCTTTGCCGCTGTTCGTAAGTCTCTTCGTACTGTCTATAAGCTACTCTGTCGCTGATTGTTCTAGTCGCTCAGCAGGGGAACTCTCCCCGCCATGTGTCGTCCATGGGCTTTGGAGCCCTAGCCATCACCGATGGCTCGCCTTCTGCTGCTGCAGCCTCCGCTGCAGTTCCTTCTGCCACCGCGTCCCCTGTTGCGGTTACGACCCCTCTCTCCTCTGGCCAACAGGAGGTCAGACCTGCTCCTGTTGGCCTTCCGCACCCGTCAGGCCGTACTGCCACTGTGGTAGAAATCGATGATGATGACGATGAGGAGATGGATGGTGCTCGTCGTGGTGAAGAGACGGGTGTGTTGGTTGATGATGGTGAGAAGGGTGGTGCAGATGAGGATGATGAGATGGGTGAGGTCGATGAAGATGAGGAAATCCTCAGTGTTGATCTCGGTGATCCAGCGCTGTTTGAGGATAGAGAAACGTGGGTGTCAGAGTTGGAAAAGTTAAGCCGTATGTCCTCTTGTCATATACCCTGTTCGTAAGTGCTGACGTGTAGCTGTTCGCGATAATGAAGGTTCTCCCGAATTCCGCGTATGACTCCAGACTTCTTTCGGGAAGAAACGGGTTGCGTATCAGGAGAAGATGGATGCTCTGGCTGAAATTAAAGCCGAGAAACGTCGCCGCTCCCCTTCCGCCCACGACGAAGTTACCCCTCCTTCGGCGAAACGGGTCAAAGAGGCCCCTCGGTCCTCTACAGGACAGGCTGAATTGTTTCCCTCCCCTTCCCACGAGCCAGGGAGTGCCCGCAAGGCGTCGTTGCGGGAGCAGGATAGGCTATGGAAGTTGTTCATCGATGAAAGGGAGCGATGGGAGGTCGCCAGTATCGAAGAGTCGTGTGATAGATGCCGGTAAGTTCCTTCCCTAGAAGTTTATACGTCTGCTGATTAGTAGCCGTGAAATTATCACGTATGGGAGAGCGAAGTGGCCGTGTCTACGACCGGTCAAACCTCATAATTGCGGGTCCCGTTGTGCTTCTTGCACTTCTGGTCCCTGCTCGTTCTGTCCCCCCAACACCGCTCGGGACATTCCTCCAAGACCTTCTGCTCCCCTCGGTCCCCCCTACACTCCGTCCGCCGCTGTTCGCCGCCGTCTCCCCACAGCCCAAGATGGGGAATATCCTTCGCGCTCTCCTTCGGCGAACTTCTCCTCTCCTGGCCCCACCTCGCCGTCACCCGCCGCCCGTCGCCTGCCCAACTCTCCCGTGGCCGGACCGTCACGTCTCCCTGCCACTCCTTCGGCTGGTCCGTCCCGTCGCACTCCTCGTCGTGCTTCTTCCGCCGCTCTTCGGCCTTCTACTCCTGTGGCTGGCCCATCTCGTCTCCCGGCTACTCCTGCTGGGAGTTACGGGTAGGATCCTGGGTTCGACTCCCCGGACGGCGCCGGGGGTAACCCAGGCCCTACTTGGAAAACCTCCCTCTCGGAGTAAGTTTTCGGTCTATCGTACCCTTCCCAAGTGTGGGGGCCCAAGCGGGGTCCCCTTGTCGGGGCCCCAAAGCGGGGGCCCAAGAGAGTGCATAATGTCACAAAGTGTGTGACAAGTCGAGCGAAAGTCGGGGAAGGGTATTTAACCAGCGATCGGCGGTAGTGTTAACCGCCGATTAATCTGCCTTTTCGTCGCAGTGGTTTAGATCACTGTTCCGTTGGGCACTGTTATATCGTGCATATGCTGGTCAGTATGTCTCGTGACACCGCTCCCTTTCACGCCGCGCTCGCTGTGCAAGCTGACGGCGGCTTAGCCCCTGTAGGCTCATGATGTAATGTAGAAAGATTTATATATGAGGTTAAATAAGAATCTAAAAGCTCAGCCCATTTCAAATAGTATGCAAGGCAACTGACGGGTATGGTGCCAAGGGATGCACAGTGTGAACGGGGATGCGAGTCGCCTCGGAGAGCCCCGTGAATGATCGCGATGACGGTGTAAAGGTGCACAGTGTGAACGGGGATGCGAGTCGCCTCGGAGAGCCCCGTGAATGGTCGCGATAACGGTGTAAAGGTGCACAGTGTGAACGGGGATGCAAGTCGCCTCGGAGAGCCCCGTGAATGGTCGCGATAACGGTGTAAAGGTGCACAGTGTGAACGGGGATGCGAGTCGCCTCGGAGAGCCCCGTGAATGGTTGCGTAGAACGGCAGTAGCGTAAACTGAAAAGTGCAAAAATGCACCCGGACCGGTGATCGTCCGACTTTTTCTTTCTCCCCTATAGGTGGCAGGGAAGTCTCTGAGCCAAATTACATGTCACGGAACTGGTGAGCGCAAAAAAACGTGAGAAAACGAAAAAAAAGTCGATTTTGGCCGCGTTCACCCTGTCACGAACTACGTCGTGACACCTCGATTACTCCACCAACAATGACCCTCCTTTGGCCATCAAAACCCCATCACGCCTTAACCTCTTTACTCTACACGTAACTCAGGACTTCTGACACCAAGTACGGCGAAGTTAGACGGAGTTAGGCTAAGTAGGGACAATGGGAGCAGAAGTGCGGCGATGTTAGGCGGGGTTAGGCTAAGTAGGGACAATGGGAGCAGAAGTGCGGCGATGTTAGGCGGGGTTAGGCTAAGTAGGGACAATGGGAGCAGAAGTGCGGCGATGTTAGGCGGAGTTAGGCTAAGTAGGGACAATGGGAGCAGAAGTGCGGCGATGTTAGGCGGAGTTAGTCGAAGGGGGAAGAGGATGGCCGAGGGCTCGGGGAAGTTGGACGAAGTGCGTTGAAGTACGTCAAAGCGCGAGAGGGTTGGATGAACGTCTAGGAGGAGTAGATAATATTAGCTGAGAAGATCGCTGAAGTTCTTCAGCGATCCTTGATTGTTGTCAGTAGTGAAAGACAGATAGAGATAGCTATAAATCAAGATACATCGCCATCAGTAGAACAAAACCCTAGTTAGAGTAACTACGCCGAAGTACGCCGTAGTTACACCCCTTTCGACGTCTGCGCCCTCCTGGTTGGGTGAGACATCGACTCAGAGCGTGAAGTTAGCCGAGGTTCGTCAACCGTCGGTCTATTAAGAAATAGTTGTTCGACGGCCGTGACACACCCCCTATTTAGGGGATTTTGGGGGATCGAAAACTCGGGTCAATTACGCTTTTCCCCCCACTACACAGGTTCCGACAAAACAGACAGGTTCCGACAGGTCAGACAGGTTCCGACAGGTCAGACAGGTTCCAATAGCTCAGGGTATGCATGAGACATCATAGGTACATTCTTACTTTACGATCCCTGCTCGCGCGCACGCGACTCCCACGTGGTTTGTCTCGAAAGTTAGCCTCTCATCATCTGTTATTATAATAGACTAGCGTGCCAACCTGTCAAATTGACAGGCCCGTCTCTCGCCTCTCAAGCTGACTCTGTGGACCCGTGGAATCTCTACCTCTCTTCTCTCTCACACACACTTTTGACCCGTGAACCTGTGAACCTCTATTGTGTCTCTCTCTCTTGATTCCTTGCTCCCCCCCCCCTCTTTATCCTCGCTTCGCTCTGCGGGCGTCGCCGCTAGCCACGTGGTTTGTCTCCACGTGGTTTATCTCGTGTTTGTCTATTATTGTAGTAGACTAGCGTGCCAACCTGTCAAATTGACAGGCCCGGTCTCTCGCCTCTCGAGCTGACTTTGTGGACCCTTGGATTCTCTTCCTCTCTTCTCTCTCACCCGCACTTTAAACTTGTGCAACTGTGAACATCTAGTCTCTCTCTCTCTAGTCTCTCTCTCTCTCTCTCTCTCTCTCTCTCTCTCTCTCTCTCTCTCTCTCTCTCTCTCTCTCTCTCTCTCTCTCGCCCGCGCGCGCGCCCCCGCGCGCGCGAGTGTGTGAGTGTGAGCGTGAGAGCGAGAGCGCGTCTGAGAGGGTGTGTTATCTCTCTATTTCTCTCGAGGGTCTATATATATATATATAGATTTAAAGTATGTGTGTGTGTGTGGGGG